GGTAGGTTGGTCTTGTAGAGACACTCTCCAGAGTCGCAGGATAGGAAGATGCTCGGGTCACCGAACACCTGACTGATCAGGTTGTTCATCTCGGGTTCGGAGAACACACTCTTAGTGCCTTCTGCGGTCGCTTTCGTTGTGAAAGTGGCCGGTCCCTTGATGACTTGAGCAAGAAAGTCCTTCAAATTGATCGAGCCGTTTTCGCCACAGAGGAAGCGGTTGTCAATGCAGCTACACTGTACATTGTCACACCTGTAGCTGGTCGTGTTCTTGTCGTAATCGGTCTCCATACTCCAATCGCAAGTATCCAAGCCACAATAGAAGGACTCCTTCTGATCCACCCAGAACTGGAAGTTACAGGATTTATCTGCGGCGTCGCAGGAGAATGTCACCTGGGGCTTTCGGCCACCCAGCATGTCCACAATTGGCTTGTTGATCACATCGCACATCTGGAAGTTCTGATTGACCGTGACACCTTGTTTGTAGCATGCGCCGTCTTTCCCTTCGGGCATCAAAGCATCGCAAGCGCTATCGGACTGGCAGACATTACAGTTGATACCGCCCCAGCCATCCTTACAGTCGCAGCTTGCGCCAACGCGCACCGCGCGGTTCTCGCCATCGGCCAGCGAGCCACACACAGGCTCTGAGCAATCATCTCCGCCGAAGCCAGCTGGGCAGGAGCATTTCCCGTTGTATTTGTTGCAGGGCGCAAAGTGGGTACAGTTGTAGCTGTCGAGCTGACAGTTGAAGCACGGCGGACAGTTGGGAGGCCTGTCATCGAGAAGAGTAAGAGATCTGGGGACAATATTGCCGTCAGATATTTCGCTCCATGCTACCGTGGCGAATGAGGCGGGAACCAGGGCGAGGAGGGACAGGAGGGCGGTTATCGACCGCATGTTGAGCAGGGGTGGGTTAGCACCCAGGCACAGCGGAGAGCCGGCGACGTAAAATGCAAATCGCCGAGAGGGTATTAAACCTGGCAGATCATCTGCGTAATGCGAAAAGGTGTTGATATTGGGTGATGGGTGTTAAGAGGAGATGCCTCGGACTCCAGGGAAGTGGAGAGGCGGAGGTGGAGTCGGGTTGATGACGCGGGCGGAGAAGCTGTTCAGGCACCGGTTTCAAGGTTCGCTCTAAACAACACCTCAACCCAGCCCACCTGGGCAACTATCGCGTACTCATATCCACCGTTCAGGCTGATCCCCAATGAGACTGTACTTGATATTTTGAATCTCAGAGCCTTCGATTTGGAATAGAGAAATAACTTACGAAATCAACAAGTAGGGAGCTAGGAGGGCAAAACTGGGTCACCAATATCTACCGTATATAGCGTGTAAGGCTAAGGTTCTAGTTCCTGCATGATTTCTTTACGCGCAGTCAACAAACTTGAATAGTTTTTTTTTTTTTTGTATCCTTATGGCTTTCCTCCCAGGTGCTAGAAAAGGCCAGAACATGCGCCCTGCGCAAACCTTAAAGGTGGCATCAACCGATAGCTTCAAGCTCTAATGAACCAGCATTACTATCCTGTCTTAGTGCCACCGACTTGGCGATACTTACGTATGCGGAGTATTAGCGAGAGCCTATTCTAGAACACAAAGTAAACCTACCGTTAGCTGCACACACGGGCATGCATCATTTTTTTAGCCCTTTGTCCGTGGCACACCCTTACCATACATCTGCGGGCCCAAAGAGGCCTCACAATCCTCATGCTTTTCACAGGAATGCAAGCCACGTGTTGAGTCATGTCACCTGGGATCTGGTTCCATGAAGCGTCAATATATAATCACGGTGAAGTAGGAGGCAGAAAGGATAGGATGTCGGCGCCTCATTAGTTTCGCCTTGCATGGGGCACGGCCCGCCAAGAGACCAATGACTCTTTATGCTTTATGACCTTTATTGAGGACTTTTAGTATACTTGAAAAGGCCTTACGTTATTGTTCACTAGAATATGCCTGTATAGATAAGAAAAAAAACCACAAATCCTATTTGAAGCCTCCTCTAGCCCAGATATGGTTCCTGGTGGTAGGCATCTAGTTCCCAAGATTCGCAGTTGGAGAAATCTGGGCCCCACAGGCCTTCTTTTTCTACAGGCCACACTTCAATGCTAACCACACTTCTGTATCAAAGTGGCCGGATGAGTAGTTGTGGCAGCCGTCAGCCGCCGTCAGCCGCCGTGTAAACAACTTCGTACCCATTATTGGAACATATGTCAGTGTTGAAAGCGGTATAGACTGCACCAAAGCCAGTCAATTGCCACGAGAGAGGCTTGGTAAGGGTCCCTTATCACATATGGTATAAGAGAAACCCCCATCGGTATACCATCCGCCAGAGAAATCAGTATCTGACGAAGTTATGAATCTTGTAGAAGAATATAAATTTTGTCTTTGACGGGTCCGCCTTGGGCTCACAGGTCCTCATATTCTAGATGTAATTCCGTTCGAGACCAACAAACACCAACCATAAATTGCACGCTTCACTCAAATGAAGACAATCTCTGAGATGAAATGGTTGAAATAGTGGGGGGAATGCAATGTTGCGGATATGCAGTGCTTGTGCCCAGCCAGGCCTTTCTCTTCTTGAACACCCCAGCCTTCCACATCCAACATCCAGATCGATCTAACAATAATCTTCCATACCATTAATTCTAGATTCTATATTTTCCATGGAATCTTCTACCCCACTCGATGCGGGGACTTCACGTGACGTGGGGTTCCCGCGAATCTTTGCGATGCGACAGACGATCATGGCTCTTTGCGCTCTCTACAGACACTTTTTACAACCAGTATGACCAGGTGACCCTTGCCAACTTTCATCATTACCGATTTGTCGACATCAAGCCCATAGCCAGCTACCATGGTGAAAGTTGAGCTCTTTGCGGTGGAACAGGTACGTCCCCGCGTTTCCGCATGAGTCAAGCGGCTCCCCTGGTTCTCGGAATATTCTAAGGGGGAAGCACGCTCTAATTAGAATCTAGTGGATGGACAAGTACGAGCTCACCGCCAAGTACAACACCGCCGAAACCTGCGCCGCATCCATTTCCATCGACGACCTTCGAGAATTGTCCGAAGACAAGACCACCGATCCCTTGGGCCAGCTCCAGTCCACCAAGCTGACCTATGGTGCAATTCGTGGCTCCGATAATCTTCGACAGACTTTGGCCAATCTATACTCCGCGAAGGCTCCTAGTCCTCTACCTAAGGACAACATCTTGATTGCGGCGGGAGCTATCCAGGCCAACTTCTTGGCGTTGTACACCCTGTGCGGACCAGGAGATCATGTTATCTGCCACTACCCAACATACCAGCAGCTTTACTCCGTGCCTGCTTCTTTGGGCGCGGAGGTCAGTCTCTGGAAGTCCAAAGAGGCCAATGGCTGGCAGCTGGATATCGAGGAGCTGAAGGGAATGATTCGCCCGAATACCAAGCTAATCATTATTAAGTGGGTTGAAGCACCTTTGGAGTTGTGACTGAGCATTTCTAACCAAAGTCCTTCTGCAGCAACCCTCAAAACCCGACCGGTGCCATCATCCCTCGCGACACACTTCAAGAATTGGTCGACATCGCCCGCGAATCCTCCCTCACCCTCTTCGCCGACGAAGTATACAGACCTCTCTTTCACAATATCAGCCCTGCGGACCCCCAGTTCCCTCCGTCCCTGCTGACTTTCTGCTACGAACGCACTGTGGTAACAGGATCGATTTCCAAGGCATATAGCTTGGCCGGCCTTCGCGTAGGCTGGATCGCAACTCGGAGCAAGTCGTTCCTCGAGGAATGTGCCAGCTCCCGTGATTACACTACCATTTCCGTTGGTCAGCTCGACGATGCCGTTGCCAGCTTTGCGCTGGCGCCTGAATGTATTCATAACTTGTTGAAACGGAATATTGATCTGGCGCGAACCAATCTTGCGATTTTGGAGAAGTTCATTGAAGCGCATCGCTGGGCCTGTGAATGGGTTAAGCCGAGGGCTGGCACAACTGCATTTATTCGCTTTACGAAGATGGGGAAGCCAATTAATGATGTCGCTTTCTGTGAGATGCTTCAGGAGCGAACGGGTGTGATGCTTGTCCCTGGCAGCTTGTGCTTCGGAGGCGGAGAAGAGTTTCAGGGCTACGTTCGTATTGGATACGTCTGTGAAACCGAGGTACTAGAGAAGGGTTTGGAAGCCTTGCGGACCTTCATGGAGGATGATTACGAGGATGTTCCGTCGCTGAAGAAGGCCAAAGCGCCGCAATAGCGACTGCACAATATACGAGATAGGAAGTGTTTAAGATAATCCTAAAAGTCTCCAAATACAATACCACAGCAAAAGCTATCAAGTGTTCCATGGGCCAAAGGCCAGAAGCTTTCGAGTAAATCTGCTCTACCATAATATGCGACATCATGAGGTAATAATGATTTGCCGCTCATCAAGGTCCTCGATCGGGAGCGATCTAACTTCCACTTAGACTAGATCACGTCATTACCCGTCGAGATCGGACGTTTATAAGAAGATCGACGCTCTATCTTTCAAACCTCTATTCTATCTTCGACTCAGTCAAATCTACAAACAATGCTCAATCATCGAGGAATCTGCCTGAGGGCTCTCAAGACCCAGCCTAGCCGCTCTCTGTCTTTTCGATCGGGTCGCGCAAGGCTCGACCCTCTTCGATTAAATTCAGCAACCATACGTCTTCCATACTCGACCACTGGCTATGGTGATGATGAAGGCGACCCCCGTGGCCAGGATCCAAACGCCCAAGGTGTGAATGAACGAAGCCGTGAATTAGAGCATCCTGGACCGTCACAACATAAAAAGAAACCGTCAAATGAGTCGAACCCATCAAAGCTCGAGTCTCAAAATCGGAAACATGACAAGGAAGAGCGTGCGAGTGGATCAGCGAAAGAAAGTCCTGCAAAACCAAGGAACCGTGTCAAATAGAGATCAAACAACTCGTAAGTGTGCAGGTAGTGTGCAGACAGTAATTATATTTGAATAATTTCACTACTCCATTTAATTCTTATCTATACACTGAGCATCTTCAAAAATCGATCTCCCAAGGCATTCGCCGCCAGGGGATTACCGCCAGTAAGCAACTCCCTGTGTAGAGTCGTACCTCCAAATTTTTCCGAAGCTCCTTCAACCATGACCGCACCCTGATCCTTCAATGCCGACGCGACCTTCTCAACCTCACCACCCAATAATGTCTCCATGAAGTTCTCTTCGGCATCGCTCCAAGATGTGATCTTGTACCCATCATAGACGAACGAGCCATCACCCGCCTTCATCGTACTCAGCAGGGCATAAGGCCCATGGCAGATAGCAGCAGTTGGCTTATTCTCTTTATTGAAAAACCGCAGAATCTTGCCCAGGTTCGGATCATCGCCCAAATCCGCCAGTGGCGCGTGTCCCCCGGGAATAAAGACTCCAGCGAAAGTCGCTAGTTCGTCTTCGTCAAAGGTACTGAAAGGTCGCGGACGGTCGAATCCATTCGTCTTCTTCATTTTCCAAATGAGCTCGTTCTCGCGTCGGCGCTCGTAGAAATTGCCGGCGTATGCGAGCAGGGACTCGCTGTTGGGGTCTGCGGTGGGCTCTTGTCCTTTGGGTGAGGCAAAGGTAACCTCGTGCCCGGCGTCTAGCATCTTTTGCAAGGGCTTTGCCAGCTCCTGAAGGAAGAAACCTGAGGGCTGGTCGACTACTTTGCCAGCGTCGGGTCCGCTGGTCTTTTTGAGAGGGAAGGAGTTGGCATCGCTCAGGATGATGAGGACTTTTTTGGATGGCATTGTGATGATAAATTTTGAGCTGGAAAGGTAGAGTCGAGCAGTTACAACATTGCAAGAAGAATAGTAGTCCTTTTTTTTTATACCGCGTTCGGCCAATCAACTACAGTAAAATCACTACTGCGGCCCTTGTAGTTACCAAAACGTGACGCCAAAATGACGTATCAAATCCAAGACCAGTTCTTGCTATCATATTGCAGTGGCAACAGAGCTATAGCCCGTGGTAATAATTATCTTCTGGAAATTGCAGACCTGGACACAGCATAGCGATCAATCTTTGTCAAGTGTGGCGTTCCACAGCGCATCACGTCATTAACAGCCACGCGACCAGTGACCACAGATGGCACAATAACAAAAACAAGAAAGGCTGTAGTTTCGCCTAAACTTGCTTGGGATTCGTAGATCTACCTTAATTTCATCAGCTTGGAACCTGACCTGGTATTCTCATCGTCATCGGGTCGGATTCCCTTATTTACCCCTTGGGGCTCCCATCCCGTCCTGTACATTCCACTCTCACATCCCCCCCCTTTCTGGGTTTTCAACTGCAAACAATACTCGTCGAAACCTCTTATTAGTGCTCAAATACCCCAAATTGCTTATTCGGATACATCTACTGCCCCTGCGCAAAAATGTCGTCAATCATCGCTTCCGTCAAGGATCTCATCGTCTCTATCTTTGAGGTGATATTCTCTACGTTCAAGAGCGTATTTGATGGAGTATATGGAATAATCCATGCCTTCTTCGACTTCTTCATCGATATTATCAAGATGGCCCTCAATACTGTGAAGGGTACGCTGGAAGCAGCGGGTGGAGTCGGCAAGTTTGTCGCGAGTGAGTACCTCTTCTTGACTAAAGAGAACAAATTGAATAATAACATTCTTCCGAAGGCAATCTACTCGTTTTCGTGGTTATCGGTATCGGAGCTTATGGCTATCTGAATTATCAGCGGCGCCAAGGGCGTGATGTTAAGGTTGGAAGCAAGAAGTTGAACTAGGTTATGAGCTTGTTTTGTTCACGGCGAATCCATGAGATGATTCTCAATATTTCTATTTTATCAAATTTAAAGACTCTTTAAGAAGTCATCTCGCACAATCCTCTAGATACTCCTCAACTCGAGCAGTCTCATCGAAGTTCATGCGTCACAACGCGAAGTTTGTTAATATCCGGGGAAAAGTGGATTGGATGCGATAGCGTCAAAACCAATGGTAGAGAGATGGCGCTTATCTAACTAAGTCTTATCTTTGGACCCTCCGATGCACGTTCTGAACCTTAAGAATCTGGCACGTTGGCAGAGGGCTTAGCCTGTAGATCCCCTCAATAAACCACATGGTCCATATAAACGCTTAACAGACGAAATAGTTATGTGATTTTTGCGATACAGGAGTTAGGCATGGGTGAAAAAAGAGCATCCTGCAAGAATGAGAAGATAAGTGCACAAATATGAGGGAATGCGTAAAACACAAATGTTGACGGCTGCCACACGGAGACAATGGATTGCTCCGAGCCGAGGCTCGCCGTGAGTCCCACCTCATTCCACCCTCTTGCGCGGCCTCTCCCAGGCCTTTTACGACACGGTCTTTTCAATCCCCTTTCCCCTTTCTCCTTTAGCTGATCGGATCCGCCGGAATTCAAAAGAGAGCTTCGCCCCAGTCACCCCCTGCTATTTTCTTTCGCCGCAAACAGGATCGTCCGCCTCTCTGTCCAACCTCGCAACTACAACCGCGCCATTTGGTTGCGCATTCACCTTTGGAAGCTTACTAGCCACGATGCCGCTACCATTGACTAGTGAGTACTGCCAGTCTATCGTGAAGAAGGGACTGCTAATCGTCCTTGTCTAGACATTCCCTTAAAGGTCGGGCTTCCAGCTGTCGCGGCAGCAGCAGCCTACCTGAACGCACGATGGTCCCTCTTCTATGACGTCGGCCTCATTAAGTCCCTCGTCAAGATGTCCCTTCGATCCCGAGTCGCCGAACGTAATGACCGCCTGAATCTCTTCTACGTCCTTGAGGACTTCGCTCTGTCTCCCGCGACCGCCGATCAGGAATTCATTGTATACAACGGTCGCTCATGGACGTTTCACCAGACCTATACTATGGCCCTTCGTTACGGCGCGTGGTTCAAGAACGTCCATGGCGTTCGCCGGAAGGATATTGTGGCTATCGACTTCATGAACTCGGCAACTTTCCTCTTCTTCACCCTCGGCTTGTGGAGCATTGGCGCCGTTCCTGCATATATCAATTATAACCTGGCGGGAAAGCCCCTCACACATTCTGTGCGCGCATCCACTGCGAAGCTCCTCATTGTGGACGAAGAGATTCGCGATTGCTTCCCTCCCGAGCAAATGGAGACATTTGCTTCTCCGGACTTCCGCAACGGCAAGGGCTCTGTCAATGTCTTGTTCTTTACTCCAGATATAGAGGCCCAGATTTTGGAAATGGATCCCGTGAGAGAGGACGATAAGGTCCGCGGCAGTCTTCTCCCGCGAGACATGGCCATCTTGATCTATACAAGTGGCACGACTGGTCTTCCGAAACCCGCGATCGTGAGCTGGAAGAAGTGCTGGAGTGGCGGATTGTTCATCGGAAACTGGCTGGAGATTCTTCACTCAGACCGCTTCTTCACGGTAAGTTTATTCGAAATTTACAGTCACCTACTTCCCACTAACATATTTCAGTGCATGCCTCTTTACCACTCATCTGCATCTGTCCTTGGCTTCGTGACATGCTTGATGAATGGAGCAACCATGATCGTCGGTCGCAAATTCTCCGCGCGAAATTTCATCAAGGAAGCCCGCGACAACGATGCGACCATCATCCAGTATGTGGGTGAAACTCTTCGATACATCCTAGGCGTGTCGCCCGACATCGATCCTGTCACTGGGGAGAACCTGGATAAGAAGCACAAGATCCGAATTGCATTTGGCAACGGACTCCGCCCTGATATCTGGAACCGCTTCAAAGACCGCTTCGACATCACCACAATTGCCGAGTTCTATGCTGCCACCGAAGGAACCTCTGGCCAGTGGAACAAGTCGTCAAATGATTTCTCTGCTGGTGCCATTGGCCGCAATGGAGCACTCGGCAATCTGATCATTGGACGTGGAACTGCAATTGTTGATGTTGATCATGAAACACAGGAGCCGTGGCGGGACCCGGGAACTGGCCTCTGCAAGAAAGTTCCTCGAGGTGATCCCGGTGAGCTGCTGTTCGCCATCGACGCCTCAGACCCTAGTGCCAACTTCCAAGGTTACTTCCAGAACAACAAGGCGACGGAGAGTAAGATCGTTCGCGACGTTTTGAAGAAGGGCGATGCCTACTTCCGGACCGGCGATATGGTTCGCTGGGACAAGGATGGTCTCTGGTTCTTCTCGGACCGACTTGGTGACACCTTCCGCTGGAAGAGTGAGAACGTGTCTACCAGTGAGGTTTCCGAGGTTCTCGGCGCCCACCCCGAAGTGCACGAAGCAAACGTCTATGGTGTGGCTCTGCCCAACCATGATGGCCGTGCTGGATGCGCAGCTATCGTGTTCAACCAGCAAATCGCCAGTGGCGCTTCCTCAGGTCCCGCAATGGAGCCCGCGCAATCCGTTCTCGACAGCCTAGCCGCGCATACCCTGAAGAACCTGCCACGCTTCGCGGCGCCCATTTTCCTACGAGTGATGCCGCAGATGCAGTCCACTGGCAATAACAAGCAACAGAAGCATGTCCTTCGCACTGAGGGCGTGGATGTCGCACAAGTCTCAAAGAGTGACCGGCTATACTGGCTTCAGGGTAACACTTATGTGCCATTTGGACAGAAGCACTGGAACCGCTTAAATGGCGGCCAGGTCCGACTTTGAGCGACTGTGCTGGCCTTCTATTCCCGTCACCTATTTTCTGTTTTCCTGTTCCGCCCAGCGCTTCCTCCCCATCCAGCCTCGTCCTTAAGATACCCCCACACTGTCCTTGAAGAATGACACAATTGAGTTTTATTTATTTCCATTATTTAGCTATATCAAATATATCCTTAAAAATTTCTATAACTACTGCCTATATGTGGAATCAATGAAAATTAAACGACCTAAAACAAAGTCTGTCCTAGACACTTTCTTATCGACAAGCAGTTTGAAAAAGATTTGGAAGTATAATCCCGAGCATAATTAACTCTTATTAAACGTACATCTCTTCTCTAGTCTCTCTAAGCTCTAGAGAACTATTGCTATGTAGAGTACCTTAGTTTGCACCAACTCAAAAATCCCTATTACGATAACCAAGCCAAAACAAAACAACCAATAATGAATAATGGGATATTACCAATTGATCCACCCATCCATAACATCCATCACATCATACCATATAGACCGCATCCACAATTCAACAGTGCCCGAAGACTGTCTACAGAGCGAAAGCAATGGCACCAGCGAACAGGCCAGCAGCGAAAACGGGGTTGGCAACGTTGGCGACACCAGCACCGGTAGAAGCGGTAGGAGCTGCGGAGGTCCCGTTAGCGGCCATGCTTGTAGAAGATCCGCTAATGATAGTACTAGTACCGCTAGGGGCAGTGCTAGAGGCAGTGGTGCTCATACCAGAAGTTCCGGTGGAGGTTCCGGTGGAGGTACCAGTGGAGGTTCCAGTAGAGGTTCCAGTAGAGGTGGTGGTGGTAGTCATGGTACCGGTGGTAGAGCCCTTGGTAGTAGTAGAAGTGGAGGTGGAGGTGGAGGTGAAAGTGCTGCTGCTGGAAGAGCTGGCGGAGGCAGTCACGTTGAACTGGTTAGACTGCGCGAGGATGCCGGTGTTCTGGGTCGAGCTGGATTGCAGGTCAATCTGGTAACCGTGACTATTTGAACAAGTTAGAATGATGGCATTGAAGAGATCTTGGGCCTGTGAGACATACCCGGCAGTGGCATCGAGGCTGTCGACGGTGTAGGAATCGGAGGAAGTCTTGACATCGGACGCAAGCTTCTTGCTCACGGGAGGGTAGATGGCATTGTTGACGAGGTAGATGTTGAAGGACGAAGCATCGGTGCTGTTTAGGTTAGTCGGCTTCGACAAGCATATGTTGACTGGAAGGAACATACTCAACAGAACTCCACTTCACAACCAAAGAGCTTGAGGCGCTGATAACAGCGCCTTCCTCAGGCTCTGTGACCTTCAGGGCTGCAAGGGTCAGTATAAAAGTCGCAGGGCGTAGGATTGGAGGCCTTACCTGCAACAGAAAGGGCCAGAGGCACCACGGAAAGGGCAAGCGAGAGACGCATAGTGACCAAAAGGAATTGGAACGAGTGTGATTTAGAGAACGTTGAACGAGAGAATTTCAGATCTTAGAATTTAAGAATATCTTCAAAGGCTTGGAAGGGAAAAGGTACAGGTTCAGGGCGAGATGTGACATTAAGTAGATACAAGGAAACCGAGGCATACAATACGAACAAACGCTGAAAATAGATTCAGATGCGGACTAGCACGTTTGCAATGCACGATGTCCGAAAATGTGAATCAGGGCACTACGGTGAAGATTCTTCCTAAATTACTCGTTTAGGATATGATGTCTCTAGTCGATATGGAGCGGGAAAGGCAACCATGGTCTCGGGCAGAATTGTCAAGCTAGTTTCAGTACCAGTGCCACTTGGATTTACATTTGTAACAATTTACCAAGTATAGCTCCCAGCGAAGAGGATCCTCCGCAATACTGGATCCTGGAATCATCCGATCACCGGTGGCAGCTCCCTAAGTCGGGTTGCACCGATTGGGCCGATAAAGACCCTGGCCAAGCTAAATCACTAGGCTGCTTGGCATCAGAGGCGGGTCGTACAGGGAAACATGGACTTTGGTCCGCTAGTTTCTGGGCGGCCTTTAGTCCCACGATAAGCCTCCAGGCGCCCCAAGCCACTCGTAATTTACCCGGTTCTGCAAGTTTCAATCTTACCATCTGTTTTTTTTCTCTTGACATTCTTTACTAGCTCCTTCATCGACAGGCACAGACCTCAAAAGGTGACTCGCATTCGTGGGTCCCTGTCTGACACGAGAACCCTTTAGGACTTTGCCAAGACTCTCGTTGATAAGAAAAATCAGCGCCAATGAAACATCCTGATTCGAAGAAAGAGCGTAGGTTTTTTTGCTCAGGTATCTTCAATACCTAAGGACCAAGGTAGGGTGACCGACTTCCTGCGCTTTCTCAGTATGTCGCGCAATCCTCAGACGCTGAAGATGCAGTTCTAGCATAGCAGCAAAAACTCTTGGGAATCGGAAGATCACCCGAGTGCCAATGAAAGGGCAAAGCAGTTGGCGTGGACATGAGAGGTCATTGCGCGGTCGACTGGTCAACTACCGCCGGAGTTTCCCTTGGTTAAATGGCTTACGGCATTATTACAAGAAAACTCAGGATCCACTGTCATGATGGGTATGGCAGAAATAGTAAAAAAGTAAGACAAAAAAAAAAAAACTGGGCAGTGCTTAACAGTACCCTGACAAGCTTGGCATGGGTTTCCATACATGACTTGACTTCTACGGAAGCTCCAAGGAAGAAAAATCCGAATTAGGAACGGAAATCGAACTCCAGGAAGCGAGAGTGGACCTGTCGTGACGATTATGAGACATCTATAAGCGCAGGCGGGAAAAGGCGGATGTACTCGCCGGTGTCCACGAGTGTCTCAAACCTGTGCAGACCGGATTTCCGTATCGAGGCTCACCCTTGCGTCTCTGTATCTGAAAAATACTACTAAACAGTGAGGAATTTTCAATTTTGTGGATTGATTAAACTATTCTAGAAAAAGAATTTTCCTTTCCCCCACGGTCGTCAATACGAGTTCGTTTAGAGACGGATTTGGTTGGGCGAGTAACTAGTAGGTACTTAGCGTTACACTCGGTCCGCAGTCCGTTTTCTAACAAGTCCACGTTCTCAGCCGTTTTCCTATACTAGTAGTCGTAAATGTTTACATTGCTGTTGCCAAAGTCAGCTTTAGTTCAACAGCCGCTCAGGAAGGGGGCGGGATAACATACAAGTCCTGTTGTAGGTTATCTTGCTCGACAGCGACCGCGCTAACCCATACACTAACACTCATAGCCTTGACAGGGAAATTACCATAGCCCCTTTTATCGATGAGAACAGATGCGCTATGATACCCCAGGATATCAGTCCACTCTGTACTGGCGTACTGTCGACCAATAAACATGCGTTTCTTGCTGGGCCCACCACTGCTGAGAACACACGCGAGTCCGGGGTGATAGGCATTGCCGTGGCGGACGAACCCTGTGACTCGGTCAGAGGTGATTATGCGTAGAAAAGGGGTGATAGCAGAGACGAACCGATGCAATTGGCTTGGTCGAAGTAATCTTCCTGTTCGCCATATGCGTATCGCTTCCGTGCTTGGCTCAAAATTGGGAGCTTCCCATCACACGCTCGGGTCATTGGATCCTGGACATTAGCTCGGATTCCGTATACATCTCCGTAGAAAATACAAGGTTGACCCCCTTTTCGAAGGAGGATCAGTGCATAGGCCAGCAGCTTGAATGATGAGGCGACTGGGGTCTGACGCATCGTTAGCTTGGCCGATCCTTCGAAGTAACCCCCCAAGGCTACACAAGCACGTTCCGCTTACCTCCAGCATTTGCCCTACTTGCTATAACAGGGGTCAGCAAATTTGCGCAGTGGCCCAAGTCACAGTGACTTAGATCAGGCTCAGCCTCGAGTGCTTACCGTATCATGGTTGGCAACAAATGTCTTGAACACGTCAGCATTCGTAAACCAAATTCAGCTGGTCTGAAATCTTACCACGGCGTTATCCGGCTTGGTCTGTACCAATGTACCATCGAAAATCCCGCGAAGGTCTGGATTTCGAGTATGCGAAAGCTCAGAGAACTTTATCAAAAGAGGCACATCGTAAGCCATGGTCTGGTGGTTCACCTTCTCCAGGTAGTCGTGAATAGCCGATACGTTCCCCGTCCAGTACTCGCCCAGCACGATAAAGTTGGGGTTCGCATTCTCCCGGACGTGCTCGACGAATGCTTTTTGAAATCGCGTCGAGAAGTGCTTGGCGGCATCGAGTCTCATCCCACTGAGGGAAAGGGATTTCGTGATCCAGGTTCCCCAGTGCAATAGATCCTCCTGAACATCAGGATGCGAATGGTCAAGATCAGCGAACATAAGATAATCGTAATTCCCATTTTCATCAGAAACATCTGATGCCCAATCCTTGTTGGGCCCAAGGATTTTGTAAATCTGTTGCTTCTTTCCCTTGTCATCCCAGTCGACGCCACTGAAATGTTGCCAGTGATATTTCATGGAGCTGTACCTTTCCCCGCGACCGGGGAAATCAAAGCCGGTCCAGCCATGTATCTCCAAAGGTTTGGATATTTCTTTGTTTCGTTCTGTCCGATCTGCATCAGTAGAGTCCAAACGAGGAAACAGATGGAAAACACACGCTTCGGATCTACTGCAACCGCATTGAATTGTTCCGGATACTCCGCTCCGGCCTTGTGATTGAGAACAGCATCCCAAATCACACCAATCCCCAGATGATGCGCGTGGCGCATCAACTCTTCGAGTTCCATGCGACTGCCCCACTTCGTTGAGATGGCTCCCTGTTGATCAAACTCTCCAAGATCAAAGAGATCATAAATGTCATACCCATTGCCACGAGGATCCATCCCCTTGCAGCCGGGGGGGGATCCAGATCTGGTCAACGCCAATAGATTTCCATTCTGGCAATGCTAATTTCAAGCGAAGCCAATGGCGGTGATCGGCAGGTACATGCCATTCAAATGCTTGCAGGATTAACGTGTTGTCTGGTGCTGTCCATGATGGCAGCCGATCAAGATTTTGTGCTGCTTCTGGAAATTACAGCCGTGGCGATGTTAGCTCTCGAATAGTGAAGCTTTTGGTTCCCAAGAACCGACCTTCTCTCTTTGCTAGAATCTGTCTTTCCCGCCGGCGGGATCCACTGAAACATGAAAAGAACGATACCATTTTGAATCGGTGATCAATGGCACGGAAATCATACGTCGAAAGGGGGCAATATGCTCGAATCCCCAGAACCTCAGGTAAGCGGCAAAACGACGCCGTGCCCCAGGCTCCCAGGCTCCCTAGTCGCGTTGAAAATGGATCTTTAGGTACCCGTGGATCCGACTGCTCCTGACCCAACGAGAGTGAGACTTGACCTATCTACTTGTGGGGCGCAAAATTCAACCATTCTATTTTTAATTTACCGTAAATTACGGTACCTTGCGCAGGACTCAGGTTGAGCGTGGTCTGTATACGCGGAATAAGAGGGCGCTGATTCGCTGAAGAATCTGATAAGCACTCAATTGATCCCCTCGAAAGATAAGTCAACGATCGATGCTTGTATGTGATCGTGAGGCAGTTTTCGCCCCCAGATAATATCAAAAAGCTCAATAACTTAAATACAATTAGGCCATAATGTGCAGACATCCCATATTCTCCAGAAAATGACAGCGAGAATTGAAGACGGCGCATTGCGACCGTGAAAAGGTGGATAAATATCGTACACCAAGGGATATATATATATAAACAGAGAAGTGAATCGCTAACGCCCTCCAAACACTCCCAAAGGAGTGAAAACAATAATAATAATAATAATAATGCATTATCCTCCGCGCACTCAGAACATCGTCATTAGGCCTGTCGTAATTGCCAACATGAGAGCGACACAAGCAACGCGATTGGGGGTTCCACCGCCAACGACTCCAAGCGAGGCTGAAGTCTTGCCCGTCTTAATGGCTGCCAAAGACAAGTTGGCTGCTGGCCAGCTACAAAGACCACTACCTTCCATAAATTGGGTCGGATAGAAGACTCGAGGCTCACCCTTATCCATGTCGACGGTGAGTTCTCCCATGTCGTTGAGCGTGTAGTTCTTGCAGGTTAGAATCTCAGTCACCACCGTGCCCGCATTGTAGCTGAACGGTAAGGTAAGCTGATACGCCCCGCCTTGCGATCCTTGATTGTTGAGGAGTGTCAAGACTTGGAGACCCTCGATGCCCTTGACGAAAGCGATCTCACTGCTGCCGACGAAAACAGATCGTGACTCAGTCGTCACGTAGTCGTTATCGAGCTTGTAAGCGTGTTTTCGAATCGTGTTGAGTTTTTTGATTAATTGGTAAAGGACGGCGTCGGTATTATAGTCGGTAAGCCATATGGCTTGACGGTTCAACGGGGTGCCTGTTCCTGGGAGGTGCTGTTCTTGGCCTTCGTAAATCATCGGCACGCCGTCGAAAAGAATGGTAAAGGCGAGGATGTTTTTGGCAAGCTTCAAGTAGTATGTTAATTATTGGGCGGTCGGGTTGTGCGGGGCATATAGACCTACCGAAATATCGTCGTCGAAACTGGCAATGCGTTCGACATCATGGTTCTCAGAGAAGGAGACGAGAGATGTCACATCTGGACAGGCAGCCTTCATCTGTTCCACCGTCAACGCGAGTTGGCTAATGTTGCCGTTTGTGAAGGCAGTCAACATTGCGTAGTAGACCGGATAGTTTGGCATGCTACCAATGTACTTCTCTTGGTAATTGCAGATAATGTCGACTTCCGATTGAAGAACTTCCCCGGTCATGAATGCAGTGCTCGAGTCGACGAAATTCTTCAAGAATCCAGGACTGACGTGCTTGGCCGCATCGATACGAAGCCCATCAACGGAATAAGTCTTCATTACGTCCGCAGCCCAGTCGATCATAATCTTTTGAACGTCTTCGTGCTCAGTGTAAAGATCGGGAAGAGCGACATACGTGTCACCTGTTTGACACAGTTGCGCGTTGGTAAAGTTCTCCCAGTTGGTGATCTTGCAGTAAGGATGGAAGTAGTCGGCATTGTTGAATGGAGTGAGGACGGAGTAGTCGATGTGAGTGGCCGGGTTGCTTCCATTGGTCATGTAGGCCATGTTGTTGATGACCGTATCCATCAACAGGTACATCCCTCGCTCGTGAATAGCATCACTCAGATCGAGCAAGTCTTGTTTCGTGCCGAAATTTGGGTTGATTTCGTAGATATCCAGTGGCCAGTACCCGTGGTAGGCTTCACCATAGTAAACGTGACCGGAGAGGTTCTCAATGATGGGAGATATCATAACAGCATCAAACCCCATGCCTTGGATATAGTCAAGGTGATTGATTGTACCTCTCCATGTTCCTCCGCAATAAAGGCCCGCCGTGGTGTTGCATGGGGCAGTAGTCGAGCCATCTGTGCGTGCAAAACGATCTGTCATGGTTTGATAAACGACTCTTGACTTCCATTCAGCCGTAGTTGCAGCCAAGGCTGAATTAAGTAGGCTCAAAGACAGGAAGAGCTGGGTCCAACGGCATAGATTCCGCGGTGCTAACATTTTGGCGCATGAAAGGCGCGTGCCAGGCTGTGAAAGTCGAAAAAGGGATAGAATAGGCGCGAGAAAGAGCCCAAAGGCGAGGGCGAGGGAGTGATAAGATTGCGTGTAAACGAATGAACCAAGTAATGAGTGAATTAAGATTGCAAAAGGATGAAAAACGAGTGCGGGGGTTCAGGCAAAGAGAGAGCAGAAGGAATCCATCCCGGACTAGACGATTAGAACCAAAACCGTAGTGAAGAAACGGGGAAGAGCCTGTGCAAGGGGAAAACCTCGGCCCCGCGCCGGTAGTGATTCCATATCGCACTAGCTTGAGGCTAGCGCTAGACTGGACTATGCAAAATTCCTTGTTTGTGGGTGTGACCTGGATACAAAAGATAACCTAGAGCTAATCCAGGTTTGGTTCATCCGTCGAGTCATGAGATTATCCTGATATGAGTGCTCGAGGACGCAAAGCCAATGGATCTAGCGTGGGTTTATTTTAGGAGACCGAGCATGTAGATAGATAGCACACTGCTGCACTGGAATTTTTGTGGCCCAGGCGTCATTTTTCAAGGTTTGTGTGAACGGTTCCTGGTGGACTGCTGGGGTAGAAGAACAGTGGATAAACTTGGAAAAATGAGGACGGGTCTAGTGTGGTCTAATATGTTTCTAGGAAATCAGGCATTGTAGGTTCCTGACTCAGAGACTCAGCCGAATAAGCGATCGACAGTTTACTTTCTGCGACAGAAGCCTTCTCGATTGTCAAAACTGAGACTCTCATGCCCCATCCTCGTAATGACGCGTGGGGGACTCCATGTGGCCGTGAGACCTCTGTGAGACCTCCGTGAGACCTCTTACTCAAGAATTAACCGTAACGGTTACATTTCTCACATTCTGGGCGGTACCTGCTTTTCCAATTCAGAAGGGACAATTGTCCGAGACAACCCTGCTCGGTGGCAGGGGTCGTGGGGAGGGGGGTGTTTCTCTCTCATTTCCACATCTCGCCCAACCAGAGACAGGAAACCCAATCTTGGAGGGCCTGGATGCCTGAGGACTCTTACCCTGGGTTTACGCTGTCAGATACCTCAGTACGGAGAACGGAGTTCCTAAGTACCTAATTAGTTGGGTTCGGGGGTGATAATTCCGAGACATTGGTAATTTAGTCAGAATAACAACACCAACCATAATTGCATCACGGACAATCCACGGGTCCGGCCTTGGCACTACTTATATTCCGGGAATACGAAAGGAAAACCCAAGCAGTTCCGCACCAGAGACCAGGTATTTATACGAGGGATGGGCAAGACTTGAGAGAATTACTCCCTTGAGACAAGGGGCAAACGAGCACCAGCAGTGCGCATGATAAGAGGATGTGATTGGCGTGAGACCGATATCGAGTCCAAGGAAAAGCCAAAGGTGCGTGCGAGTATCCCAGCACCAGTCAGCATCCACACCGGGTGGCTGTTAACCGGTGGCTGTTTTGCTTATCTAAACCAATGGATCGACGTAGGCGGCTTGTTCCGGGTTTGTGGCGTTCAGGGTCCGACTGTTGGTATGTATGTCTCAGATCCACACTAGGCAGAGGAGCGAATGCCTTTCCAGATTTATCCGAGTAGTCCGTAGGTGCAAATTACACCTCAGCCTTCGGTAATCGTGCGTATAGGGCGGTGGGACATGTCACCGTTTGACTAGCCCTCGTGGCATGTGGTATGCACGCTGCATTCTTCAGTCACATCCAATATTGGCTGCGGATAAAAGTTTGGCATTGGGCCTGAGATGATCAGCACACAATCCCCACAGGCCAAAAAAAAGAATGGAATCTGGCCGAGAACTGGGATTGCGAGACAAATGCCCCACCTCCATATGTTCTGTGGGTGCCCCCCTTTATTTTTTTTTTGTCTACGAAAAAAGGGAAAAGCTGGGAAAGCTCGAGAAAATATGATACGATAAGGTGACTTGTAAGCACCGTGTTCTTGGCATCGTACCTGAGCCGATCATTGGCTGTAAACTAACAGAGCCGATAACCTTCGAATGTGACGCTAACATACCGAGCCAAGTTTTCAAGCTTCTAGGAATAAAGGGGCGACGGTTTTGCACGGTGAAATGTGAAGTGAAAAATACGATCTCTCTAAAAGGCAAAATTACCGCCAAAAGCCAATCGGCCGCCGAAACGCGGGATCCACCCGCGGCACCGCAGCCGAAAATTGCAGAGGGTCACGGCCCGTATTTTTCGATATCGGTAAAATCTCATAGCGCTGGTTCGATCTATCTGGTGTATTCTCTACTTCCCAGAATGCCGGTGAACACGAGGTGCTCCGAGCGTCTCACCGCGTGCATTTCCGAACTTTATTCCACTCGGATAGATTGACTAAGGAGGCTGAGAAGGCTGAGAAGGCTGTGAGCTGGCCGTTGCCTAGCGGCAAAGATCGCAATTATCTACGGTTTGTGATTCATGAGGTCTACGTAGTACGGAGCTAAGAGGCAGCAACCGGTGTTTCTAATGTTCTTCGAAACGGCTGCTATGTCTGTTTCAGCGAAACATGGACGGGATCCACGGATGGACCAGTCCGCCAGAATAACGGGGCTATCTGCAGGTGGTGCCCTACAAGGCTCCTGTGTCTTTTTCTTAGATCCGCAAATGGCTGGAACTGGCTTTCTATCGATACGAGACCGCTGGCTCCGCCCTTTTCGGTGTGTCCCCGTGGGACTTACCTTTGAATAGGCGGTGGGTTCCTGGCTCTGCGAGTCCAATGCACGTACACTAGTGGGTTTTAATATTTTAATGCGACTAAGAAAAAAAATTTATTACACCCCAATAATTCCCAATCTAGACAGAGCTCACGGCGTTAGCCGCAATACGGTCCGGTTCCTGCCAGTCTTAGCGTTCTCGTTCGCATCTACGCCAAGTTCTATTATCAGAGCCGGGCCTCTTAGCTTGTCTCAATTCGCCTAGCGATACTAATTTAATCCGACATTTATTTTTGTGCATGCCTCAAAAGCCGAGGCCACTAATTTTGCCTTCGTGTCAGCCTCGTTCGTTTACCTTATTGAGATGTGACTTACCTTTCTTTCTTCTTTCCTCCATCTCTCCCCTTGTCTCAATACCTGGCGTTCTTCTTGACTTCTGTTCTTGATGCGCTGTCCAATCGTTTATTGAAAAAGTATATTGGGTACCTGGATCGCCATCATCCAGATAAGCCCCCGCATTTCTTTCTTTGCGGGTTCCTGAAGCAGAGCGCGACACTTGCGCACACCTGCTCTTTTCCGGGGATATTTCTTCTTTTCTCCTCTGAAACATCCTGGTAGCAGGACTGTCAGAGGTTGACGAGGATCACACCTATATATCACCTAATCTACAATGAGGTGGTCGACATACAGCGGGTTGGCGGCGCTCTTCGCCGCCACCGCAGCATGCTGGCCTTACGACGAGTCGTTTCTTGAATACAATCTGAACACAAACAAGACCGCAACAGAACCTACGGACTACTGGGGAGAATGGCCAGGCCACACCGGAAGCTATCATCCTTCCCCAGACAACTGGCGCTTCCCCTTCTATACCCTCATGATGGATCGCTTCGTCAATGGCGACCCTACCAACGATAATATTAATGGCACATTATTCGAACACGATCTTAACTCAAACCAAATGCGCCATGGAGGTGATGTGGAAGGTCTTGTCGACACACTGGACTACCTCCAAGGAATGGGTATCAAGGTTAGTTTTCTTCCACGCGCATCGGAAATCTCATTCTTACAAGCGTGCAGGGTCTCTACCTCGCTGGTACCTCTCTGATGAACCAGCCTTGGGGCTTTGATGGTTATTCTGCTTTGGATACAACGTTGCTGGATCAACATTATGGTACCATTCAGGTTTGGCGAGATGCGATTACTGAGATCCACAAGCGTGGCATGTATGTCGTCTTCGACAACACGATTGCTACGTAAGGCTTCTTCTACTCCGAGACTATGGGAATCAATCGCTAACCAAATATTTCCAGGATGGGTGACTTGATCGGGTTCGAAGGACATCTCAACACCACGACGCCCTTTTCTGAGAAAGAATACCCTGTTCAGTGGAAGACCTCCCGTCACTACGTCGATTTCGAAATCGGAAACACATACAATGCTAGTTGTGATTACCCCCGATTCTGGTACGAGAACGGCTATCCGGTCAATCAGTCTATGACCGCAGAGCTTGTTGGTTGCTACGACAGTGATTTCGATCAGTACGGTGACATCGAAGCTTTCGGTGTGTACCCCGACTGGAAGCGTGAGCTCGCCAAGTTCGCCTCCGTGCAGGACCGTCTTCGTGAATGGCATCCAGTCGTTCGTAGCAGACTGATTCGTCACTCTTGCATGATCATTGCTTCTTTGGACATCGATGGTTTCCGATACGATAAAGCTACTCAATCAACCGTGGATGCGCTCGGAGACATGTCTTCCGCCTACCGTGAATGCGCCCGCGCTGTGGGCAAAGAGAACTTTTTCATCGCAGGTGAAATCACTGGTGGTAACACCTTTGGATCCATCTATCTTGGTCGTGGCAGACAGCCGAACCAGTTCCCTCCCGATGCTATTAGTGCGATGAAGTTGACCAACGAGTCCGATTCCCAGTACTTCCTGCGTGATCTTGGCCAGGAAGCAATTGACGGCGCCGCCTTCCACTACTCTACCTACCGTGCCCTCACTCGTTTCCTGGGCATGGACGGTCAACTTTCCGCCGGTTACGATGTGCCCATTGACTGGGTTGATGCATGGAATGAAATGCTGCAGACGAACGACTTAGTCAATGCGAATACTGGAAAATTCGACCCTCGACACATGTATGGCGCCACCAACCAGGATGTTTTCCGTTGGCCGGCAATCCAGTATGGTATTGAGCGTCAGCTGCTTGGCTCCTACATCACTACATTGCTTCTTCCTGGAATTCCTCTTGTTCTGTGGGGTGAAGAGCAGGCCTTCTACGTCCTGGACGCAACTGCAGAGAATTATATCTATGGTCGTCAATCGATGTCTGCTGCCACCGCTTGGGAAATGCATGGTTGTTTCGCCTTGAATTCATCTCAATACTATAAATGGCCCGTCGACAACGCTCGCAATGGTTGCCGCGACCCAACAGTATCCTACGACCACCGCGATCCTTCTCACCCAGTGCGCAACATCATGAAGCACATGTTTCAACTGCGCGAACAATTCCCTGTTTTGAATGATGGCTACTCGATTCAGAGACTGTCAAACTCCACCGAGAATGTGTACTACCCTGGTTCAGCCGATGTCGCTACCCAGACTGGAATGTGGTCCGTTGTGCGCAACGTCAACATCGATGTCCAAGATCTGGGCTCTGACTCTGCCAACCAGCCTATTTGGTTGGTCTACCAAAATACCAATCGGACAATTGACTACACGTTTGATTGCACCTCCAAAGACACCTCGATTGCCCTGATATCCCCGTTCGATGCAGGCACCACGGTCAAGAATCTCTTCCATCCTCATGACGAGTTCAAGTTGGAGGCTAGCGCGCTAAAGCTTGGGTTGAACGGATCTACTGAATACAACGGTTGCTACCCCAAGTTGTCTCTCGGTGCCTATGAGTTCCGTGCCTACGTTCCCATAGACCAGTTCCAGTCACCCAGGCCTATGCTCACCGCGTTTACCCCTGGTCACGATGCTCCTATTCGTTCAACTGTGGCACCTAACCTCTCGGAAGATGTGCATATTGAGTTGTACTTCTCACAAGAAATGGACTGCGATTCTATCACCAGCGGCATCTACTTGAACTCATCGACAGAAACTGGCAACACGGCGATACTTGACTCGAAGACTGTCAACTGCACAACTATCTCTGAAACCGATACCACATACACTGGCCAAATCCCCAGCGTTTTCAAGTGGGCTGCGAACTTGACTGGCGTTTACAACGGTGTTCACCGATTGACTCTAAACAACGCAACCAATACTCATGGAACCGCGTCCACTGAGGCGGTCGACCACTTACTGTTCCGAATTGGCCAAATTGATAACCCCATGGTGTTCCCCACTGCCAACTACTCTTCCAGTTTGCTTCACCAGGAATCGAGCAACGATACTCTTTTCATCCAGCACCACGCTGCTGGCGCCGATATGTACCGTTACTCCACTAACTGGGGCACGACTTTCTCCAATTGGATGACCTACAATGGTGGTAACAATACTATCGAGACCCTTCCTTGGTCTGGCACAAAGAAGCAAGCTTGGGATGGCGAACATGTGCGCGTTGAGTACTGGAGCCGCTGGACTGGTAGCAGTGACTACGTTCAACAAGGTGATACCAACTGGAAATCCGGCGTTCCACGTCGCTTCCCTCATGCCTTCTTCAACGGACCTTACAACGAGTATGGCTATGACAATGGACTTGATAACACGATCAAGCTCGACGAGGAAAGTGGATACTGGAAGTATCATTTCACATATGAATGGCCCGCTGTCGGACAGCTCAACATTTGGGGTATCAACCCCGATGGAACTCCCGATCAGAGTTGGGTACTCGGTGATGCAGATGGTGACAGTATCTTGGATCGTATGCCTCCTTCTTCCCTGACAAGCACTATTATCAACATCACCAAGTCTCCTCCCTCGCCGTACGTGGCCTGGGAGCTCTTCATCAACGATGCTACCCAGCGCTACGATCTGATTCCCGTTGGTTCTCAACACTCGCAAATTGTCATGTTTGTCCTCTTCTGGCTTATTCCCGGTATCACTGGAGCAGCCTGTGTCTGGATCTTCATGAAGTCCTTCTACAAGGTAAAGTTCAACGAGAACGGTGCCACTGAGAAGTCTGGTTCTCTGCTGGCTCCGATGGTCTTTTTAAGGAAGCTGAAGCCCTCGCGTTCCACCGAGAAAGGTGATCATGTCAATCCTCTTATGCGTCTTGCAAACAAGTCCGGCTTTATGCAGAGCACCACTGCCCTCGCTGGAGCTGCAGGAAATGGCAAGCGCCGCATGGTTCTCATCGCCACCATGGAGTACGATATTGAGGACTGGGCTATCAAGATCAAGATTGGTGGTCTTGGTGTCATGGCTCAGCTCATGGGTAAAACTCTCGGTCACCAGGATTTGATCTGGGTTGTTCCTTGCGTTGGTGGTGTCGATTATCCTGTCGACCAGCCGGCAGATCCCATGACTGTGACCATCTTGGGCAGCGAATACCAGGTTCAGGTTCAATACCACGTCTTGAAGAACATCACCTACGTTCTTCTCGACGCTCCCGTATTCCGCCAGCAGTCGAAGTCCGAACCTTACCCGGCACGCATGGATGACTTGGACAGCGCAGTCTACTATTCCGCTTGGAACCAGTGTATTGCCCAGGCCATCAAGCGCTTCCCTATCGACCTCTACCACATTAACGATTACCACGGATCCGTCGCTCCTCTCTACCTCTTGCCGGAGACTATCCCTGCCTGTCTTTCTCTTCACAACGCTGAGTTCCAGGGTCTTTGGCCTATGCGCACTCAGAAGGAACGTCGTGAAGTTTGCGAGGTTTTCAATCTCGAGGAAGAGGTTGCTCGTCGCTACGTCCAGTTCGGTGAGGTGTTCAACTTGCTCCACGCAGGTGCGAGCTACCTCCGCGTCCAGCAACAAGGTTTCGGTGCCGTCGGTGTGTCCAAGAAGTACGGCAAGCGTTCTTACGCTCGTTACCCCATTTTTTGGGGTCTGCGCAAGGTCGGTAACCTGCCAAACCCCGATCCTTCTGATGTCGGAGAATGGACGAAGCAACCTATCAAGGACGAGGATATTACCGTGGATCCCGACTACGAGGCTGGTCGTGGGGAGCTCAAACGACAGGCTCAGGAGTGGGCAGGTCTCGAGCAAAATCCGGATGCTGATCTTTTGGTGTTCGTCGGTCGCTGGTCGATGCAGAAGGGTGTCGATCTCATCGCTGATGCACTTCCCGCTGTTCTTGAGGCTCGCCCCAATGTGCAAGTTATTTGCATTGGCCCCGTCATTGATCTCTACGGAAAATTCGCAGCTCTCAAGCTTGGTCGCATGATGGAAGTCTACCCTGGCCGTGTCTTCTCCAAACCCGAGTTTACTGCTCTTCCTCCTTTCATTTTCTCTGGTGCTGAATTCGCCCTGATCCCGTCTCGTGACGAGCCCTTCGGTCTCGTTGCAGTAGAGTTCGGTCGTAAGGGTGCCCTCGGTATTGGTGCTCGTGTTGGTGGTCTTGGTCAGATGCCTGGTTGGTGGTATAACGTGGAATCGACCTCGACTAAGCATTTGCTGGTCCAGTTCAAGCTGGCTATTGAGGCTGCGCTTAACTCTAAGGTTGATACCCGTGCCATGATGCGTGCCAGATCCGCGAAGCAACGGTTCCCCGTCGCTCAGTGGGTTGAGGATCTCGAGATCCTCCAATCTACTGCCATCGAGGTCCACAATAAGGAGGTTGCAAAGGGTCACGGTCGTCCTGTCACTTCTTCTGGACTCAACGTTTCGGGAAGAAGCACACCTACTGGAACCATGAGATCCCAGCAGTCTATGGCTCTTGGTCCACTGTCCCCGCCTTCTAACGCCGCCTTCCCTCATTCCAGAGATAGCAGCTACTCGAGCTTCAATCAGATCAGCGATCTGGGTGGGAACAAGAGAACAACTATCTACAGCCGAGACATCAGCCCGTCAGAGACCGAGAAGCCCAAGTCCGGCCTCAGCCGTTCCCTCTCTCTGGGTGTTCGATCAGGACCTGGTCACCACGACCGTCGTGGCCGTCGCAACATGCCCGAGGGCGATCTTTCGGAGGCCGAGAATGAGGAAAGCAGCGACGAAGACAGAGCCCACAGCATCTATGGTGATGATGAATACACGCTTACTCCTGCCGAGGTCGAAGAGGGCCGTCGCGCGCAGGCTGCTCAGAGTCAGAGACAGGTCTCCTCCGGCTTGTACTCCCCATCTCGTCGCATGAGTCAGGAGTCCACACATGCTAGATTCCTCGCTCCTCCTATGAGCCCCGGAACTCCCCCAGCCGGACCCGATCAGCTTCTTCTTCCTCCCCAGCCCTTCGCCCAGACCAACCGATTCAGTAACGCATCTGTTCTCTCTCTTGATTCTGTTGTTGGCAACAAGAAGGATTTCAAGCTACAAAAGGTCGATCCGTTCTTCACTGACGGCACGGGTGAATACTATCACAACTTTGAGGAAAAGTTGGAGGGCCTGAATGGCTCCAACTCTGAAAGTGAGCTCTGCATTGAAGAGTTCCTGGTCAAGAGTGAGCAGGAGTGGTTCGATCGCTTCCGCAACGCCAAACTTGGTCGTAACAACCACAACCCGAGGTCCCCAACGCCCTCAATCTTCCGTTCAAAGCACAGTGCATCGCCCGCAGGAGACTATGATGAGGGCCTCTCTCATATTGCTCTCAGTGAGAGTAATGACAGTGAAGATGATGAGTTCCTTCTTGGAAAGGACTATGTCCCTCCCACAGGTCTCAGAAAGTGGATGCAGATCAAGATCGGTGACTGGCCTGTATATTCGATCTTCCTGGCTTTGGGTCAAATCATTGCCGCGAACTCGTACCAGATCACATTGCTTACCGGCGAAGTTGGTGAGACCGCAGAGAAGCTCTATGGTATCGCTACTACCTATGCCATTACCTCTGTGCTTTGGTGGATGTGTTACCGCTACTTCAAGTCTGTCGTCTGTCTCTCAACTCCCTGGTTCCTCTATGGTCTGGCTTTCCTCCTGATTGGCTCTGCTCATTGGGAAGGCAACTCCTTCAACCGCGGATGGATCCAGAACATTGGATCTGGATGTTACGCCGCCGCTTCTTCTAGTGGATCTATCTTCTTCGCCTCCAACTTCGGTGATGAAGGTGGTGCCCCTGTCGAAACTTGGATCTTCCGTGCATGTGTTATTCAAGGTGTTCAACAGGCCTATGTTATTGCTCTTTGGTACTGGGGTTCGACCCTGACCAAGGCTAATAGCGAGGGCCTGCTGAACTCTGACACTGCCATCTCAAACACTTGGAAGATGTCGGCTATCTGTTATCCGATCGCAATTTTTATCTGGGGTGTTGGTCTGCTGCTTTTCTTTGGCCTGCCCAACTACTACCGCCAGAAGCCTGGCAAGGTGCCTTCCTTCTACAAGTCTCTGTTCCGCAGAAAGATTGTCCTTTGGAACTTTGTGGCCGTCATCTTGCAAAACTTCTTCCTCAGTGCTCCCTACGGTCGCAACTGGAGCTGTAAGTCTTCCCTCCAATCATGCTTTCAATTTTCAAAATGCTAACTTTCTTTCTTTCCAGTCCTGTGGACCACAGCTCACGCCACTGCATGGGAGATCGTCATTCTGTGCATCGTATTCTTCGGCATCGTGTGGTGTATCTTCCTATTCATCATCAGCAAGTTCTCTAAGCGACACAGTTGGTTCCTTCCTGTTTTCGCCTGTGGTCTAGGCGCGCCTCGCTTCATTCAGATCTGGTGGGCTGTCTCGGGCATCGGCTATCATCTGCCCTGGGTGGCAGGTGGATACACCGGAGCAGCCCTCGCTTCTCGCAGTCTTTGGCTGTGGCTCGGAGTGCTGGACTCGATCCAGGGTCTCGGATTCGGTGTCATCCTTCTGCAGACACTGACACGTGTGCATATGTGCTTTGCACTCATCGCCTCACAAGTCCTTGGTTCCATCGCAACTATTTGCGCACGAGCCTTTGGTCCCAATGGTGTAGGCCCTGGGCCCGTCAGCCCAGACATGACCAAGGGAGCTGGGGAACTGGCAAACGCCTGGTTCTGGGTCGCTTTACTGTCCCAGCTCCTCATCTGTGCTGGGTTCTTGCTGTTCTTCCGGAAAGAGCAGCTTTCCAAGCCCTAAGCACGACTCAATGTGCTCCTCCGTTCTTCATTCCAAGGCCATACTGGGTCTTGGGTGACAACACACACACACACACACCCCCATCCACACACCCATACACACACACACACACCCCCATCCACACACCCATACACACACACACACACACACACACACACACACACACACACACACACACACACACACACACACACACACTCATGCATATTTGATATGACTCGCATTTACACTCCTTCCATCCTGCACATTTATACGGTTCCTTTTACTTTTTGGTCGGTAGTGTGGCGTTCCCGGATATACCGATAACTAATTGATGTGACAATCATCGGACTGTATATAGATACTGTTTCTGTACTCTGCTTGCAAGTTATCCCCCTGTTTTTTTATCTTGATACTGTTGTTCGATGATACTTTAAAGTATATCTGATATCAAATGTGTGGACACGCCCACTTTCATGTTTCCAACATTCGAAATAATATCTACAACCATGTGTCCGATGCATATACATTTTTCTATTTAACTGTAGCATATTCATACACATGACTATGAATAGGAAGATGCCTTAGAAATCATTAGAAAAAACGACCTTAGGTAGTGGATAAAAGACCAACTAGAAGACAGAACTTTGGTATGACCATGTGTGGCTAACAACGGCGGGGAGCGCGGTTAACGGAGATAAGGTGGAGTTCCGCCTTACATGTCAACGTTCTGATCTCCTCATCCACCCCCGCCTTGAGTGGACTCTTCCAATCCGATCGGAACCATACATCTGCGCTATAATTTACCTGAACGTTTTCCAATAATTCCCATGTCCAATCCTAGTCCCATCTCCGATCCTGCTGGCGACCCATTCGTGGAGAACTCGGCCGCAGCGCGCAAGAAGAGGACCCGAGTGCAGTTTTCGTGCACAGCATGCAGAGTCCGAAAGTAGGCCTTGTTTTCTCAAAAGACTTTTTGTTGCCTTGTCTTATTACTGATCACCTGCAGGCTAAAATGCTGTCGCACGTTCCCGTGCACGAACTGTACGAGGCGTGGCGACGCAGAGTCATGTACCTTCGTTGGTCGTGGACCACGAGGAAAAGCTCAACATGGGCGCTCGAGCCCGACCCTCGTACAGGATCGCTTGCAACATTTGGAGAATCTGGTGATGTCGCTGGCCAAGCAGCAGAAACCTGGCGATTCAATACCCGACTTCAACGCTGCTGTGGCTGCAAATAGCGTGGGCTATGACACGCCGCCTTCGCTGTCTACTGATGATCGCGAAAACAAGCAGTCACTGCGTGATCCCGGCACACTGCTCGTGAACGGCGAGGGAACGAATTATATTGATAGCGCGAACTGGCGTGCCATTCTTGAAGAGGTTTGTATTGATCCTGATATCATTGAGAATTGTGAGCTGACGGAATCCAAGATCAATGGGGTCAAGGAACATATTGAAGAGCTTGCAGAGAACTCTGACGATGACGGACTTGAAGAAGATCCATATAGTGATAACTCCCCGGCTCTGCTACTTGGAACTGGTAGACCTTTCAGCAAAGAAGAGCTGATCGTGGACATCCCACCGCGATCGACTGTTGACCGACTCGTCTCTCGCTTTCTCAAAACCCCGGAGCCATCAATTCTGGCGATCCATGTGCCGACTTTCCAGAAAGAGTACGAGCAATTCTGGACGTTTCCGCAGGGTATGTCTTACACATGGATCGCCCTGCTTTATTCAATTATGGCCTTGTCGATATCCATGTACCACCGAAGCGATGAACCTCTACCTCTCAACACGGTTGATTCGATGACTGCTTGGAACCATTTTCGAAGACTGGCAGCACAGTGCTTGACACAAGCGAACTACATAACACCTGGACAGCACAAAGTCGAAGCGCTGCTCATGTACACACTGTCTGAGTTTTATCGCAACCTGGATGCCCAGATGGGAGTTTCGTTCCTCTTTGGGATCACGATTCGACTAGCCATGCGTATGGGATACCATCGTGACCCAAGCCACTATCCAGGCCTTTCTGCCAAGGATGGTGAAATGCGCCGCCGTACATGGGCTCTATTAACCCAGCTCGACACTTTAATCTCGTTCCAGGTCGGTCTGCCACGGACCATCCAGCCCTGGTTTTCGGATACCGGGCTACCATCGAATTTGTTAGACACAGATTTCGATGAAGATACAACTGTATTGCCACAGAGTCGACCTGACGATGAACGAACGCCTTCCTCGTACACATGTGCCAAAGCCCGCATCCAGCACGTCTTTGGACAAATTTCCGACTTGGCATACTCACGCGAACCGGTGTCCTATGATGAAATTCTGGAGATCGAGCGTCGTCTTGACGAATCGCATAACATGCTGCCTTCATTCTTCCGGATACGCCCAATCGGCCAATGCATTGCAGATCCGTCAGAATTGGTTATGCGCCGGTACACACTGGAAATGCTCTACCAAAAAGCACGAATTGTGTTGCATCGTCCGTACCTTGGCGAGAGGCATAGGCATGATCATTCGCGAGTAGTCTGCTTGACAGCAGCCAAAGAAACTCTCCGCCATCATGCAGATATTTGGAATGAGTCTTTGCCCGGTGGTCAATTTCGCGCCGAGCGCTTCTTTGTGAATTCCTTCCAGAACACGGACTTCGTGCTCTCTTCTATGATTCTGTGCTTGGAGCTTTCGCATGATAATGAGCGTGGACACAATGCACATTTGAGTCTCCAAGAGCGCACCAATATTTTGGTCCTATTGGAGACGACTCAAAAGATCTTCGGAGAGACTCGGCGTCGGTCCGTCGATACACAGCGAGCATTTGCCGCGTTAAGTCTCATGCTCGGTCGAGTCAAGGGTAACCCTCTGCAGAGTCTTTCGTCTAGGAGCGACAGTCAAGATATCTCCATGGAAGGTATGTCAGAAACCTTCTTCCTTGGCGGCGATGCTAATCAAGAAACCAGATAAAACGCCCTTCCAGCCATTAACAACTCTGATGGGACAGCAACAGTATCCGACCTATACATCGGATGGTGAAATGCCGATTGCACTCTCCAACACCGATGGTGCAACCCATTACCCTTCTCTGGGCGTGATCGAGGAAATGCTCAACACCCCTGCTCAACTAGACTGGCGCTTGTATGACAGTCGAGTGTCTGGCCTTGAAGAAACAAACCAGGACAACTTTTGGTTCTCAGGCACTCCTCCTTTGCCGCTCGAGGTTGATTTCACGTATCCTCCCGGTGGTAACTTATAATCTTTGATGGCATGATGATAGTCTTACTCGAGATGAAACATATTCTAGTTGTCCACAAGTGCAAAGGAATAGAACAAAGAAAATAGCGAATGTAGAAAATGGTATACTTCACTATCTACATAGCGGAACGCGGAGTCTCGGCCGCAAGATTCCGCGCCAACTTTTCCAAGGTTCCGCGCCATCTCCAATTCCCCGATCTCCAGTCAAGCTCAAACTCGCCATTCCTCCTCCCTCCCGCTTCCAATGCGCCCATCCTGCAGTCTGCGACAAGTAAGTCGCACCAGTCGCACCCTCCTGCACTCTCAGGGCCCTGCACCACTCCGAACCGCTTGGACAATCACCACAACACATCGCCCACGCCATGCGATAACTCCACAATGCGCACCTTATACACCACGCCGTGCCTTTGGCCTCCCCTCGCTCTCATCCTTCATTCCCTCACCTAATGGCAACAGCGACCCGAAGCGCGTCCTCACAGCCACACGTACCCTCCCCTTCTCGCCCGCCCTCCTCTTCAAAGTCATCTCCTCGGTCGAATCCTACTCGCAATTCCTCCCCTTCCTCACAGCCTCAACGGTTACTGCCCGGGATCCAGATTCAGGATATCCTACCCAAGCCTTCCTTACCGTCGGCTACGGTCCTCTCAGCGAGACTTTCACTTCACGGGTAGACTGTGATTCAGCAAAAGGAATCGTCGAGGCGCGCAGCGGTGCCAAGTATGGGCAGCAGGGCGAGAAGGCGAAGGGCGGGATGAGTGGGTTCTTCCCCGGTGCGAATGAGGGGATCTTTGAGTATCTTGATACAAAGTGGCAGTTGGCACCGTTGGCGGTTGACAAGAAGGGTGGGCCGCAGACAAAGGTTGATCTGGAGGTGCGGTTTGAGTTTAAGAATCAGTTGCATGCTGCCATGATGAGTGCTGTGGAGGGGCAGATGGCCAATGTTATGATTGAGGCATTTGAGAAGCGTATGAGGGAGACGCATTCTCAGGGTCAATAGAAGAGAACCATGGGCATCTAAGTTGTATACTAGTGGTGTTCTGGCTGGGCATGTATATATATATACGGATTACATAGACCATCCCCGTGATTCATAGAAGTATCGAGCGTGAATTGCAAGATTCATTTCTATAGAGTCTGCTGTACAGGATAGATTTAGGAATGGTAAGAGAAATGGAACATGATATATAGTACAAATTATCAAGGCTTTTGACGCTCAAAGCATGCTCAGGCTGCGATTCCGGTTGGCCGTGGTCCGCGCACCCTTGACCGAGCTGACGGCGTTGTAATTGTCAAACACAACGTCCCAGTTGATCCGGTCCCACCAGCGCTCCAGGTACTCCTCCTTGCCGGCAATACCGTAGTCCATCATCCAGGCATGCTCCCAGGTGTTTACGCACAGAATGGGCTGGACGTCGATGGCGCCGGGGGCCAGGTTCTTCTGGTTCTGGGCGTGGGCTCCCATGGCACCGGCGAACTGGTTGCCGAGAGGCGCGTCGGGGGAGTGGGTGGCCATGTCAACGGGTTGCCGCCGGGAGTAGGCGGCCGGGTAGGGCGAGCCGGCGTTGTAGGTGCAGAAGATCTGCATCAGACCCTCGCGCTCGAGGTTCTTGGCGAGCCAGACGAAACCAGGGCCGAACATGGCATTGGCGGTGGCCAGGAAGTCGAGCTTGAGGGATTCGACGGAGGAACAGGTGTCGACGATGTCCTTGGCGAACTTTTCGGGAATCTTGGTGGAGGCGGGGGACTGCAGAGCTGTCAGGAATATTCGTTTGAATATAATTGCGAGTTACTCACAATGCAGTTGAAGAAGAAGTGGTTGTTGTGGGCCATGGAGGCGTAGTTGAAGACCGAGGCCATCTCCGGGCGCTTGGAGTACTTGACCAGCAACTCTCCGGGTTTGGCGTCCGCATCGGGGGTGTCTATAGAGAACAATCATGAGATCCCATTCATCCTTGTATCATTTAAGACAATCGCAAGCTCATGGCCCTCATGGCCCCGACAATCCAGCAGGGCAGGTGGACTGACCTTGTGTCAACAAGTTGAGCTTGTCCACGAGAAGGGTCTGGTATTGGGTCCAGGAGAAGTCGAAAGCCTCAGGTGACATGAACTCGGGCACACCGTTCTCCTTATAGTAGGCGTCATGCTGCAATTGGGGGATACGATGGAGGCCACGGGCCTGGGAGCGGATGGCGGAGATTGGGGTCTGGAGTACAACGCGATCAGCACGGGATGGGAGATTAAAACAAGGCAAGAGTCACCTGGAAAGAAGCCGCGCGCAAAGCGCTCGGCCGGGCGAGACGACTGAACATATTGTGTGGATAATGAGGTGGGCGACTCGTCGCAGCTCCGGAGCGCGAAGAAATTCGATCCCCGAATTGCGCTGTTATGTAAGCAAACACATGGCCAATCAGGAGCCCACAATCTACTTCTATCAATTTACGCGCCGGGCTTCACGAACCTGCACCTCTCATCTTCTGCAGACGCAAGTCATGCTTCTGCAACGGTTCATCTTAGCGCCCAGCCGTGTTGCATGCTCTCTATGCTGAAACCCGGGCCCAGCCCGGCGCGTGCCCGGAATAGATCCTTTGTATTCACTACCTGGGCTATTCATTTCTTGCTACCTTGGGCTTTGGTTTCAGGCTCCATTCAACGGCCTTGTCTCTTCGATCTTTTTGTTCAACCTTTCATTCTTTTCATTCCTTTTTTCCTTCATTCGACATCCTTTCTATCTGTGATTCTTTACCACCCCGGCTTGAACTAAGAACCGGCCTGGAGCCGCCCTCAACGACTTCTTGAACGTCCATCTTCATCTTTATTCTCCGAGAACACGACAGCCAAAAACACCTTCTTCCACCGTCATGGCGAGAATGACGGTGGGTATTGTCCAAGGACGATGGTCTGTTCTTCTGGTCTTGACCCTCATGGCCACCATCCACACAAGTCATGCTTTCGGCTCCTTCGAGCTGCTTCCACGAAGCTCAGACTCCTGCCCAACCTCATACGACTCCTGTGGTGGAAATCTACCAAGCGACTTCTGCTGCTCTTCATCTTCAACCTGCATCAGTCTAGACGATGCCACTTCCGCCATCTGCTGCCCATCAGGAGCAAGCTGTGACTACATCTCACCCATCGTCTGTGACGTTCAACAACAAAACGCAACCACCCATCCCAAGAACTCTGTCAAGACGACCCGACTCGACGATAGTCTTCCCACATGCGGAGAAGCTTGTTGCCCATTCGGCTACACCTGTCAAGGGAACAGCACCTGTGCTCTGGACAAAGCCACCTCCAGCACTGGAACGTCCACACCCACCACCACCACTTCTAGCACCTCCACCGACACCTTATCAACCATCGACACAGCCACCACTGGAGTAACATTCACATCAGTCCCCTCATCCTCCGCCTCCGCCTCCAAAGAAACTACCAACAGTGCAACCCTCGCCTCCTCATGCCCATCCTTCCCAAGCAAAGCAGTAGCGGCAGGCTTTTTCCCAGGCGCGATCTTCGGGGCCGTCCTCGTCCTCATAATAACCACTTGCTTTCGCCGTCGCGCCAAAAAGAAGGAACAGCAAGAAATGCCCTGGGAACCAAAACTAAAAGCCTGGTCCCAACGGTCCTCAACCGGTGGAGTCATAGGAATCTCCCGCCCTATCCTCTCAGAAGACTATGGCCGCTCTGATTTCCTCCTTCATCCCTCGCCGGCACGACGCAGCTACCTCAGTTCACGATCTACTAAATCAAGACTCCACCGCACGGGAAGTCGAGTCCGAAGTCTCTTCTCGAATGGGGCTCCGCGACTGGATAAAGATGCTCCACCTGTTCCTCCTTGTCCGATTACTCCGCCCCAACAACGTCAGCCTAGTACTGAGAGTATCAAGATCTATTCGCCGCCTGGAGCATTTGCTCAGTCGCGCAAGTTTTTGGGACCGGAGCCATATCCACTTACTCTTGCGCGGCCGGATACCACGTTTACAGATTTGATGCAGGTGGTCGGGTTTAATGATCCCAAGGGAAATCCGACTTACAAGGTGACCGTTGAGGAGGAGAAAGAGGAGAAAGAGAGAACGCAGAGCAAAAGAAGTTAATTCTATCGGCCTGGTGATGGGTATTGAAAATATGTATGCTTCTACATGTACCACATTGTCCCTGGCGGATGGGGCTTTCCTTTTCAAACTGCCGCCGCTTCTGTGAGGGTGCTCAGGCTCAGGTTCATACCACCCGAGTTTTATTTAATCTTCTCGAACCCCAAAATTAAAGAGCGAAGCTTTGTATTCAAGGCGTTATTATAGCATTGCGGGATACAGTACCGAGAGAATATTAGAGGTAGACTCGCTATCGGTAGATTTCGGATTAGAGGATACAGTATAAGTTTGTGTCCACACTTATTGCCCCAGTCGGTATTTTTGATAAATTTGGTTTCGACAAACTGGTCGCAGTTTCGAAGCCATGGGAGTCTGAATCTTAAATTATCTTAACTTAACGTCATCGGTGAACGAGTGGGCCATGTAAACGAGTGGGCCGCGGGATACACAAGCACCGAAGACGCGGCGTCCACCCCAATGTACTAATTGTGGACAGATCGGACATAAGAGGAATATAGATAAAGTTAGAGATTAATCAACACAAAAGCGTTCTGGTTGAGAAAAGTGTCAATATATAGAGAAAAAGTGGTTGGGTGGCCCCAGTCGATTACCGACCACGTTAACATTCAGCTAATATATAGTTATAATTTGCGGATAAGTTTTAAATTACAAACCATAGTTAATAGAAAACATCTCACAATAAAGACACTCGCGTTATGACTTGATAAAATCAAGCAGGTCTTTGTTCACTTCGTCAACATTGATGTTGTGGATAGCATGCGAGCCCCCTTTGTAGATCTTCAGCTTGCCTTGAGGCAGAAGTTTTGCTGACTTTAGCCCAGCTGCCTCGATGGGAACCGCTTGATCATCATCCCCGTGAAGGACCAGGACGGGAACATTGATCTTCTTCAAATCTTCCGTGAAATCTGTTTCCGAGAAATCCTTGATCGAGTCATACGCTGACTTGAGACTGGTGTTCATCCCCTGCTGCCACCAGTGACGAATCTGTCCTTCACTTGTCTGTGCACCAGGTCTGTTAAACCCAAAGAATGGTCCGCTAGGGACATCCAAGAAGAATTGCGCGCGGTCTTTACGCATAGCCTGTCGGAACGAATCGAAAACTGACTTGTCTGTCCCCTCAGGATTGGTACTAGTCTTCACCATCAGAGGGGGCACGGCACCAACAAGAACGGCTTTCTTAAAACGACCTGTGCCATGCTTCCCAAGATAATGGGTGACCTCGCCTCCTCCATGGGAATGACCAACTATCACTGCATCTTTGACCTTAAGGTGTGCAAAAAGCTCCTCGAGGTCGTCGACAAAGGTGTCCATGTTGTTTCCGTCCCAGGTCTGAGTAGATCGCCCATGGCCACGCCGATCGTGTGCGATGACACGATAGCCGTGATCAGCCAGAAACATCATTTGGTTTTCCCAATTATCACTGCTCAAGGGCCAGCCATGGGAGAAGGTGACGATGGCGCCTTTGGGGTTGCCCCAATCTTTATAGAAGAGCTGGGCGCCATCTCGAAGCGTCAGATGTGGCATGGTTGATAGAAAATATGCCTGGTACTGGGTGAGATTTCCACTTTCAACTTTTTGTTATTGGGAAGAATGTTTGGGGCTTGACTCGTTTGCAGACGTGTTGGTCGGAAAGCCATTATATAGCTAGCAATGCTTGGGCTAGCATTGGCAAGCTGCAATTTGAAAAGGCTGAGCATTGTAACGACGTCATCACTTCATTTTTTCGATGCTCCATCAAAGTCCGATTCGCCGCAGAATATTTGCTTGGAAAGGTTATTCAACCCCGCTCCGTATTATCTATTCAGATATTTCTTGATCTGCCCAAGAAAAGGGGCTTTCTTTTGTGGACTCTACTGTGAAGTCACCCGATACTGACACCAGTCTATCCGGCTATCTCTTTCTCCTCCAATATAAATAGACACAATAGTTAAACAGGTGGCAATTCGGCATCCATTTACTCCAGTTTGGCTTAGGGATATAGTGGTAACTGGCTAAACTCAAACCCCCACTAGCACTAGCTAAATCAAAGTCGGCCCATACCGTTGAGGCGATAACCACCTAGATGAGCCTAGCAAAGACCTAGAAGCACGTGGGATCATGAAGTTGAAGCTTGAGGATAGTCTAGATTTTATTAGGAATTTGTACACCCTGCACAATCATACATGGATTTTATATAGTGGGATTAGCCTGCATATCGCTTCCGCAGTTGGTTATTAACCGCTGTACACTATACTGAGAGCGGATTCATATATTTCGTCTAGTAATAAATCGACTTAGGCGAGGAGTCGGAGCCAAGGAAGTGCACACACACATCCATGGATAGCGACCAGCAAGCCAAAGTACAGATTTCGGTCATTCGTCATTCCATCATGTATGAAGAACAGACCAGATCAGTAAACCTGTAGGTATTGGTCAAACTTCTTCTTCAAACTCGCCAAGACGACCGGTTTCGCCAGATAATCATTCATTCCTGATTCCAGACACCTCTCTCGGTCGCCTTGAATCGCCGAGGCTGTGAGAGCAATGATCAAGATACGCCTCACAGCGTCCACCGGATCACTGCGCAGACGATGTGTGGCAACATACCCGTCCATGACAGGCATCTGGACATCCATCAGGACCATGTGATACGGCTGCTCCGCACTAGCTTGCTTCTGGATGCCCTCCACGGCTTCAAGGCCGTTGTTGTATGCATCTACTCGGATAAATCCTAGCTTCTTGAGAAACTGAATCGTAATTTTCTGATTGATAAGATTGTCCTCCGCAACGCAGACGCGGACGTTGGAGAGGGGGATATGGGACAGATCAATGCAAGCCGGGGCTGCTTGATTGAGGAAGCCGCCTGGACTGTCAAGAGGTGTTGTTGGACTAGTAGTCCCTGAGCCGCCGGGTGTGACTTTCGGCACGATGATCGAAAAAGAGACAGTCGTGCCAACATTTTCGACACTCTTGAGCTCAATGGTGCCTCCCATCAGATCTACAAGAGATTTGCAAATGCTGAGTCCCAGACCACTGCCTCCGAAACGGCGCGCGGTGCTGGCATCAGCTTGGGTGAACGGCTTGAACAAGTGCTGTATGAGTCGAGCTGGGATGCCAATCCCCGTGTCCGTCACCCAGAAAGACAGACGAACCGAATCCTCAGTTTCATCGTCTGCCCTGGATCCTATCGTGATGGACCCTGTCTCGGTGAACTTTAGGCTGTTACCAAGTAAGTTGCCCAAAATCTGCTGCATTCGCACGGGATCCCCATATACGTGGTTTTGGGGTGGTTTGACATCCTGTATGATGCGGACATTTTTGGATGTTTGCTTGTTCCCATAGCCAGTCGGCATTGAGCGAGCGACTTCCCTGACCATTTTTTCGACATCAAAGGAGACAATATGCAACTGCACCTTGTTCGCTTCAATCTTGGAGAAGTCAAGGATATCGTTAATCACGGTGAGTAGGAGGTTTGCTGACATGCGAATCGAATCAGCCATTTCCAGTTGCTCCTCCGATAGTGGACTGCTGAGCAAAAGCTCCGAGTTCCCAATAACCCCATTAAGTGGTGTTCGTAGCTCATGGGATATATTGGCGAGAAATATGCTTTTAGCCTTGACGGCTTCTTCGGCTAGCTGGGCATGGCGCAAAGCCTCCGCCGTAGCAATGTTCGCCTTCTGCTCGGCCTCCATCGCTTCCGCCAACGCCTTCTTCTGAACATCTACCATGGATTGGTTGATGATGGATACCCGTTCCACTTCCCTCAGCGTCAGCGCATTAGAATAGCTGATTCCGAGTTGGACGACGAGCAACTGTAGAACAACGCGATTGCGATACGAGAAGGCGTTGGGTGGTCCCTCCAGATAGAGAACCGCAATGGGCTCATTCTCTCCACCACCGTAAGAGATGGGTAACGCCACGACGGATTTATTGACGGGATTCTGAGCCGCCCATGCTTCGCTAACGTAGCTGAATCGCGGATCTTGTAAGACATCTGGTAGATACGCTGCCTCGCGAAAGCGCACGCAATAATTCACAATGCTTTCCGCGACAAGATGGGAGTGCTCAACCGGTGTCGGAGGATCATGTACTTTTATGCTACCAGTTGCGTCACCACTGGCTGCCACAGCCCACCCAAGTGTCAAGTCTTCCCTGGTGATAATGGCCGCCATGGTAGCAACGCCATGACAGCTCTGCATGATGATTTTGCACATCGTTCGAAGCAGCTCGTCGACCTTTAGAACGCTCGATATTACCTGGGACCCTTCGAGGATGGTGGTGAGATCTAGAATATGAAGGACACGCTCTGCCACGGACCCTCCGGCGCTTGTTATTTCGTCGTTCCCAACTTCGGAGACTTGAGGGTGAATCTGTGTACTGATATCGTCTGGTTCAGTCTGAGTAGCGACTTCTCGTGCTGTTTCCTTTGTCTGCGGCTCCAGGTCATGAGAATGCAGGATGTGCTCAGCCACCCCCGCAGCCCCAATTCGTCGGTAGAGTCCAACTGCCTCCTTCAGAGCCAATGTGCCTAGCCGTGAAGATCCTTCACGCGTCAGATGCTCAGCTAACAGATGGTGGCTAAGGGCTTCATCGAAAGCAAACCCATGCTCTGAAGCGTGGTCTATTGCCTCTTGATAGAAAAGAAGCGCAGCGTTTTGGTCATTTTCCATCTCGGCGATTTGAGCGCCCAGAAGTTTAGTCCATGCCAGATAGTTCACATCTGTGATGACCTGCCACTGTTCAATCTTGCGCTTGAAGTATCGCAACATCCTTGCCATGCTTGTCATCTCCTCCTCAAAAAACGTCTCAAAAGATCGCCCACCCACATCGGACGCCAACTGGGGGGAAGATGCACGGTATGCAGCATTGAGCTGTTGCTGCTTCCGGATCCAGACACATCCGGCCAGAGAAAGGGAATGAAAGAACATGAGAAAACGCGTATTTCGTGCGGACCATATAGCGTTGACTTTCTTGAGACAAGAATTTCCCAATGATACCGCTCGCCCGTAGTGGCCGTAAAGAAATAGCGGTGCGATTTCCATGCTCTCATAGAGCATCAGCGGCCGGTCGCTGTTTTTGGTAGTTCTTACCAGCCAAGACTTATATGCAGCCGAATTGTGTTCTTTGTCGCTCATCACCCCGAATGAGTCATGTGTATACGTTTTGCCTTGCAAAGCACGGCTGAGCTGGCAGATTGTGATGAGGATCGTACCACCGGCAGTATCCGTTTGCCAGTTGGGAATGTCCTGGCAACTGTAGACGCAGAAGGTCTCCAGCTCGGCCAGGTCTTCGGATGCGAAAAACTTCATGGTAGCCAGGAACCCGAAGTTCAAGATGGTGGCAATTCGGTCACCAGCGCGGATAGAAAAGTCTACTGCCCCTTCGAGTTGGGAGATTGAGGACTGGACATGATGTTGAATATGGCCGACAAAGGTCGAGTATAGAGCGATGCCACGACCTACAGTATGTGGATCTTTTGATTGTTTAATCAGTGCCAGGGCAAGTTCCCCGCAATGTGTCGCAAAGGGAATTGCGTTGTCTCGAGTGATTGCTATCACAGCCAACTGCATGAGTCCCATGCCCGCCTGGGGAAATGGACCACGCGAGAGATAGGTGTCAACCATGACAAGCGTCATGTGGTAAAAAGTCAGCGTGTCTGACCAGAAAGCCGCGCTAGTGGCCTCCAGAAGAACCGCGCCGGCAGCAGCCAAGGCTGGATGCGCAGGAAGAGCCGTCTCGACAATGGATTCAGTCTGAACAGCGGAAACCGCCTCGCATAGCCGTCGAAGTTCTTTGTCGCATTTGAAAAAGGTTGGGTTGTCATCAACCGGGATGTCTAAAGCCATGAGGCATTCACTCAGAGCATGAAAAGCTCCAGTCGAGTTACCCAATTGCGCAAGCATACGAGATTGCAAGATCCAGGAGGGAGCTTTATCCACTGGGCTCCGAGCATTGGAGAGTATAGCTTGCAGCAAGCGACTAGCTTCGTCATGCTGTCCTTGGTACAAGTAGCATTCAGCAGCGGACGTGAAAATTTGCAGCGTCTCGCCGTAGCTCACATCCACAGTGTCATCGTCCCATATGTCCTCTTGAAGAAGTATTATGCAGCTAGCGTACGAGTTCATAGCGGTCGAGCGTAATCCAGTCTCGCTTGCAGCGTTCGCATACTCGAACAGAAAGTTTCTGAAAGGTCTTCTTATTGTAACAGAGCTTTTGATGATCGGTGCTGATTCGATAACGGCCGATGCCAACATGCTTCGATATTTGTCGTCGTGGGAATGATACTGAAATAGCACTTGTGCCTTGATCAAATTCACATGGTCCTTGTCTCTCGTGTGGAATGACGCTGCGATGTGCATGTAATGGCTATATGTAAAGGAAAAGACGTCATGATCCTCTGTGGGCACAATAACGTAGGCTTGGATGATCGCCTGCAAAGCTTGCATCACTTCTCGCTCAGGCAGACTAGATGCGGAGGCCATCTGATCGTTGTTGAGAAGCCTCTGGACCAACTGAAACGAGAAAGTCATGCCTAGAATGGATGCCCAGGCCAAGATGGATTTGCAGATAGGCGAAAGACTGCTCAGGCGCCTGGCTAAGAAATCATCAAAAGCGGCGTCGTTGTAGCTGTCCACCTTGAAATGCTCTGAGATGCGGCTGAGATCAAAAGACCAGAGCCCTTCCTGGAAATCATAGCAGATGAATCCATGTCCGTGACAATCATTCAACACCTCACGAACGTAAAAGGGGTTTCCACTCGTCCTTGACTGGATGAATGCCCCCAGAGGCCAAATAACAGGGACAGACAAAGACAAGGTGCTCGCTACATATTGCATCACGCAGTCTTCACTGAGCGGTTTGAGTGAGATAGCGGTAAGACCTACGTCTCTTCCTGTCAAAACGCCTAAAATGGTAAGCATGATGGTTCATATCAAGACAGACCGCAATGGTTGAACGGTCAATTTGAAGAAAGGTTACGAGTGATTTACCTTCATTATTAGAGGAGTGAAGTATTCGCTTCATCAGTCCCGAGGAAGCATTCTCGGGCCTGTAGGCCATTATCACCACCATTCTGACTCGAGCCGACACCATATGGGCAATGAATTCCAAAGATTCTTCATCTGCCAAGTGGACATCGTCCAAACAAAGACATACCAATTTGTATCGCGTGAAGACTCGCAAGATATTCAGTAACGTCCGTACAAGAGGCAAAGACTTGGTAGAAGATCCGGTCCGAAGAAATTCTTGAGAACTCTTTGTTCCAGTATCCTCTGGGGAAGGACGCCGGTGGGGTAATTTGAGGGTCGTATGAGCAAATTTGTTCGGCGCCTGTTCTGGCAAGTTGGGGCCCGAACCGAGGAGGAACTGGGGCAGGCCTAAAATCTTGTGCAGAGTGTTCCATGTAGATCCAATGTGATTTCGCAACATCGGCAGGAAACTGGGTTCATTCATGTTTTCCGAAAACGCCTGGTGGAACAGACTCGAAAATAAGTGTAGAACCGGACGCATACGCTCTTTGTCGGCGACATCGAATCGCGAGCTGGCGAAGAAGCCCCTTCGTCGGGCTTCAATCTGAACTGATGTGATCAGCCGCGATTTGCCCAAACCAGGTCCTCCCTCGATGCTGATGATCTCGCATAAGCCTTTCGGCGTTGCCACGCCATGTGCAGCCGCCCTTCCCGCGTTGTCACTAGATCGGGAGCTTCCCTCGCCACTGGTGCTGTCCATTGAAGAGGTTGACAAGCGCTTGTCTAGACCCTTCTTCTCTGCAATAGCAGGATCGGACTCGCTACCCTCGCTTGAGGCGTATAGCGAATCTCTGGGGGAACGCGTGCGGCTTGTATTAGCTGGATACAATTGGGTACCCCCAGCGAATGTCCCACTCATGGAACCGGCCAGGCTGGGAGATTCATCGGCCAGATTAAAGGCTTCCTCTTCACCAGGGGTATTGGTTGGTGAGGGAAGAACGGCGAAAGTTGCGAATTGGTCCTCCGGCAGCGACGACAAGTGAAGCCCTCTGGCTCCCTGATACAGTTTCAGGGTACGATCCAGGACCTCGACGATGGCATCCCGCTCGGCCGCCCGGCCCACCATCGTGCGTGGGAGCGCGAAGAACGGAGAAACATCCTTGCCGGCGACTTCCCAGCTTTCCAGAACTGCCGCGTCTCCTGCTGCCAGCAACTGCTGTACCTCCACGAGGTCATGTCGCAGACCGCGGGCAGAGTTGTATCGCCCGGAGACATTTTTTGCCGTCGCCTTGGCGATGATCCGTGCAAAGACCTCTGGCACGTCGGGGCGCAAGGTCGATACTGACGGCAGCTCCTGTCCAAGCACCTCCTTGATGATTCCCATGGGAGTCTTGCCCCCAAACGGGGTCTCGCGGACGAGAGCGTTCCAAAGCATAACACCGAGGGAGTAGATATCGGCGCGATTGTCAGCTTGGATCGGCGCTCGCCCAGTTTGTTCGGGACTCAAATATGAGATGTGCGCCGTGGCATCATTCTGGTTCTCCAGGGCTGACCAATTCGCGCTCACCCGCCCGGTATCGTAGGACTGGAGACCCACACCGAGATGGATCAAGCGCACATGGCCGGTCTCTTGATTGAAGTGGAATGCCTCTGCTCGGATCTGCCCATGGACAATCTGCTGGCTATGCAGCATTTGGATACACTCCGCCGCGCCTATGGCGAAATTGACAAATGTTGCCAACGGCATGAGCCCATCCTGATCCGATCGGGGAAGGCCCACATCATCGGCCTCGTTGAGACTCACATCTTCCTCAGGGCGCATCTGATACCAGGTCGCGCCGCAATCGACGTAGCGCAGAAGATCATTGGGGCCGGGACTTTCGTAAATGCAGACCAGGAGCGATGGCGTGTGGTCATCATCGAGATTGGGTAAGCGCTGCATCTCCACGGGCCGCAGAAAATACTTGCGATGAGGAGCGGCGACGGATGCCAGCATCTGATACTCCTCTTGCATTCTTTCTCCCTGGGCCAGATTCTCACCAAGGCGCGCCACCACTTCAATCGTTCGCTCTGACTCTCTACCCTGGTCCCCGACATGGCCGTCCCTCCCTGAACCATATTGGGCAGATGTACCACTCAGATCGCTGGGAGAGGAGGCACTTCGGAAGCGAGCGGTGTGAGCATGGTCGGAACTAATGGTACGGTCGAGGTGCTTGGTACCAAACACGTGCCTAAGAAACGCTTCAGCATGAGAAATATCCTTTGTGTTAATGTCAACGGACTGGAGGTTGGTTCACGCACCACACGCCATAGCTTGAGCGAAATTGCCTTGACTCGTCCCAGGTATACGCCACCAGGTGGTTCAGTTTGTCCATCGGTCCGGTGGGAGGCGTTTTGAGCCCTTTCGCACCCCCGAGAAAGGGAGAGTTGATAATCGGGTTAAAGGATCAACTGCCGGTCGGTGTCATGGTCGTCGTGGTTGTCGCGGATATCTCAGGGAGCTTCTGCCGCGGTCCAGACGAGAAAGGAACAACCGTTGTCACTAAGAGAGGTGGAAGCGGAAGAGCCCGTCCAATTATGACACTCGTGAGTGCAAGTCCAGCTATGCATAGTTACCTATAGGGAAGACCGAATGGGCTAGAGCGGAAAGGAAATGAAAGACGGCAGAACTACCATACCAAAACCGGTTTTGCTTTGCGCATTCTGTCGGATCTTTTTTTTTTTTTTTTTTTTTTTTTAGCGCCACCGGATGGCACCGACATTGGACAAGAACAGTATTTTCCCCGCGCGGATCGATAAACGTACTGTAGAGCATAGTTAGAGTTAAGTAGTAGCTCGATCGCAACGGGATCGATCTTCTTGGAGCCTTGCACTCCCGTCGATCTTGAGATGTCTCTCTGAGCAAGGGACACGGATCAGGAAAGCCAGTTGACAGAAAGGGCTCGAACCGAACCGGGCGACCATACCCACCCTGCCGTCTACTTGTGACAGCGATCTTGAGTGGGGGAGAGGAATGACTACCGGTAATCGAATCGAATCTCGAACCGGTAAAGTCTTAATTCTCCATCTGATGTGTTTCCCCCGTCCACACATATCTTATCCTTTATACCGGTCGCTTTGATTATAAGTATATCTTGACCTCGCCGTTGTCACTTTCCGTGTCATCTTTTGCTAGGTCGAGCACGGTCGTTGCCAACTCCGCCATGTCAGGAGAGACCAGGGCCACCCCGTAAGTCTTGTGAAACTTCCATGGCCTTATCCCCTCCAGCATTTTGATTTCTCCTACCGTTTCACTCCTCTTCTCACTCCCCCCCGAGATACCGAGTTTCTTGCACTCGCTTCGTGTCCTGTCCTAATTCGGTACTCGGATTGACCTCTTGCGAGCATCGCCATCTACTTCCCGAATTTTTTAACTTACTCCTGCGCCGTCTACTAGTCTCCGTTTGGGGTCGATTGCCCCCAACTTTCAAGCGGAAACCACCATCGGCCCTATCGACTTTCACGAGTGGGTGGGCAATAACTGGGTGATTCTCTTCTCCCACCCAGAGGATTACACCCCGGTCTGCACTACCGAGCTGGCCGCGCTGGCCAAGCACGAACCCGAGTTCACTAGGCGCCATGTCAAGCTCATTGGACTCTCGGCCAACTCCATCGAGTCGCACGATGGCTGGATTAATGACATTTCCGAGATCGCGGGGTGTCCCTTGACCTTTCCCGTCATCGGCGATAAGGATCGCCAGATTGCTTTTGCCTATGACATGTGAGTTGACTTCCTTCCTTCCCCTTCGCGCTCGCACCTGGCATTCCAGACACTGACCCCATCATGTGAACAGGTTGGATCACCAAGATACCACCAATGTGGACGCCAGGGGAATTGCCTACACCATCCGGTCCGTCTTCATCATCGATCCCAACAAGGTCATCCGCCTGATCCAGTCCTACCCCGCCTCCACGGGTCGTAACACGGCCGAACTGCTCCGCGTAGTTGACTCTCTACTCGCTACGGACAAACATGGAATCAATACCCCCGTCAACTGGCAGCCCGGTGACAAGGTGGTCGTCCCTCCCAGTATCGGTGAGGAGGATGCCAAGGCCCGGTTCCCGGATTTGCAAGTGGTCAAACCGTACCTGCGGTTCACCCCTTTGGCGAAAGAGGATTACATCCCTCGTTGGTAATGTCACAATTCAAGCATAGATAATATCCTGGTTTGACCGCCGATCTGATCGCGAAAAGATGGGTGCGGGACGTCAGCTTCTACAATACTTTTCGATTTCGGTTATCAAACCTCTACACCGTTATGACTTAGCTCTCGGGAAACAAATCCAAAATGTGCTAATTCATTACAGTCCATCGCTTCATGATTCGGGCAGAACCATCATCGTAATTATCGTACTACTCAAAGATGATTGGATGAAAAACTTTACCACACATTTGAAATTGGAGTTGGCGGTGAAACAGTGTTGGATCTGTATTAATCCACATATCCAAAAAGGAGTGCGTAACATACGGAAAACCTGGAAAAGCTGGATGGTATGAGCCCTGATGCATTCAAAGGCTTCTGTTTTGTCGTTCAACGCACCCATGATCATAATATCAACGACAATAGTGGATAACAAGCCATGGGCACTTGCTAATTCTAAGAGAGAAATGGCGATGATCTGCCAGCTATTAGCTCTGTGAAATGCGCAATATTGATACGTCGGGTACTTGAGCTGAACACCAGGCGGGCGTCCATGAAACAGTGACAATTCAAGAGGAGTGTCATGGATGTAATCCGGTGTGGTTTTCCGCTACAATTAGCTCTGCCTCACCCTCGCGCTCACGCCTCCCACCCGACGACGAGGAATTCTGGGGCATCAGTCGACCTTTGAAACGGAAGCTTACGCCGGAAACAGCCAGCAACCAAGCAGACAATTTGAAGCGACTTCTTTAAGTGGATGGCTTTAAAACCTGGGGCTTCATCATATATCGCTGTGCATAGAAGTGACGCTGATTGTGAAAATTTCATGACTCTCTTAATGGACCAGACAACAAGTTCGTTCAAGCGCTGTAATGGTCCAGATCTGCTAGATAACTGCTACCCTCCGCGAGCATTTCAACAAATAGACTGCGACTGCCATGTAGATAAGCGTTATCTAATATCGCATTTCAGTGGCGCGCAAGCGCTTACTACGAGACGCATATGAAGTTTCCTAAGTAACCTCAGACCCGTAGATCATCCAAAAGATACCTGAAAGTTAAAGGAAAAGTTGAAGATCGGCGGCTACGACCTCAAGTGGAAGCGAATAATTAACGACAGGTGGCCGTGACTTGACCCATCAGACGCCATCGAACTTGGTAAGAAGGATGCCTTGCAAAAGGAACTAAAAAAGTATTAAGAAAAGCTTTCATGACATGCCCAAAAAGATGTCAAGGAAATGAATAGTCAAGAGAGGAGGCCCCTTTGGACGGTCTTTTTGGGCGTACCTTAGTAGGAACCAGTCTAATCGCCTGAAACCTAACCCTTTTATTATACCTAGAATTCATTAATGCTAAAATGACTAAAATGACCAAAATGACTTAAAATCCGATAATATCCCGTGGCATGTTTTCACACAGATCCATCCACCTTCCACACGACCCATGTTCCGGCACTCCCAGTCTATAACAGACACTGCTGCTCACTGACCAAAGAATTGAGCCAACCGGGCGGTAGAGGAGGAATTCAGCAAGTAAACAATTCTATTGGAAAGCCCGGAGAGCGGGCCACAACGATCGATCAAGTCTGTGCGACTAGCGGCTATTGATTTCATGGTACGATCAAAGCCTCTACAAACCGGAATCGGGAATAAGCGTTAGATTAACTCTTCGCCTTTGAGCTCGCAGCAAGGTGTCCGATGTGAAGTGCATCTGTGATAGGGCGTGAAGTCTAGCGATGGTACTTTGCGCGCGGTGTCAAAGGTGGAGGTGAGTAGGCAGTACGTATGCCTTGATATCAGATGCGGGCGTAGCCTCTATAAAGTATAACACGGAGGATACATCTAGGAGAAAACGAGAGGTAAGAAAATAGTGTATTTTTATCTCCGAGGAAAGTTGTATGACGAGGAGATTGATCAATGAGTAAAAATAGCGACTAATACGTGTAATCTTGGGGGCGAGATGATAATCAAATACACTTGATTGTTCTCGCAAACCCCGCCTCCCGCTCCTTGCCCCTCGTCTCTCCCTCTTCTTCAACAGGCCCACCTTTTGACACCCACCAAGTATCTTCCATTCGAGCTATGGGAATCACTTGGTCGCAGTTTTTCCCACCTGCACCCTCCTTGACTGAAGCTAACCTGCCCAGCCAAAGAGGCAAGGTTTTCATCGTCACTGGGGGTTACTCTGGCGTGGGGTTAGAGCTGTGCAAAATACTTTATCAGGCTGGAGGCAAGGTGTACCTCGCAGGCCGCTCAGAGGAGCATGCCTCAAATGTCATAGCACAGATCCAATCTTCAATCCAGTCAGATGGAACCATTATCTTTCTTCCCCTCCACCTCGATGATCTAGCAAGTATCAAATCAGCAGTGGAGACCTACAATGCAGCGGAATCCAGGTTAGATGTTCTTTTCAACAATGCCGGCGTTTCAAACCCGCCAGCTGGCTCCGTCTCAGCACAGGGCCATGATCTCCAACTCGCAACGAACTGCCTTGGGCCACATCTTCTCACACAATTACTTCTACCGACTCTTCGCCGTACCTCCGAGAGCGAACCACCTGCTTCTGTACGCGTAGTATGGACGGGGTCAATAGTTGTCGACATGTCTGCCCGTAAAGGAGGTGCTATTCTGGAGGAGATTCTGCAGAAAGACACAAATCCCCAGCGCAATTATGAAAACACCAAAATCGGCAACTGGTACCTCGCCCATGCATTGGATGCTCAAGAAAGGCCCAGTGGAATCTTGAGTGTGGTCGTGAACCCAGGAAACCTCAAGTCGGGCTTGACTCGTCATATGTCCCCGCTGGTGCCCTTGCTAGTAGCACCCCTACTGTATCCAGCTAGGATGGGTGCTTACACTGAACTCTGGGCTGGGCTCTCTAGTGAGCTTACGTTATCTGATGGGGGTAGGTATATCTTGCCCTGGGGGCGTTTCCACCCCAATCCAAGGCAGGATCTGTTACAAGGGATGAAGGGAAAAGATGTCGGTGGTACAGGTGATGCGGCCACTTTCGTACAGTACTGTGATAATCAAATCTTGGAATTTAAGTAGCCAGTAGACTAGGAGTACTTTTCATAGCAAACAACCGCTCTCGATTCGTTTCTAAGGTTTTGGCCGCAATATACACGTTTACCCATGCCTTTGAATAAATCAGTCGACTATACCACGCTCCACCTCATCGCAAACACTAGGATATGAATAGCCGGGTATTCGAAGATTTGAGGAAAGCATCTTCTCAAACCTACTCCCGTGATTCGGGGCTCATGTTTGTCGCTTATCTCAGGGCAAGGGTGCGAGTGCACCCGGTGGTCTTTACATAATCGATGTCGCAAGCTCAGGGACTGCGAGGGCCTTGGCCCGGGCTGGCATGGAGACCTTCCTGGCGGGAGGATCAGCTGAAACGAAGAGTGCATATGATCGAAGACGGAGATGAAAGATTATGGGTTATGGACGAAGACAGTGAACAGAACAAGTAGAGCCGCCCATGAAATCTCTCAGAAAGTAAGCCCCAGAATAAGCCGAAATGACTTGTCTGCCTCGGTATTAAGCTGATAGCTAAATCACTTAATATCCAAGCTGTCATCATCTCTAAAGTATAGATATGAAGAGGTATGACTCGTAAAATACAATGAAAAGAAGCAGGTTTATGCTGCAGCGCGCCTCCGCGCTTTCCATCCTGCGACAACCCGCTTCAACTCCTTGATTAATCCAACGAATAGCGGGACTCCAATAGGTCCCAGGAGCGGCAGGTAGACGGCCACCTTATGTTCATCTGGGAAGTACACTTGGCCCACCATACTCTTCTCGAAGAAGCTGCGCTCAGCCTCGGTCTCGGCGACTCTGGCAGTGGCAAGAGCAGCGCTGAAGCGGCCACTGCGCAAGTGCGAGCAGGTGCTAGAGAGATGGGAAAGAGTGATCGAGACTGAGGAGGCGACAGTTGCTGGGATGGGAATGGAGGGGAGTGACTCGGTCAGGCGGGCAAGAGAGCCCATTGTCGAGGAGGCGGAGAGAAGAAGACTCGCGGCGCGGATGCGGATTAATGTCTGAAGGCGAAGAGGAAGAGAAGCAGGGGTGGTAGGAGTGCCGAGGAGAGTCAGGAGTTGATGAGAGAAGGTCATGAAGGCAGGCCGAAGATAATCCCGAGAAAGATGGGCAGGGTTGGAACCCTTGCCTGCCGGGGACAATGGTGGGTTCAAGAGGAATACGCCGCCCCATTGGGGAACAATCCAGCTGGACGCGCGGTTCTCCTTAACCATCATCGGCGCCTGCGAGGGAGCTGGGACATAGAGAATGAAGTTCAGGGTGGGACCGTTTCCAATGCTGGGGTTCAGTGGCCACTCAGCAGCATTGACGAACGCACTCAAATCCTCCTTCATCAGGGTCCATGCAGCTTCGACCTCGTCATAAACAGGCGGCGGGGCCATGGGTGAAAAGGTTGCATAGAGCTGGACCTGGGTATCGACAGTGAAATTGCTGATGGGCGCAAACGCATGAAGAAGAGGAGACAGGTATTCCTGCACAGCAGCTTCAATATCCCACGATGAGGGCTCGGGCCCCGGGGTAAACAGTGAGAATGACAGATGGTATGTATCGGCGTATTTCATCGACCGGCGCAGGCGTCGACTGATGCTCTCTGCGAACTGGGGGTTCACCGAATCCAGACCAGATTTCTCACCAGAGAGAATGTGTGCGACGGTAGCCTTTTCTTCTCCGTACAATCGTTGTAACTCCTCCGCGATGAAGACCGAGAGGGGTGGGTTCGAAGACGAGGGAACAGGGACCTGACTCGGTGGGTAGAACACATCGAGCTGTGTGGTATCCGCATGAAGTTCCGCCTTGGGGACAACTAGGCCATCCTGTGCAATCACCCGGACTGTCAATGCCGTGTCGGGGGCCTCCTCTCCATTGCTGGCCACTTCCATGCTGTCTTCAGTCTGTTGCGCCGTGGACGTCTCGTTCGTCAATTTGAGCCGAAGATGGTGCGCGGCGAACTCATTGAGGTCATCCAGGGCATGCTGGGTCGTGCGAAGAAGGTGCTGAGATTCAGGTGATTGCATGCCCGGCGCCGCGACTTGGATCTCGAGGGGAAAGACGGGGCGACATGTCTAGGGGATTCAGAATCAGCCAGCCTTCCGTCAATTGAAGGAGACTTACCTTGCCGTCGGCCCAGTCGACCATCTCCTGGATGGGCAGATGTGCCCTGTAGATTGAAGTGGTCTTCCACCATATTGGGAATCCCAGGAAGATAATCACAGCCCAGAAAGTAGCAATGACCAGGAAGCGCGTTGAGATGGCTTCCGGAGTCTCGGGGGGATGCGCTGAGCGGTGGGTTTGGAGTCAGATGAGGCCGTAGCCAGTGGAGACGTAGAGTCTCCTTTTTCGTCCGTCATGATCTGGACATTGCTTTGGGCGCTGCTGGAGCTAGTGTGTTGACAGTGAAGTCGGGGAGAGGAAAGGCGGAGAAGAGGGAGAGCTGGCCGCAGTGGAGTTAGACCAAAATAACCACCATAAACTACAACCGTAACCATATCGCTTTTATAGAATCCATTCCTTTCCTTTAGAGCGGACTGACTGTCTTGGCTATTTGTCTTACATTTACCCAGTTCGTTTTACAAGCAATCCAACAATTCTACAAATTAAGCCGTAGGGTTCTACTTCCATGTACGCCTGCAGCTGGACGGATCGGCTGTGCTCAATAGACATGCAAAAGACCCAACAGGGAACTCGAATGTTCTAGTATATGAAAGGTGTGAAACGCATGAAAAGCAAAGGGTATCTTGACCAATAACGCCGATCCAATGTAGCGGTCAACAGAGACCTTCGACGCGTTCCTAGTATTCCTTCTCGAAGATCTTTTGAATCGGTTTGGCAGCCTGTAGTCGCCGAGACATTAGCAAAAAACTTTCATGGGTATGTCGACCAGAGGCAGTAGGCACGTACATCGATGAACTTCTCCAGGTCTTGGTCCAGGCTGGCAAGGTCGTCCTTTCGCTTCTTGTTCTCCATGATCAAGGCTTGCTTGCGCTTGAGGAGCTCCTGGCGTGCCTGCTCGAGCTTCTCACGCTCAACATGTTCGTGATTGATGCGCGCGATCATGAGTTCATGCTCGTTGGTATCCCGGTTCTCGGGGAACTGCTCTAAGAACTCTTCGACGGGGATGAGAGGTAGCGAGAGATACTTGTGACTATCGGGGAACACTCGAGTTAGTTAGGAGGTACAAGTATATGGCAAACGACTACACCTACTCATAAGCCTCGCAGGCGGCGATCTCGCCCGTCAGATGCTTCTGCTCATAGTAGAGGTTTTGTAGCTGAAGGTGCAGTCGATCAATTTCCTGGCGAGCCTCGGCGGTGGCCTGCTTGGTGTCTCGCACGCGGAAGCAGGCATCTCGATTTTGACCGCGCAGCTGGGCGAGCAGAGCATAAAGGACCTTCTGTTGCTTCGAGGCCGCCAAGGACAGATCGTGGAGGGTGGCGGGGTCAGTCGCGACAGGGTTTAGCAAGGAGAGCAGATGATGGCATTGGGCGAGCGTCTCAGCGCTTGTACCGAGCACGGGCTGCAGTGACTCGTCCGTGACGACCTCGGCGATAGTCATGGCTGGAATTCCACGAAATTCGAGAGTGGCGACACCTGCAAGAGTTGAGTTCCCGAGTTTGACGAGTTGCAGTGACGGGGTTGGAAAAGTGGAGTTTGCAGGGCTGACTTCAATCAATCAGCGACAGCCGCGACCTTGAATTTACCCATGTGAACCAGCGACGCTCGATGGTTGGGATGATCGGATCCTTTACTCCTTATCTCCTCAATTTTACCCCTCGAGTACTTCGACTTGTCTACTCTTCAGTATCCCTCCTTCAACATCCCGACTTGTTTGTTCGACTTTTATTCACTTTCTCTCTCTCTACCTCTCACTCAACGCTTTTCAACAACTTCAACGCCCCCTCCCCGGATTTCCCCGGCCCGCGATTACCCAACAAATCCCGCGCTGGTGGTCCTCCTATTGATCGGGTAAACCTCCCGACTGCACGGCGATGGCCTGCTCTGCGACCTCAATGACTGTCGAATCGTATCCTGACACCGCCGTCTCCACGGCTCCTGCCACTCCTGGCGAGGACACCGGTCTCCTGCGAGATCGGCGACGGAGACACTCCTACCATGCCCCCCGAAGACTCTCCTGCGACAACCAGGATGCGGAGTCTGTCTTCATCAGGGTGAGAACGAGTCTATCCCGTCAGTGACATCATGATCTAACAAGGAACAGGTGGAACTCTTCCTCGCCGAACTTGAGCGCCGAATGCACTGGATCGAACAGTACCGCAAATCTCACATGGATCACATCGACGCCAGTATGAAGCGAGGATATGCCACCCTGGAAGCAGTGAGAGACCAGTGTTCCGTCGCATCGGGTGAGCTGATGGGCAGCGGCAAGAAGCGTGCCAAGATTCTGGTCGAGACTCTAGAGGATGGATACAACGAGGCCCTGGCGACCAAGGAAACTTTGGAGCAAAAGGCCCAGGCCGGAGTACGATTGATGGAATCTTTTCTATCCGAACTCGAGAACCGTGCCCATGCCGTTCGCGATCGTGGCATCTACGGGGCTTTGGATGATGGGTGGAAGGCTATGGATTCGAAGCTGGTGCACGCCCGTGAAGTCGTGGACGAGGGAATTGAGCGTGCTCGTTCTACATTACGGGAGAACATCGACCAAGCAATCAAGCTGGCTCAGGAACAGCGATTGATTACTTACTCCGATCTGCCCGATCCCTGGCGCGTCAACCCTCATATCTTGAAAGGATATCGCTTCACCGAATCCAAGGTCGAGTGCGTTCATTCGGTATTTGCTTTCTCCAACGAGATGGTCAACATCTGGTCCCATGTCATCGGACTCATCATCGTCCTGGCAATCGCCTTCTACTTCTACCCACTTCACACCAACTTCCACGTCAGCAGCAAAACTGACATCATGATTGCCGCGGTCTTCTTCTTCGCCGCCTGCAAGTGCCTGGTCTGCAGTACCCTCTGGCACACCATGAACAGCATTGCCTCTCAGCCGCTGATGGAACGTTTCGCCTGCGTCGACTACACCGGAATTTCCCTCCTAGTAGCCGCCTCCATCGTGACCACCGAGTACACCGCATTCTACTGCGAACCCATCTCTCGCTGGACCTACATCCTCCTCACCATGTCCCTCGGCATCGGCGGCATCATCCTCCCCTGGCACCCAACCTTCAACCGCCACGATATGGCCTGGGCCCGCGTCGCCTTCTTCGTAACTCTGGCGCTTACCGGCTTTGCACCTCTCGCCCAGCTCTCTTACACTCGCAGCTTCGAATGGTGCCTCTATTTCTACGCCCCAGTCATGAAGAGTATCATGGTCTACTTCGTCGGAGCCTGCGTCTACGCCTCCAAAGTCCCCGAGCGCTGGGCGCCCGGTCTCTTCGATTACTTCGGCGGCAGCCACAATATTTGGCACTTGGCTGTCTTGGGCGGTATTCTCTTCCACTACTGCGCCATGCAAGACCTGTTTGCTGGCGCTTTCGTCCGTGCCCAGGGCGAATGTCCCAATCTGACTTCGTGAGCTCTTTGGAAAGCTCAAAAGCCGCATTCTGCATTTACTCTCGCTTTGAACTCATGATATTTTACGGGTAGATGATGGTTCAAAATCGCGCCTAGATCTGGACACGTCCTATTTTACTGGTCGCTGTCGTGGCCTTAGATATCTTTCATGCGCTGTGTTTGGCTTGTCTTGGTGCATCGGTGGAGTTTTGTTTGTTTCATGGATATTTTTTTGATCGTCATCTGTTGAGTTATACTTCGGAGACTTATTCTCGCTCCGTGTGGCTATCTGGCTACGTCGGTGTTGAGTTCTGCACACGACTTGTTCTTGTATCTAGTCTTGGTCGCATGTATTGCGCATGCATTTTGGACTTTGCTGTTTCTAGTGGCTTTTGCTCTCTTGACAGAGCTCGCACCAAATAAATCTATATCTTGCCTTATATTCTATCATTTAGTTGGTATAAATGGAGATGGATGTGTATTCAAAAGAATTGGTCATGATTTTGAATCTTCGGCTCAAGCAAAGGATCTATGGGAATATTCTATGCAAACATATATCGTCTTACTCGTAAACTCCATGCATGTATGCCGCGTTAAATGCACAGGTATAGTGTTGTGAGGATGCGGCGTACTTCTGCCGAAGGTTGGGAATGTAGCGATTCAAGTGCGAGCCGCACGTCCACGGCGGTATGATCATGACGGGGCTAGAAGAAATTGCGGCCCGTCAGAGTGCTGACTTCACGGGACAAGTGAGGACCTTAGACCGAGGAAGTGGAGAATTTGGCCAGGAGAGGATGGTTATTCGCCTCTGTTCAGCCGGGGCCTTGGGTTGGCCGATCATGCGGGAAGCTGACCCGTTATTGGAGAGAGCGATGGTCATCAGCTTCACTGAGCAGCTTCAGCAGTGGCAGGGGAGACCTCCTCGCGCTTGCGGAAATGTCCCTGCATCCAGCAGCGGTACATCTTCAGTTTGCTCGAGCGGTTGACCAGCAATCGGCGGTCAATGCCCATGTGCACAACCTCGAATGGCGCATCAGGTTCAGCAGGCAGAGTCTCCGCTGTGCTCTCGGTATCAACCTGCAGGCCCTTCTCCAGAGTCCAGCGGCTCCACATCTGGATCAATTGATCCTTGTCGAAAAAGTACACGCGAGTACCGTCGCCGCGAACATAGAAGTTCTCTCCCATGTAGCGGCCCTTTTTGAAACGGACCTGGGCCAGATCTCCACGGCCGTAGTCCCGGAACAGAACACGACCACCAGGCTTCAAAACACGGTAGACGTTGTGCAGAGCACGGTTCCACTGGACAGGGTTCAACGCAGAGAAGATGAAAATGAGAATGACAACGTCGACAGAGCCTTCCGTCAACCCCGGAGGTAGGTAATCACCGTTCTCATCCGGCTCAGCAGCGACATCCCAGACGTCAGCGACCATGTACTTCTCGTTATAGTGCTCACTCTCACGCATCACCTTAACGGCGTACTTTGAGAAATCACAAGCGTGCACCTTGAGGTGGTCGTTTTCGTTGTTCCGAATCAGCGGGAAAGCAGTGTTACCTGCGCCTGCACCGACCTCAAGAACCACCTGGGGGCCTGCATCCTTCTGTGTGACTTCCGCGAGAACTGGGAATTCCTGGCGCAGCCACTTGCGATCCTTGAAGAAGTTCTCTGTGTTGTTCTTGTAGAACAGGTTCCACCACTTGGCGGGGTCCTGGTTGAAACGGTTCTTGTCGAAGTCTGTTACGGGCGCAGCGCGCTGCTTCTCATATTGCCCCTCTGCGTAGGCTTTGAATTCGTCGTCAGGCTCAACGTGGTCCCAGGCGTTGAATTCGAAAACATCGTCGCCCTTTTCAAGGTAGCGGGATCCGAATTGGAAAGGATCGCTCCGCTTCAGGTTGTTGGAAGGATCATGGGAGCGAGAAGGATCGTTCATTGGAGGCTGCGCCCTTTGGGCAGCAGCGCGAATTTCGTCGTCGGGAGTCATTATGCTATGATTTGAGAATTGCGCAAATAGAACATGGCGGGGGCAAAGATAGAAAATCCCAGATCGGGTGGGGTGCCTGATTAGTCATTCGATAGGGGGGTCCCTATCAGCTTATCGATAAGATGCCGGCATGTGAGTAACTCCGACGTCCGGCAATTGCATTGGGAACGTGGATGCCTGCAGCAGCCTCAGTCTGTCAGTTCTCCTCATTCCATATCTCCTTCTTCCTTTCTTTCCTCGACATGTCTCTTTAACAGACTTCATTCTAGGAGGCTCATTGTCAACCGCCTTGGTCCGGAGCCCTATCAACTCCAGCGGGGATCTATCCACCTTATCTGCTGATCGTTGAGATTTGGAGGCTCTGCGATACGTTGACTTTGTGGACATGCAATAACCGCTGTTGCTTTTCTTTGGAAATTTATAAATCTTTTTAATTTCGTGAAAACGTCTTTGAATTCAATTCTTGTCATGTCCTTCCTCACCGGACTATGCGGGTGCTTCACCCGCAACGATGCATCCCCGCGCTCCAACCCAGAGATGCAAACTACCAACTCACTTCCCTGCACACGCCACGGTGTCCAAACAGGAAGCTTTGTCCTCTCCAACGAGGGCAACTTCGTTCGATCTGCCGGTCCTGGTGGACGAGGTGGGCACGGAAACGGGCTCGGGCCCCCACCCAGTGACTCGGAGGATGGGGGCTATGCCAGCGTGGTCCCACTTCCGCAGTATACACCACGGCCTATGAGCATCCACGAGAAAACACTAGAAACCAATATGCGTGACCCGCCCATGTCCTCGGGCACCCTTGGGTACGGCCATGTCGAGAAAAGCCGCAACCTCTACGACGAGGAGGTCACCTCTGACGCCTCATCGGCCATCTCATATCCCAGCAGCTACGGCAATACTTCCACTGCAACTCGCGAAACCCCCCGCCGCCTTATTCTCCCCGACAGTCAGCTGTGCTGAGTCGCTCTCGATCCATCTCCGTATCGTCGGCGATGGGTATCACTCTCAATCAGCCGCCTATGGCTCGGGTGCATGGCTGGCAATCCGGCGGACCACCATCTGAAGCCGATGACCGGTCGATACGTCGACACCGACGAGTCTCCTGGGAGAGTCGGTGACGTGAGACCTTCAACATGGTCCCTCTATCTATACGCTGCTCCCCGCACTTACCCTTCACCTACTCTTGGGCCACAGATGATATTCGAGCCGGATTCGTCTATCATAAAGCCCCGACTTCAACCTTTCTGGGTTGTAAACCTGGATATGATGTGATGACCAAGTAACAGTTGGATTTCTTATGATTGGAATGATAGGATTTTGGAATACATAATTATCGGATTTATTAGACATATGGCATTGTACATATTTGTTCATGGTGGAACACATCAAGAGATAGTACACCCTAATTGAAAGTTCTTCATTTTGTTCAAATGCGCCTGCATGAAGTTAGGATGGCTACGAGGGTACAGCACGGCGTCTCGATAGAAAGGGAAGAAAGGAGAGGTGGCTGTCAGTTCTCAGTTCAATTCAAGGGCCTCCACCTGCAAGCTGTTGGGCCTCCATGGGAAACAAAAAGTGAAGTCGTCATCCAGCACGCCCTGAGTGTCAAAAATTGGGGCCCATGCTCACAAGACATAAAATCAACCAACGTGATTTCATGGGGACATGCAGCGTTTCCGCGGTGGTTCCAAGCTGTTGATGAAGGACATGGGATAAAGGAAGGGATGGGAAGGGGGAAGAAATGAAGGGAGGCCGGCTCCATTAGTTACCAGACTCAATAAAATCTCAAGCTTCAGTCTCATCTAAGACTCTTTTCACCTAAATATCTGGCATTGATCATCACTGCAGTTTGGACAGTCTTTGACAGACTTGGAATAACGTCAAAAACATGCACCTAGGCGACTAGGTTCCAAAAATAGGAGCAGGGAATTATGATGCATTGAAATTTGAAATATGAAAGAAGTAGTTACAGTGCTTTTCTCAAATATGTCTATGCGCTTCTCAAACAGTACCGTTAATCAAAATTTTTGTACACCAGTAGGTAAACTACCGGGAAAGACGTGACAAACCCTTCGCCAAACTGTGTAGTGTCCATTGAAAGAGCGACACGGGGGAAAGATGGGGGTATTTCCACATGAAAACTGACAGTGCCCCAGCACCCGTAACCAAAGCCGAGGTCAGACCGATTCCTAGTACCTCGCTCTGATGCCGGACCGCCTGTACAACTTCTGAGTACCGCTGTGTACTGAAACTGATGCGAGCATATTGGGTCCTCCAGCCAAGGAAAGGAAGGCGACGGTCAATGGTTTCCTCGATTGATTTCCGTAGCTTATACAAAGGGGACTTGACTCCCGCTCTCATTTCGAGGAAGTTCTCTTTCGACAAATCGTTGATCGCGTGTGCGTCGTCACAGCGCACGTCTGTGTATGCTTGGAATGCCGCTTGGCGTCTGACGCTGCGGGTGTACACGCTGGTGTCGGGGTCGTAGACCCCGTGCTTGTCGAGTTGCTCGAATAGGACTCGCACGTCTTCCAGGCCGGCGTTGAGGCCCTGTCCGTAGAAGGGGAGGACGGCGTGAGCTGCATCGCCGAGGATTACAACAGTGGAACTATAGTGGTGAGGCCGACACTTAATACTGATTATTGGCAGGTGAGGGTTCAGATTGAACGATTCATTCAGAGCCTCGGGGTCGATAAGTTCCGGGCAGACACCGGGGAAATGCTCATCGAAGAACGCGTGTAGGTTATGGGGCGCATTTTCCAGCGCGGTGTAGTTTGCTTCTGGCGCGAAGAGCGTGCATGTAAATGACTTGTCGGCCGAGGGGAGTGCAATGAACATGAACTCGCGCCCGGGCCAAATGTGAAGATGATTGGGAGAGATTCGGTACTCTCCCTTCTCCGAGGGCGGGATACGGAACTCGCACCATAATGTGTCAATATACTCTTGCTGGTAATCGACGTGGGCGAACTTCATCATATGGAAGCGAGCGGCGGAGTGCGCACCATCGGCGCCAATCAGGTAGTCGTATGACACCTCGATCTCAGGGGAACGCCCAGCAACACCGAGGGAATCTGGCTGAGGAGTCTCACCAGGGATGCGACGCTCAAACCAAGCTTTGTTGGTGCGGAAGTCTGCACCGGTCAACTTATGGTTGAAGAAGAGCTTGACATTAGGGCTGCGCTCGAGCTCGTCGAGTAGAGCATTATTGAGAGTACTCCGATCCACTGCATTAATTGCCTATAGCCATACGGTCAGCCCTGTCAAGTTCCTGTACATCTTATGCCATAAGTGACATGCGTCATGCAAGATGCGACATGCAGGTGGAAGCGAAATGCATACTCGGCCGTGTATGTCATAGGCCTGTGCGGCCTCCCACAACTGCCCACTCTCTCGGCCGTGGATCATCCGCCCGTACATGGGGATAGTCTCACGGAGTACATCGTCGATCAGACCGGACCGGTGCGACTGCTGAATTGAAGTAATACCGCGCTCCGAGAGAGCCAAGTTGATCGACTTGGTGAAGTTCAAAGGCACCGTCGCGGGATCGCGGAGATCTACGGATGCGCGAAAAAAAGTTATTAGGCTTGTCCCCGGAAAATTTCGCGAATCACGCCATCCAAATGACAGGGGTAGCAGAAAGAACGATGAATCAATTGCGCCCTCATCATGCATAATTGAGACTCCATGTGAGAAACAGGGACCTTGCGGGATGTGGGTGTCGTATAATTTTGACTCAAGTGTTGGAGCTCATCTCCCACCACCAGCGCATGCATGTTCGCAGCCTTTGCGCAGATCTCCTCCTCATCCTCGCTCATCTTCAGGGCATAAACATAAGGAGTAAGCAACTGTAACGTACCTCCGCGCAACTCGTATACTTCAACTTCGTCGCCTCGGCTGGCCGCATACAGCGCCGCCAGGGACCCCACGGGTCCCGCACCTACCACAACGACCTTTTGGCGGGAAGAAGCTGCCATGTCACAGTCTTGAAGATGGAACTGGAAATGAGAAACTAATTTTCCCAGGCGCAAGGCGAATAGAATCACGACTCACGTGCTGCGACATCGGCCCTTGCCCGAAATGGAAGAGCGCAGAGAGAAAAAACGGGCTGACTCATCGTGATTGAAAATCAATCACGGCCTCGTCGCCTCGTCGCCCTGTCGCCTCAGGCTGCAGGGCCAGCACTAACCCAATGCAGGTTAGCGTGCCTATGAGACCGCGGGGATAAAGTCTTTTTTCTTGATACGGGATAATTAGCTGACCCCTCCCTCCAGCGCGTTCCATTTGGTAATACGTGTCCACTATTCACGATGGCAGTCGAATCTCCCCGCAAATGTATTGGAGTGGACTGCTCAAACAACGCGGGCACCCTGCAATGCCCGACCTGCCTCAAGGCAGGCACCGACAGTTTCTTCTGCTCGCAAGACTGTTTCAAGCGCAGTTGGGTAGGCACTCTTGGATAACAGGGGCATGTGATGCCCCCTTGGATCTTGGAAATCCTCGGCTAACTTGACCAGGCTGAACACAAAACCACTCACAAGAAGAGTAACTTCCTCTCCAATCTATTTCCTCCGAAGGTAGTTTCTGAACCTGATCCAGCAACCGGCAACTTCAATCCCTTCCCTTCTTTCCAGTTCGCCGGTAGCCTGCGCCCTGTCTACCCGCTGTCATCGAAGCGCGCCGTCCCGACTTCCATTCCCTACCCCGACTATGCCAAAAACGGTATCCCGATCTCCGAGCAGCGCCTCTTCGGCCAGCGCAGCATCAAGATCTTGAACAAGGAGGAGCAAGAGGGTATGCGCGTCGTCTGCCGTCTGGCCCGCGAGGTTTTGGATATTGCCGCCCGCGCACTGAAGCCTGGTGTGACGACCGACTACATCGATGAGGTGGTCCACAAGGCCTGCCTCGAACGGGATGTAAGAATGCCCTCGATTCCTTGTCGCTAAGGTAACACTATTGACAAGTAATTTCAGTCCTACCCTTCCCCGCTTAACTATATGCACTTTCCCAAATCCGTCTGCACCTCCGTCAACGAGACTATCTGCCACGGCATTCCCGATCAGCGCCCTCTAGAGGATGGAGACATTGTCAACATCGACGTGACCCTGTACCACAAGGGTTTCCACGGCGACATCAACGAGACCTACTACGTCGGTGACAAGGCCCTTGCCAACCCCGAGGCTGTTCGCGTGGTCGAGACCGCACGCGAGTGCCTGGAAAAGTCGATCGAGCTGGTCAAGCCCGGCATGCTGTTCCGCGATCCCGGCAACGTTATTGAGAAGCACGCAAAGTCCCGCGACTGCAGTGTTGTTAAGACTTACTGCGGCCACGGTATCAACCAGCTCTTCCACTGCGCCCCCAACGTTCCCCATTACGGCAAGAACAAGGCCGTCGGCGCCGCTAAGCCCGGTATGTGCTTCACCATCGAGCCTATGATCAACACTGGTACCCACCGCGATCGCACATGGCCCGATGACTGGACCAGCACCACTGCGGATGGTTCTTTGTCGGCACAGTTCGAGCACACCATGTTGGTAACTGAGGACGGTGTTGAGGTTCTTACTGCCCGTTTCCCGGATTCGCCGGGTGGTCCAGTCCCGATGCCCGTAGCGAACGGGAATTGAGTGGATTGATGACAACTTGCATAGATGGTCAGATACCAGTTAACCTGATTAGAGCATAATTAACGACCTGTCAATGTCTTGATTTCTATAGAACGTGGCCCACACTCGTAGCAACATTGCCGAACTCCGCACATTTAGATTCGTAGAATATGTCAACTGTACCTAGTGGCATCCTTTTCCGTTCCTATGCTCAACATCAGAATGTCTAGGTCTTTGCCAAGCTTGACTGGACGTAGAATGATTGTTCGTACATGGCAAATGGCGGTGGGACAAAAGTGGAATTATTCGGATTCGAAGACTGTAGTTAGTGGGGCTAGCAATGCCTTGGATAAGTCCGAATGTTGATAGCCTCCCAAAAGCTTGGAAAGAATCAATGAAGTATGAATTGCAATATGAAACGCTTCCTACTTCCTAAAGCTAGGACGTCGTCATCATCCACTAGGTTTATTGAACTACGTCGTGCAAGCTTTAGCTCGCCCACATGATGCGGCTCTTCCGCACCACATGGGCACCCGTGGACGCACGAGTGCACTGGCCACTCTGGTGATATAACATGCTAGATAAGCTTTGCACAGATAAAAAGGTCCTACCTATACCCCTCGAGTTCTTGAGTCCTTTTGCACTTGATCCCGTCAGATTCGTATTAAAATGCGCCTGTATACCTCGAAAGCCGCATGTGGGGCCCAATGCATACCAAGAAGCTCTATAGATCGGTACTTTTTGACCATGCAGAACAGATATGTGCTCGTATGAGGTACAGCTGGACCCACTCCCGTTTTTTTCATGGGTCCAAATACCCCAGATAAGTTGAAATCCCCAGAAAAGCAGTTTTTGGTGACCCCACAAGCATCAAATGGATGAAGCTTTTTGCGGATGGCTCGCAGCCCCACGTTAGCCCCTCCACCTGAGCACCACTTTTGCACCAACAGCTCATTTCTCCTTTTCTTTTCCTTGTCAATTGTTCTGGAGTTAGGTCATTGTCTGATCCACCATCATCGGAACAGTTAATCATTAGTCTGTTGATCAGCCGCAAGTCCGGTTATATCTCACATCATGGCCAGCCAACTTCACAGCGCACCGCCTTTCCGGGCTGAGCACATGGGCTCATTGCTGCGCCCTCAGAACCTGTTGGAGGTTCGGGCCAAGATCCGTGACACTGGTATCTCTGAGAAGGAGGCCGGTCTGCACGCCGTTGAGAAGGAGGCTGTTAAGGACGTCGTCCAGCTGCAGCGGGACCTGGGAATCAAGGCTGTCTGCTCCGGCGAGTTCAACCGTACCCGTTTCTGGGGTCTAATGTGGGATGAGTTTGAGGGTATGTGATGACACAACTTGCGATTAGCCATCACTAAATGAGTTTTCAGGAACTATTCGTCTGCAGGATGCCGATGCATCCATGTTCCGTCTTTACCACCCCGACGTCGTCAGTCTGATCGAGCAGGACCGCAAGGTTATGCCCGGTGACTCTGTCATTGCCGGCTCTAAGCTCTCCTGGAGCCCTGAGAAGTCTGTTTCCAACCTGCACGAGCTGAAACTCATCCAGGATGCCACTCCCAAGAGCGAGTGGGGCAACATCAAGCTGACCATGATCACGCCCGCTTGGTTCCACATGCGCTACAAGGAGGGCAAGGCTTATACCCCTGAGGCATATGCCAACGACTCAGAGTACTTCCAGGGTGTTGCCGAGGTGTACCAGGCCGAGCTGGATGCCCTATATAAGGCTGGTCTTCGCAATGTCCAGTTTGACGACCCCGGCATGGCATACTTCTGCTCCAACGCCTTCCGCAAGGGCTGGGAAGAAGACAAGGACAACAGCGGCAGCGTCGACGACCTCTTCGATGCTTATATCAAGCTGTACAACGACTCTCTGTCCAAGGTCCCTGCGGACATGCACACCGGCATTCACTTGTGCCGCGGTAACTTCATCGGCGGCCGTCATTTCTCCGAGGGCTCTTACGACATTATCGCCAAGAAGCTGTTCGAAAACCTTAACGTCAACACCTTCTACCTTGAGTATGACACCGAGCGTGCGGGCGGTTTCGAGCCCCTCAAGTTCTTGCCCAAGAACAAGAACGTCGTTATCGGCGTTATCAGTACCAAGCTCCGTGAACTGGAGGACAAGGAAGCCATGAAGGAGCGCATTTACAACGCTGCTGACTTCGTGGCCTCAGGTAGCGGTGAGACCCGCGAGGATGCACTGAAGCGTGTCTGCGTTAGCCCTCAGTGTGGATTCAGCACCCACGAGAGCGGATACCCGCTGAGTTTGGAGGATCAGAAGAAGAAGCTGGGTCTGGTCCGCCAGATTGCGGATGAGATCTGGGGTGAGGCGTAAAGTGCTGATGGCCTCTAATGTGACACGACAATGCAAGAATTTTCTGAAATTTCAACAGCGACGGGAAACTTTGATGTGACACGGGATTTGTACTTAGGGATTCAACAGATGTACGCAGTTGCATGGACAGCATGTATTTATGGAGGGAGGTTAATGAGATGAACTCATTTCAATATGTGAATGGGGTCTGCCAAGGTCCTTGAGGCACTAAACTGTAAAGAGAATGAGGGGTTGGTTTAGTCAATTCTGGAATGGCGTTTAAGATACATACATGCATAGATATGGTATGCAGTAAAGAAATCATTCTCCAAGTATTCTACAGAGCTGTTGATCAGTACATATGATGGGTTCAAAAGTGGAATACAGCAACCCCACCCAGGGGTCCCTTTTTCCCATCCTCCGTTTCGGTTCAACCAAAAGTTGAAAACCAAGGTTCGCACCTCAGATCTAGATAAAAGCAAACCCCTAATTCCATGTTCTTGTGGCTGTCCCACACTTTCAGGCAGATGTAGGCAGAACCGCGCTAGTTGACATTGGAAACGAAGAGTAGCCTAAATCAGGAGGCTCAAGCTCGGCTTAGCGCTACCATGGTTTCGCGGAATCCAGGTTTTAAAACACCCCTGTTCTCACTGTTTTCTGTTCAATATTCTCCTAATTCGAAGTCATGTTCAACCTATTTGGAGAGGAACCTGCACAAGAAGAGCCTCTGTCGCCCCTACTGGTTGCCGTGGACGCCGAGGATGTGGACACCGTGCGCCAGTTAGTCCCCACAGCAGACCCTGGTGACCTCACCGCGGCTCTGTGTCGATCCTGCGAGAAGGGTAAACTCACTGTCGCCCAGGCTCTGATAGAGACCGAAAAATGTGATGCCAATGCCGCGGACGATGGTGTAACGCCCCTGTTCTTGGCCGCAAAAGCTGTGGAGCCCGCCATCGTCCAACTCCTCCTACAGCACGGCGCAGATGTCACTGTGAATTCAAAAATTAAGCGGGGCGATTTCAGAGAACTGTTATATCTGCCGATCCACGGCGCGGCGCAGGATCTGCGGCAACTCCAAGATGTGAAAGATCAATCTTGCTTCGAGGAGGTAATCCAGCTGCTGTTGGACGCCGGGGCCGACATCAATTCGCAGGATTCCCACGGCGAAACCGTGCTGCTAGACTGCTTGCACTGCGATTCGGAGCTCGTTTCATTTGTACTACGTGTCGGAGCGAATCCCAACATCGAGGATAAGCGAGGCCTCGTGCCTCTGCAATTCTTTCACACGCCTCAAGATCATCCGGAACGATTCAAGCTTCTAATGGAGTACGGGGCCCGTTTGGATACTGGCGCGAAAGATGACGGTAAAACGCCGCTGCATGCCTTCGCGACGAAATGTCAGCTGGGAGATCTCTCCTTGTTCCTGCCGTATGTATCGGACTGGCACATTACCGATGCAAAAGGGAATACACTACTTCATGTCGCTGTAGGAAGACACCGCCGTGGGAATCCGACGGTTGCGGCACTTTTGAAGCTCGGGCTTGACCCAAACCAGAAGAATCACGATGGAAGACAGCCTATCCATATGATCAATGCCATGGGAGACAGTCTAGTAGACGTCTTGGACATCCTCTGTGCGGCCGATGCAGATCTTGAGGCCAGGGATCACTCTGGACGCACGCTACTCACCAATTCTATGTCTGGATATGCCAGTATAAGCTCTCACGAGTTGGTGCCTCTTCTAATCAGCCGGGGAGCTAATATCAACGCCCGGGACTACAAGGGTGATGGTATGCTTTCCTATCTGATCGGGCCTCACGAATTTCACTCTCAGCATCTGGACACCCTTTTAAAACTCGGAGTTGATCCTAGACTAGAGAACTACGCAGGAGACACCTTTTTACACCAATTGGCAGTCCATTTCGCTACCGTCCAGGATGACTCGTGTTATTTAGCCATGCTAAAGCTCTTGAAGATGGGCATTTCCCCAGCCCGTCCCAATTTCCAGGGACGGACGCCCCTACATAGTCTTTGCAGTCAGACCTCTGAATTCCATTTCATGTCTGCTCCAGAGGAAGGCAAATGCGCTATTGACCTGCTGCTTGATGCAGGTTTCAATGTCGCGTTGAATACTCCTGATAATCAGGGAATTCGCCCTATCCACCTGGCTGCCACCACTTCTGATAGACTGGTCAGCAAGTTGATCGTCAGAGGAGCTGATACGACCGCAACCACGAAAGATAGGCGAAACTTGCTACATATCGCGTCCACCGCTCGCCAAAGTAACGTTGTCGGGCTGCTGTTGGATCATTACACCTCGATCAATATGCTGTCCTTAGTCAACACACAGTCTGAGGACGGACGAACCCCCCTCCATGTGGCATGTCGCTCTGGAAGAGTGGAAACTGTGAATCTACTTCTCGCTCATGGAGCGGATGTCCAACTCCGAGATAAACACAAGCACACCGCGATGGATTCATGCTCTGGTTTCAAAGTCGAAAACCAACTCTGGAAAGGCACTTATGGTCAGGAAAACCTGTTCCGTCTCTTTTCCGCAGCGGGCGTCCTCGCAGATGATGATCGACGGCCACGGATGCATGAAACCAATTCGAAGAACAAGAGCGAGAATCCCAAAAAGCTAGGATGGAAGGGTGAGCTCACATCTGAAGCTTCGAGTCTTGGGACCCGTGACATCGTGCGGACGTTGGCGCGACATGGTGGGCTTTTAGAAAAGACAGGATTTGGAGTTGGTCCAATGTGGCACGCGACAGATGCTGGCGACGAGGAGATGGCCGTCGAACTAGCGCGGGTATCCGAAGAGATGGGCATTAAAATCGAAGATTATCGCTCCTTCGACACTGAATGCTTGCTGTTGCGCTCGCAGCACCTTCCGGTCTTATTGATGGAAAAATTTAACAGCCCTATTGATATGGACATGGACGTGCTTTCGATGACTTTGAGCGGTCATCACGAGGAGCTTGCTCAAGCCTTGGAAGAAAATGCGGACGTTGTCAATAAAGGCTCCGCTCTGCCGGACATCTTGGTCACACTCGCACGGTGGGGATACTCTGAGCTCTTTGAAAGAATTGGGAAGATCATGCCAAAAAGCTGTTGGATCGACGGCGGAAGCAAGCATTACAACGGCGAGCTAATCCCATACTTGCTGGCTGCTGCTCAGCGAGAGCTTCCTAACCTGGACACGATCAAGGTGATTGTCGAGAAATTCAATGCAGATGTCAATATTGTATTCAAGGAGGGCATGGTGACCAAACCAAAGGTCTACTACCAATCTGCAATGGCCAGCGGTAGAGGATACCAAGCGGGTGATACGATCCTCCACCAACTGGCCCAAGGCACTCACTGGTGGCATGCAGGAGCCATTCGGTACTTGCTCCAACAAGGCGCTGATCCTAACGCCCGCAATGCCGAAGGCAAGACACCGTTGTGCAAAGCCCTTCACAAATCCGATGGTCTCCAGCAACTGGAAATTGTTAAAAGCCTGCTTGAAGGCGGCGCCGACCCAAACCTTACTGCTCAATGTGGCTTCTCGCCGCTTGCCATGTGTGCATATAGCACACAGTTATTCAATCTCCTGATCGAGCACGGTGCCTATCCATCCCAGAACCACCCCATGGAGCTCTTCGTGGCGTTGTGCTCCTTCAATTCTGAAGTCGTCTCTACTCTTCTTACCATGGATTTGGACATAAACAACACAACCCTATCTGACGCCCAGCGACACTGGCACACCCACAGGTTGCAGAAAGACCCTCAACTCACAAGCTTCATCCTGCGACCAATCCACTACATCTCTATGTTTCCCTTCAACGAGTCCAACAGCCGCGCCAACGCTAGCCGCATGGTCAACTGCCTGCTCGCCCACGGCGCTGACCCATTCCTACTTTGCGACACCGACAAGTCAATCCTGCATGAGCTTTTTACCGACGGGGGGATCATCCAGCCCTGGCTTGAAATGCCGAACCTTGACCTTGAGCGACGGGATCCTAAAGGCCAGACACTCATTCTGGCCGCCGCAAGGTGCCAGACTGGAACGCATTCGTATGGGTGCAGTGTCCCCATGTTCCCATTTTACGGTGGTAACATTGTACCGCTGCAGTGGGAGGAGGGCGATATTACGCGTGCGATGGCACTTTATGAGAAGGGGGCTGATGTTTCGGTGGTAGATAACCAAGGTAATACCGTGTTTCATCTTCTGGCGGCTTCGATGCCGTCTAACACATTTGCGGAGGCGGAGTTCCGGAGGACGGTGGAATTGTTTATGAAGAAGGTTCCTGAGTTGGTGGAGAAGGGGAATTCCACAGGGAAGACGGCTCTTGCTATTGCGGAAGAGCATGGTATTGCGTGGGCGAAGGATTTGTTTGGAAATTTTCGAAACGACTAGATCTTCTGGAACAATTTTATCTTTCACCCTGACGCTATGCTTAGTCACTACATCTTGTCTTGCCAGATTTTGATTTCTCCGAGCCCATCCATTATGGGGATTCTGAGGATTTTGCGGGGCTAAACGTCGGAAGAACTCCGAAAGATCATCAGATATTGAACCGGGCAAGTGGGGAAGCGGCAGGGCAGCTATAATTCATTGGAGGAAGAGAACGATTCCCCTGGGCATACATCATTTGAAGTCTTGCGGGGTTTGTTCTTCTCCGAGTCCCTCACTCCCAGCAACTCCAAATAAATGTCTCGTCACCCCTTGATACGTTTTTGCTTTCTATCTGCACTTTGAACACGGCTGTCACTTGGAATTTTTTTTGTGGAGCGAAAACGACGACCCTCATTCAGGATGCCTACTAGGAATCTTGCGCTTGCGACTCTAGTGGCTCTGGGACAATCAATCGTCCCTCCCGTTGAGGGTAGTAGCTTGCCTGCTCAGGCTCAGGTGATCGACCAAAGAGCGTTCAACGTCTTAAACGTGACTCAGCCACCAATCGAGTTCAATGCCAAGAGTGTATGTGATCAAGCGTTCCTATCTTCCTTATCTCAAAATTGATCCACGCTTGAAATCACAGCTTTTCGTCCCTCCAGGACATACCGAAGAAAGCCTCACTCAACGCCCATTCCATGTGTACGACGATGAGTTCTTGAAAATTATTGGAGAAGCTCCAACACTCACCCGGATTGCCCACTCGCCCAAAGACCCTCTGTTTCACGAGGCGGTCGTCTGGTATGGCATGTAAACATAGAGAGAAGCACACTGGGACTGATTTGGGGTTATGACAGGTCAAAGGAAACAGAGGAAGTCTTCTTCGTCCAGAACGCAGGTGCCAAAAACGCTAGCACTGGTCTAAAGAAGTCGGCAATAATTGAAAAGATATCTCTTGCAGAGGCCGCTGCCGTTGCTAATAAGAGGGATGCTGCAGGCTTGGTAACTGTTACTAAGGTCCCTTCATCGGCTATGGTGATCAATCCAAATGGTAAGCTAGGACATCGCTTAGAGATACGACGATTTTTCGGCCTGACCAGTGACCAAAATAGGGGGAACAAACTACCGGAGACAAATCGTCTTCACTGGTGAAGGCCAGGGTGATGACAAGCCTCCATCTTTATGGCTTATGAACCCACAAAAGCCATACAATACTACCGGTTGAATATCCCCATTCCGCACATGAAAGAAAGATAACTAATTGAAATCCATCTAGTTCTGTTGAACAATTACTTCGGTCGGCAATTTAACTCCTTGAACGACGTAGTCATTCATCCGAAAAATAAAGACATCTATTTCACAGACACTATTTATGGATATGTGCAAGATTTCCGTCCCGCTCCGGGGCTGCAGGACCAAATCTATCGATTCAATGAAGATACCGGTGCTGTCACGGTCGTGGCGGATGGCTTTGATCACCCTAACGGTATGTCCCTTGGAAACCCCTAATTAAATCATAGGAATGGGCTAATTTATTTCAAAGGATTAACCTTCTCGCCTGACGGTGAGTACGCGTATGTTACCGATACCGGCATCGACAGTGGTTTCTTCGGTTTGAACTTTACTCGTCCCGCTTCGATGTACGTTTTCGCATAATCCTCTATGAAACTCTAAGCTCAATCGAAGTGCAATTTGCTGACTGCAACTTTATAGATATCGCTTTGACGTGAAAGAAGATGGGACATTCGAGAATCGCAAGACTTTTGCATTTGTGAACTCCGGCGCACCTGATGGTAAGTCATACGGGATAGTCTGCCCTCAGTTCAATTTTGGAAGCAGAATCAATGGGTATCTCACATACTGACATTTTATTTGTGATAAGGCATCCATTGTGACTCCTGGGGCAATATATACGCCGGGTGTGGCGACGGTATTCAAGTCTGGAACCCATCAGGCAAGCTCATCGGGAAAATATATGTTGGTTCTACCTCGGCGAACTTCAACTTCGCTGGAAAGGGTCGAATGGTCATTTGTGCTGAGACAGACCTCTACTATGCAACATTGGCTGCAGCAGGGAATTATGTTGATAGTGAGATGTGAAGCATATCCCTAGATAAAGACAATTAGGTGTTTTTCAGTTATCAAATACGAATTTCCTTAAATTTGATTCTCTTCATAACAGCGTCTACTTTATATTAAATGTTACTGGTATGACTTCTGAGTTTTACTGGAAATCTTGGTAGTTTCAAAGTTAATACATGAATTTTCGGATCAGGTTGACATCCGTGCCCTAGGCTGATATCCCTCAGTAGAGAAGGCCAACGAGTGGCCGGGTGACCGGGTGGGATTTCTACCAAGCGAGCTTCTTTTCCGATTAAGGAAAGGTCAGAGTGCTAATACTTCAAGAGGTGACTAATAAGCGTTTAATATTTGCGCCTTAGGCTGAATAATGGTCTCACGAAAATAATCTGGTCAGTTCTGGAATTTTAGTGCCACGCCCGGGATAAATAGCTTGAAGACATTTCAAGCTTTGGAAGTGTTAGACGAGCATTTCCAAAATGTTCTTCCTCACTGGTGTCTGGAACAGTATTTTAGCCGTCCACGGTCAAACAAGCTTCCGTATTTGTCCGGTGATCACCATGATCCCTGCTAATTTTGCGGGGGTGGCTAAGAACTAGGAGAGGTACTAGAAATGGCACGGACATCAACTGAGGTGTGACGTGGCGAAACCCACTCTTCTACAGCAATACCTAACCCATTCAAAGGGGCTAAAATGTGTTTTTTGAGATTGATTGGATGGAAGAAAGATGCAGGAGTCAACTTACTGTCAGAGGCAGTGATAGAGGTATGAAGAGATGTATAAATAGATCTGTGTCCTACAAAGCAAAGTACTTGATCAGAGCGAATACGATTGATTTCATGCACAGTCGGGAAATTATTAACACCATTCTGTTCCACCACAGAGCTTAGGTACATAAAAAGCTAATTGAGTGTCATACATTGACTGTCATTGGACAGATTGAGAGTGTTCGTTTTTGTTCATCTCAAATCAGCCTATACAGCTTCCTCGAGTATATGCTCGCACTTAAGGGAGAGCAGCGGGGGCGTAAGCCTGGTCGGGCTTGACGACCTTTCCACCAGCGAGCTGGTTGTCGGTGTAGGCGGGCCAGACAATTTGGCGGGTGTCACCGTTGACGACAGAGAGGGTTGTGAAGCCATTGCCCGGGCCGAACTGGCCGCTCCAGCCGGAAGTGATCGTGTAGGCGCCACAAGTGGCAGGACCGCCGTTGGCCTGGGAGGCATCGGCGGCCTTCACGACGTAGGTGCAGGGGGTAGCGGCGGCAGTGCCAACCTCAATGCCGAAGGTCCAGGTACACTGGGAGTTGGCGGCGTTGCAGGTGCGCTTCATGTTCTCGATAGTCCACTGGGGACCAGCGGCCATCATGGACACGCCGGCAGTAGGGGCGGCCATGACGGCCGAGGAGGCGAGGAGGGTGGTGGAAAGGATGATCTGAATGAGCTGCATGATGGCGGCTTGTGTTTGTTGAAGGTAGATATAGAGAGACTGTTTTTTATTGTGGAATGGTGTGAATTAATTTGAGGATCGAGCGAAAGAGCGAAGGTATTTATGGCTTTCCTGAGCCTCTTCAGCAGATGCCCATCTTGGCATGATCATGGAACTAACATCATAGCACAGAGAGCCCCCGTGACTACTCCACAAGAATTCCTTGAAATAGATGCTGCTAAAGGTTAGTGAATGTAACAGTGGAAGCGGAACAAGTAACAAATACTCCGCCCAGTGCTGTCTCACTCAAGTATAGGTGAGACATCGGCCCGAGGCGGTGTCTATTTTGTGGTATGCCAACTCTGCACTGCTGAACAATACAATGCACAAAGTAAGACACATTCAAGACCAGACGAATCAGATACGGGGTGCCTCGGCTTGGCAACCCGTATATGTGCTCATCTGGGGCCACATGGTGTCGATCGATTACCAGCCGGGGAACTTTCGAGCTAGGCAGGACTGGGGAAAGCTACCGATGAATCCGGCTAACAATTGGTGATCTTGCTGTATTTAGATGCAACTAGTACCAAACGGGTAATCCACTTGCCACTCAGGGTCCGCGACGCGGAAAACGAGGACCTGATCTGACTTGAGGGCAGGACAGAACAAATCAGGCCTTCCACGGCGGTCAGGTGGCCCCACGTCACCTTCCCTACCGTTTCGGTCCCGGGTCAAAAGACCTCCTATGAGGCTATGATCCGACTTTTTGAGAGACCTAAAGATGGGATGCCCGAAAGATACCTTGCAAGCGACACACGTTGCAAGTTCACGTGCTGTCCCCTATACCTTGAAGCCCCCGGGTCGGAGAATAACTTCATCTTTCATGAAGACTTGACAGAGCCGTGACCCACTGTCAGACATAAAATTGTCCACTTTAGGCATACCTACGGATACGATCAGCCCGAATGCTTCATGGTTGCCATTCTTCGACGCCCCGGCACAACCGCTAATAATGTTTCGCCCAAATCCCAAAATCAAAAGTACAACATTAACACTCTTATTTCAGAGACTGAGTGATAAGTAGGTTGCCACGGCAAATATGCATAAGTTGAATACGATATTAATATATCATTGATGAAACCCATAGACTATCTGGGTATGTTTCACACCCTATCATCCTAATGAACAAGTGACGTCACGCAGTCTCGCAGCTTAACTTGTTAAAACCTGAGATCATAGCTTTGCATCATGCTTCCATCCCGGCATGTCGGCAAGGTCCTTGGCCGGAGCACCGCGTCTAGATCTAAGAGCGTCACCTCCTGGTCTCCATCTCCATGCATCGGCCATATCTTGGGACAGAGATTCTTCCAAAAGCTCGACGACATGTTTCCCGATATTTGGCAACAGCTTGAAAGAATGACTGTAGAATAATGAGTTAGCAAGCTTGTCACCACAGGCAACACTTCACTAGGCGTGGTGGCACACTCACCCGCTGTCTCCAGTGGCCAAAATGAAATTCTTCCACTTCGGGTGCTCGCAAATCAGCAAGTTAGCATCAGCCGTATCTGTGCACCAGCACATAGTCCGGTTGAAGAGCTCCTTTTCTTGAAAGTTTGGCAAGAATCTTGCGATCGCTTTCCGTATGGTGATTTCGGAGGCGTCAGGGTAGGTATCTGTAGGATGCTTGGCGTGTGATCGAGGTACAGATACTATCTTGGGGGATTTGGCACCGTAAGGTTGATGCTGTTTGAAGCGAGAGAACCCAGGGAACTCGTCACAAACTTTGATTACCCCGTGCCTGAAGAGAAGGGGGTTTAGCATGTATGCGTTCACGTTCGGGGCCTTGCTTACTCGTTGGGTTCGAAGAAGAACCCATATTCACCATCATAGATGACGGGCACGTTCTTGTACTTGTCCGCTTCTTGAGGTGTGAGTTGGATGTGGGCGAACACCCAGGCCTTATGTCCCAATTAGCGACTAGTTAGAATTCGCTTGTTCTTATTTCTTGACTTACTTTTGAAACACACTGGTTTTCCAAGTCCACCAAGGTTGGACTCCAAGCACCAGCAGCCAAAACCACCTTATCAGCAAAGTATCTTGATCCGTCTGTAGTTTCAAGTCCAATGCATGTTGTTCCATCGGCCGCGAACAGAGGCTGCTTGAATGTTCCAGCACTGAAAGGTCGCGTCAGCGAATGCCAACCTGGAATTTGCTAGTCATCACGTACCCTCCAAAGCCAAATTTGACACCTTGATCTTGAAGGAAATTTCCGATCGCATTGATAGCCTTGGCTGCAGCAAGCCAGCCTCCATCACTGCAAAACAAGCCTTTCCACCCCTAATGATCGGAACCGGGTGAGACTTGAACATACAAAGTTTTTCAAGGGCCAGTAAATTACCTTGACTTGTTCCCGCGTGAAGTTTGGCATTTTCGCTAGGATCTCATCTTCAGTTTCTAACCAAACGTTCGTCTTCTCTAGCCCAATGCCCGCATCAAGGAGGGTCTGGTACTTCCGTCGAAGATTTTCAATGCCCTCTTTTGATGACGAACAGTCAATCTGCTGGTGTATTAGTATTCGAAAGACTCATCTTTAGGGACAGTCGCAGCTCTTAGGACTCACCATGCCCACTTGGTGAAAGAAAGGCTTAAACAACTCATCGTGTTGCCACATATCGAGAGATTCCAGCGAAAGCTGCAAGTCGGGGCCGTTGCGCAACCGAATGCCCATAATTTTGTTGAGGTCATGTCCTGCAGATTGCAGTGAAGGGATCTTGTATACATCCAGGACGGTGATGTTTGAGGGGGTATATCCAGAGCGAATGAGGTGCAGCGCCGTTGACGAACCGACCGTACCACCTCCCCCGGCCACGACGACCTTGGTGCTTGCGCGCGAGTGAGCCATGTTGAAACTGAATTGACTTCCACAAGCTTTGCAGTGTACGGGACGCTCAAACAGCACAGTCAGCAAGGAAGCTGATCGACAGGATCGGTCTAAAAACTTGAAGGGAACGTAGGCTCATAAGTCGTGATCAAGTGGGTGCGACCGGTCACAGTATCTCGCACGAGATGCCAAGCCTAAAGTGTGACCTCCGCTGATAAATGTCCACTCAAGTTTCCAATTTCAAGATAGAGGTGTTTGTCAAGAAGGGGTCAGATACGGATGAGTAGCCGGAACGATCACGATTGGTGCATTTTCTCCAACGTATCGCCGAGAATTGCGAAGTGGAGGCTAGCGCGTCTTCCTTTCGTGTGGACCTTCCTCTCGGCGGACCCCAAAGTACGCTCAAGCCTGGAAATGGCATTGGGGAATGTGGGGGAACATGTCCCCCATCCGGCTACCAGGCTTGGAGATACCCCGGGGACGGCAGATAAGCTTAGCGTGGACCTTCCATCGACATCAAGGCACTATAGTCTGTGATAGATCTTCCTTTTGGGCTGAGCGGAGCGAATTAACCGTCAATCTAGCCGCGAGAGTCTCCGAGGTAAAGAGATAAGGTAACTTACTCGACAAAGGTATAAATAACCCCAGATGGATTGCAGCCCGCTCTCGCACCGCCTCTGAGTCACTCAAAACACATTACGATCGTGCGATTCTTTCACAATGACTGACTCGAAGACGGCCATGTCTAAGGCGTACGATGGTTCTCCTGAATTGACGGACAATGTAGCCGATATCGCTCATGGGGTGAACATGGAGGTGTACAGGGCGACTGTCCCGCTATGGAAACGGGTATGGCAGCATAGTTTGACACAGATGATGCTGCTGAGTGTCCAGGCATTCTGTGGACCAGCTATGGCTGACGCGATTACGGGTGGGTGCTATCCTGAGTATCTTCATTGCAGTGGTAGTTAACTGACTGTTTCAGGCCTTGGGGGTGGTGGTCTTGCAACTGCGAAGGTGTCAAACATTTGCACCGCAATCACATACGCGTTGCTTGCGATCGGTTTGTTCCCAGCAGCCATCAACAAGACCTTCTATTGTACTAACAGGGAGTTCGTCAGTCTGTTTCATGGGTGGTCCGATCGTGAACAAGATCGGTGTCAAGTGGGCCCTCGTTCTGGGCGCAATGTCCTTCCCCATCGAAGGGTCGGCATACTACTGTAATAGCAAGTTTGGCAACCAATGGGTAAGTGGTGAATCTTTCCATCGGCATGCTTACGAGGTTTGAGTTATCTTTCTAGAATATTTATTGACGATAGCCTGCAGTATCTCATTCTGAGTGGTGCCATCAGTGGCATTGGAACCGCTTGCTGGTATGTTGCTGAGGCTGGAGCTATTATGACGCTTGCACCTTCTGCCTCCCGTGGGAAGTATTTGGCTCTGTGGATTGTGTCGCGTAACCTCGGACAGCTGGTTGGAGGAGCAATCAAGTAAATTCTTCCTGGCAACGCGTGGTGAGCAATGACTGACATGTTTGTTCTGCAGCCTATCGAAAAACCATGAGAAAGGAGTCGATGGTGGAGTTTCTCCCGATACTTACATCGCCTTTGTGATCATTGAGTCTCTCGCGTGAGTGAACTGAGAAATATGGATAGCCACACAAATGCTAACGGTGTTCCTCAGTCTGCCTTTCGCACTGCTGATTACTCCTTTCGAAAAAGTTGTCCGATCTGACGGTACCAGAATTATCACTTCGGAAACCCTTTCCACCAAGATGGAAATGAAACGTATTCTGAAGACCATGACCTCGAAACTTGTTGTGTTTTCTGCCCTTTGGGCATTGTGGTCGTTCTTCTACAGGTATGATCTAGTGTTATTCGACAATTCCATGGAAGAACAAAAAAAACTTAACATTTGCGACAGTGGTACCTGGAGCACATACTTGGCGACTTACTTCTCCGTCCGCGCCCGCGCTCTCTCGTCTCTCGTCTCGCCTTTCTTCTGCATGTAAGGTTCCAATCCATCTCTCCTTAGATGCATCAATTGATATCATTTCTGTCAGTGTGGGCTGCTTTGGTCTTGGATTTATCCTTGACATGAAGAGTCTCAGCCAGCGCCGCCGGGCCCAGATCGGTCTCTTCACCGTCGTCATCCTCAATGTCGGGGTGTACATTTGGTCCATAACTATGCAAGTCAAGTTCAACCACCATAACCCGGGTCACATTGATTGGCAAGATGCACTGTACCCTTCTGCTTTCTTGCCATATTTCTTTGTGCAGACCACAGGTCCATTGTCGCAGTCATACATGTATTGGCTTCTGTCTTCTTTTGCCACGGATGCACAAGGTTAGTATCCTAGTAGGTGACGGAATGGCGGTTCTAGCTTGCCCAAATGCTGATTGATACTATAGAGAATGTACGCAATGGCGCTGCATTCCGATGCATCGAAGCCATTGGACAAGCTATCTCCTACGGTATGAATACTCAGACGACAAATAACCCTCTTGTTGGATTGTAAGTTCCCTCGTTTTTTTCTTCATTTTATAACATGCTAACTGACCGATCTACTAGTTGCGTGACATTTGGCTTACTCGGAGCGGCTGTATATCCCATGATTATGCTTGTCAACACAACACCAGACCGCATTCCCGCCGACGTGGTTGCCGAGGAGCAGGATGCTGCGCTTGAGAAGATTGAACATTTGAAAGTGTCTAATCAAACCCCATTTGGTGCCCCAGTCTAGTGCTGGCAGACATGGCCTCAAGTATGACGACCATTTGCCTACATACTAAATATACACGATACAAGTTTAGAATGGGACTTTAAAATACATATCTACGTGGAACAAGACTTCCAAATCTATCTAGGCTCTTAGGGCAGCTTGTAGAGTATCCGCATCCCTGCGTACCGATTTACCAGATTTCACCAAAGATAAGGAAATTGTACAATCAACGCTGTACCGCGTCGGCCTGTCTGCCGAACTAGGATCAGCCGTTGCCGACGCCGGAGGCCCGAGAGCATGAAAGCAGTGACGCCATTGGCTCCATCGGCTTCGTTGCTGAGTCAGTGAGGGGATGCTTATCTTCACGTGATTTCGTGCGGGCTCCGAATGGAGTAGGTGGTTTTCGCTGTTTCCATTTCCTTTTGACTCACGAGATACTGCATATTTCGATTTGTAAGTATTCGGGGGACGTGTTTAAATGGCGCCCGAGCGAACTCACAATGAAACGTCCCCGTTGCTGGGGGATAGCAACGGCACTGCGTCAAACGGAGCCATTCCCCATCGCGATGAGGAGCAGCCAGCGGATATCGTGCAGTCTACGGACGAACAGGCCAAAGACCCTTTTCCAGATGCACGGAAGCAACTCAAGTATATTGTCCCGGCCATATCACTAGGTGTATGTATTTCTCACAATTCCGTTAGACCCTTCATAGACACTTGAACAACTCGGTTCTTTCGCAGTATCCTCGGCTAACGATCATGGTAGATCTTCCTGTCGGCAGCAGACCAGACGATTATTATGGCCAGTTATGGCCAGATTGGAAGTGATCTAAAGGCTCTTAATCTGACCAGCTGGATTGCGACTTCGTACTTCTTGACCCTGACTTCGTTTCAACCGCTGTACGGCAAGCTGAGCGATATATTTGGCCGCAAGGCCTGCCTACTCTTCGCGTATGCCATCTTTGGAACTGGTTGTCTATTCTGTGGGCTTGCACGTAATATCAATGAGCTCATTGCGGCACGTGTACGTCGGGTCTCCAACTTCACATTGTACATTGACCCGAATCATGACTGACAATACCATGCAGGTATTCCAGGGCATTGGTGGCGGTGGGATGACCACTGTCGTCAGTATTCTGATGAGTGACCTTGTTCCCCTGCGCGATCGAGGGGTTTGGCAGGGGATTATCAACATCATCTATGCGACCGGATCCGGTACTGGCGCGCCTCTGGGCGGAATCCTATCTGATTACATTGGCTGGCGTTGGTATGAAATACTGCATCTCATTCTTCATGCTACAGAGCCTTTCTGACGCCGTTTTCTAGGGCCTTCCTGGCACAATTCCCTCTTTGCATTCTCGCATTCATCGCAGTTTCTGTGATGCTCAAGCTTCCGGCCCGCGAAAATGCTCACTGGAAGACTAAACTCCGTCGCATCGACTTCCTTGGTGCCATTGTCCTGGTTGGTGCCGTTTTGGGCTTCCTGTTGGGCTTGGACCGTGGCAGTAATGTGTCATGGAAGCTGCCCTTGACAATCGCCTCTTTGGGTGTCTCGGTCATCTTGTTCATCGTGTTCGTCCTAGTTGAGATCTATCTGGCAACCGAGCCTTTCGCGCCCGGTCACATCATCTTCGACCGCACCTTCTTCTCCCTGTATTGCTGTAACTTTTTCAGTTTCGGTGGTTGGCTCGCGGCGCTCTTCTACATTCCGCTGTACTTCCAGGCAGTCGATGGGGTTTCTGCCACCATCGCTGGGCTACGCCTGCTACCAAGCATTCTGGCCGGCGTTAGTGGCTCACTTTTTGCTGGTCTCCTGATGAAATGGACTGGAAAGTACTACTGGCTAACTGTTGCGGGCTATACGTCTCTGACGACCGGGTGTTTTGTCATCTATCTTTTCTCCGGAGGCCTTGTGGCCAGTACAGTACCAATGATCATCGGAATGACTATGGCGGCATTTGGAAACGGAATCGGCGTTACCACAACCCTCATCGGCCTGAGTGAGTTCTTGTTCTGGTCATACGTTCTCATAATCTGCAATCTTTGCTAACTTTTATTTGCAGTCTCCAATTCTTCTCTTGAAGATCAAGCTGTGGTGACGGCATGTTCGTATCTCTTCCGCTCCCTGGGCTCGGTGATCGGACTTTCTCTGTCCGCGAGCGTTGTCCAGCAACTCCTGAGGAAACGGCTCCGATCCGATCTGCACGATAGTAAGAACATTGACGAAATTGTCAATGGCGTTCGAGAAAGTCTCGATTATATTAAGAAGCTGGATCCTGATATTGCTCATATTGTGCGCAACTGCTACGGCTGGTCGACAAACCAAGGTTTCGGCTTCATGGTCGTCGTCGTGTTTTTTGCATTGTTCAGCGCTTTCTTCATGCGCGAAAGCAAGCTCCATCGCTAATTGTGACAAAGAAAAAGGCTTGCTTGCTTTGGATATTTCTGCGAAGATTAAAAATTACATAAGGGACGTGTGGTGTAGAGCTGCGCCTAGTTGGAGGTGATCTAGGTGATCTATAACGAGCACAGAGAGCTCGAGGAGTGAACATAAGTGCACTAAATGAAATTCTGATTGGATATTTGATAAAAATAATATTCTGAACGTCGAGCTCTGCGCGTTGTGTTGAGTTGTAATTAGTCAACTAGTTAACTATTTGATGACACCTTAATGCTGGGGCTTGACCCCGTGATGTCCGATCTGACCTTCCGACTGCCCCGTGTCTCATCTTCAACTCGCGCCACCCGACACCCACACAGAATTGATTGTGTGCGGTATCTCCCATTTGAATAAGTTCCCTGACAATGACCATTGTTCAATAACAACGACCGCATTCTTGCAGCTTACAGCAGCGCGACCTCTGCAATGGCCGAGCCGCGCTCGGGGCCGGTCTCGTTAACACGATATCGGCCTATCCTCTATCTCTTCACAGGCGTTGCAGCTGCCTATGCCCTCCTTTACATTCATAACAATGTCGTTTCACCGCATACATCACAATCCTCCCTTCGACGCCGAGGCGCCGTGCGCCGGTCAAGACGATCTGATGCTGAAGAATCAGGGCTCGTGGACACTCCCTCGTACCGAGCCATCACACATTTGGAACAGCTGGAGCGTCAGAATGGTGTATACGGGACATTCCGAATTGAAACAGAAGACGGGCGACGGGTTGAAAGTGGACTTCTTCCGTCGCTGCTCGCAACGCGCGACCAGCTGATGGAGGAGGTCGGTGTACCACCAGCTCACGCCGAGCGCATGCGTGAAATGATGGAGGACACATTCCTCGAATCCTTTCTTGCTCTTGAATTCCCAGCCGCGCACACCCTTCCCGACAATAGCCCCGAGCGGACATACTTGACGGAGCAGCTTCAACAGCGAGGTATCTCCCGGGCAGGCATCGAGCGAGCACTGATCCGGTTCAACGGCGACGAGAACTACGGAACCGAACTTCGCCGGCGGCGACAAAATGGCGAGCGGGTCACACTTTCGACTTCAACCTTCCCCGATGTGTCTGCGCCGCCCCAGAATAGCGAGGGTCCAGAGGCCGCGGGTGATGACCAAAGCATTTTCTCTTGGAGAGAAGGGAACAACGATACATCGCCTACTCGGGAAGGTCAGAATTTGCTCAACTTGCTATACCATATCGCGGAGGACCAAGCGAGGAGAGATGGCTATATTCATCGTGGAGTGACGTGCAACAGCTGCGGGGCCATGCCCATCCAGGGTATTAGGTATCGGTGTGCTAATTGCATCGACTACGATCTGTGTGAAACATGCGAGGCCATGCAGGTGCACATCAAGACCCATTTGTTCTACAAAGTCCGGATCCCTGCTCCATTCCTGGGCAATCCGCGTCAATCTCAGCCAGTGTGGTATCCTGGAAAGCCTGCAATGCTCCCCCGCAGCCTTCCTCGACCCCTTGCGAAACGTTTGATGAAAGATACCAGCTTCGAAAACACCGAGCTTGACGCGCTTTGGGACCAGTTCCGCTGTCTCGCCAACTTTGAGTGGGCAGATGATCCCAACAAGCTTTACATGGCCATTGATCGCAAAACATTTGACCGGTGTTTCGTTCCAAACACATCTATTCGGCCGCCTCCTCCCAGTCTCATCTACGATCGCATGTTTGCATTTTATGATACCAACGGTGACAATCTCATCGGATTCGAAGAGTTCCTCAAAGGACTGGCCAGTCTGAATAACAAGAGCAATGATGAAAGGTTGCAGCGTGTGTTCCGTGGGTATGATATTGACGGTGATGGCTTCGTCGAGAGAAAGGATTTCCTGCGGGTTTTTAGAGCTTACTACGCTCTCAGTCGTGAACTCACCCGTGATATGGTCGCTGGTATGGAAGATGATTTTCTCGAAGGCGGAGCTCGGGATGTTGTCCTCGGTAGTCAACCTATTAGCTCTGCATTCCCAGGTAATATCCCTCCGGGCGATTCTTCGCGAATAGGTGAAGGCAAGCGTGTCAATCAGAATGGTGATATGGAAGTTGTCGACAACGAGGGTATTTTACGACAGAATGCCGCCGACCTCGGTGACCGATACCAGGTGATAGGTGAAGCTACTGTACGAGAGCAGTTTGGTCGAACGAGGCCATTATTCCCGTCCACAATTCGCCTCCCTGCGACTGCCCAGTCTGGAAACCGTCGGCCCAACCCCAGGGCAGATGAGGATGACGAAGATAACGATGAAGATGAAGACCCTACTGATTCCGATGAATCTGGTTCATCTGTCACCAGTGGTCATTGGCCCCCTCCGGAGCACATCCATGAGGAAGACATAATCGACGCGCTTGGAACGTATGTGCCCCCTCAGGAAATCAACGACCCCGTCGACAGAGCTCGTATCGTGACAGCTGTATATAACAGAATGCGTGATGATGATCAACGACGAATCGACGAAACTCGTCGGAACGGAATTGACGAACGTTGGAGACGCCGTGCATTTTACACCGACGAAGAAGACGGCGCCACTGCACCTGCTGGATATGAGCATGATCCGGCTTTCGACGATGATATGAGCGATGAGGAGTCCATGGAAGAAGAGCCTCTCGACTCTCACCCGCCATCGCCTCGCTCGCGATCTTCTTCCAAGGTACGGTTCCAAGACGATCTCACAGATGACTACGACATACGCTCGAACCCATCAACATCTTCTCGCAGCATCCCTGTTGGCGAGCGATGGGGTGGCTTCGAGATTCCCGAGGTTGAGAAAGATGTCGGCAAGGAAATCCTGTACCAAGTCACTCAGCAGGGTTTCAATGAGTTGCTCGATATACTTTTCAAGCAAAAGGAAGATCTTCTCATGGAGGTCTTCCGAACGCGTGCCGATCGCAAATTCTGGGCACATGAAATCGAGCTCCTGGAAAAATCAGGACCTGTCAAGCCGGAGGAGCCCAAGGAAGAAGACCCCAAGCATCCGCGCAACGAGGAAGAGCTCGAGGACATAACACGAAATCAGTCACTGGACAATCTCTTGCAACGTGCTGGTTATGTCGTGCAGAGTCCAACTCTAGAGCCTGTCCACTCAAGGCCGGTGTTAGAACCAACGTCTCCTCGAGCGCTGGCTTCTGATAATGATGATGATGTTCGGCCAACCCATCTTGCTGACCCTGGACACGAAGACGGCATTGGGCAAGGTCATACCTTCGAAGACCAGTCTGACACAGCTTCAGCCACCAGCTCTGATGCCGATGATAAAGCTCCGGTCTCCGAGGCTGGTTCCTCTCGGGACTCCTCTGATGAGGATGGACCAGAAGACATCATCCACAAAATCCCCGACTTCGATCCAACTCTCCCTCAGTTCCGTCCCGACTTCGCCGACACGCCCCGTCCGCGCCTCTCATTCCAAGCTGAGCCTTCAGTGATGGAAGCTCCAGCGGTCGATACATCCCCCCAAACTAGTAACCCCGACCTTCCTGGCCGTCTCCGCCTGGAGCCAAACGGCACCATCTCCCTCCCTGCACCCTCTTCTCCCCACTCTTCATCTCCCGAAGCCGAAGCCACAGCCCCCAAGCTTCCGCTTTCACCCATGCAGCCACTTCCCCCGCCGAAATCTGCCTGCCTACCTGAAGAGAATGCTGGTCCACGCACCCCCCCTGCTCGCATTTTGGCTCGCTGGGCATACTTGAATCAGGTCGAACGCGAATCCAAGGAGCGCGGCGGTAGCGGTGCCAGACTCAATTTTGAGGAGTTCTCACGTCGCATGGCGGCTGACAAGGGACGTCGGTTGGCATTTGTGGCGAGTTGGATTGAGATGGCGAGCTTCTGATCGGTTGATTCCAGATGTCTGCACTTGTATATCCTTGTATATTATCTTTATAAAACAAACATGATTTCTGAAAAGGACTTTCTTTTACCCAAGTCGGTGTTAACGACAAGTGATCGCCAACTACAGCACCCGGCCAATTATGCAGCGCACCTTATCCGGTTGAATATTGAGTTGAGTAATAACCTGATTTGTATACTGTCTTTATAAACCTCTTCCAAACGCATGGGAAAAACCAAGGTCCCACATAGTACGGCAAGAGGAAATGTAATAAGCTGATACATCAATTTTATTAGGAAGGCCACCGCGTTCCGAAGTATGGTCTTATCACTAGGACTTGAATATTTAGTAAACTATCTAAAGTTGAATTTTAATAGTATCTTCCCCCTTAGATTTTGTATGTGTTCCAGGTCTAGAGAACTCTAAACTCTATTACAGATTTACTTGTTCCCTCCCTACCTTTTCTTTCGTACGATATGTCTTATATATTAAATACACCTTGTTAGTGTCTACTTGTTTATCTTTCTCTAGGGAATATAGGAAATACTATTCGTATGATATCTAATTCAAGAAAGTGGTGGGCGTTTAGGGTCTTGAGTAGCTTATAGAAATGTCTAGGCCTAAAGGTATTAGGGTTTGCCTTAGTGCACCCTGTCGAAGAAATAATTCGAACTTTGCATACCTATAGCTACCTTACACATAGAAACTCTACTAGTCTCTAGAAATGGCCTCATATAGTTAAGGAAACTCTGAGCTACTAGGATCTGTATATCATTTACCCCTATGGGATAGAAATACATCTAAGCAGTCTTCAACTTACGAATAGATTCAAATAAAGTACACAGAAAAAAATTGATCAATTTGAAGCTTGGAAATAACAATAATAATGACTAGGTACAGTGAAGAATAAGCGTATTCCTACTCACGCTGAGCGAAGCCGATCTAGCTTCACTCCATGGGTTTCTGCTTGAACAACTTCATAATATGCTCATTCCCACAAGCGGCAGCGATGTCCAAAGAAGTTCGTTGCTGAGCATCCTCAAGCATAGGATCTAAGCCCATATCCATGAGAAACTCAAACCACTGGACAAGAATTTTGATTGGCGCTTTCAACCTATCATCACCGACAAAACGAATTTTATCAATATTCCTGCCAGCAACCACATGTAGCAGCGACATCCCCGCATTATTGCATGCAAAGAAATCCGCTCCAAGATCCTTAAAGAGTAGCAGGCCATCATTGTTGCTGGTCGTGTCAGTCTCGTTCGTGGGCCAGAAATTGCCTCCATATGGCAATAAACTATGTGCAAGATACCACAAGAGTGGGGTATCGCCCTTCTTGTTGCGTGCGTTGATGTCCACCCCAAAATCCAAGAATTGCTGGATGTGTGCTTTGTGAGTGAATGGCTTAGTGGCAAGGAGGTGGAGGGCTGTGTTGCCGTTTGAATCAGGTTGGAGGGGATCGGCGCCATGTTCAAGGAGTAGGTCGACGTATTTGAAGTATACGTCGCTTGCTCTAAGCACGTAGTGGAATGGAGTGTCATGGAATTTATCGCTTATGTGCACAAGGTTGGGATCTCTAATGAAGAGAGCCCTGATGGTGCTGATAATCTGCTCATTTGGCTGGCGTTGTATGAGAGTATGAACAACGGTTTTGCCTGACTTGTCTTGAGCGGCAATATCAGCTCCGCGGTCGACAAGGCTCTGGATTCGCTCAATTTGACCAGTACAAAGGATCAACGTTCTGCCTTTGTCATCTCGCGATTCAAGCTGGAGTGCTGGAAGCTGAAGCAGTGGCTCGGCCATGTCTCCAGCCATCAAGATTTCATGTATGACAGTGCATCTTTCGGGTCCCCACTTATCTCCCGAATTCTCATCCGAATTGTCTAATTCGTCGTCATCATTGAAAGAGTTGTCAGTCACTCGATGAAGCTTGACAAAAGTCGCGTATGGGTCCGCACCATGCTGGAGAAGCGCCGTCATCATGCGCATTCGAAAACAGGTAAGATCCAAGTCATTGTAAGCGATATTAGGTTTGAAAGTTGCCGCGTGGAGCAAAGGAAATACCTCGGCGGTTGGAATTCTGGTTTGATCAAGTGCATGGATCCTTTCCATAGTTTCGGGAGCGACGCGCCTCATGTTGGCTAGATCGCCCTGAGAGAGAAAGAATTCCAATAATTCGACATTGTCAAGCTCAATTGCGGAGAACACAGCAGCAGGAGAAATTTTGGCACCATGAGATAGAAGCAATTTGATCAGCTCCATATCAGTGCCGGCTTTCGACAAGCAGGTCTTCCCCTTGGAATTCACAGCGTTGACATCTGCGCCATTACGCAAAAGAATCTTCGCAGCCTCCTTGTAGAAAACACCCTTGCGCCTTTCATAGTCTAGGGCAATGTGCAAGGGTGTCTCACCATCCTCATTGCGCAGCTCCAGATTGGCACCCTTTCTGATGAGGTATGGCAAAGCCTGGTGCACATTCCACCAGGTTACGCCCTCTGCAAGACCATGTAGAACGCCATTACCCAACACGGACTCTTTCTTGCCGTTAGCCCAGCTTTCCTTTCTGCAATTTAAGTTGATGTTAATACCCATTTTTTCCACAAGGATTCGGACTACTTCCATGTTTGGCATTTCACGTTGGCATGCGGTGATGAGGAGCGGCTCCGCCATATTCCTGTGACAGTGATTGGCGGCCTCCGCTTGGTTGCACCATTCATGATCATCAAATCTCAAAGCGGCTTCACGAGTACAGACACGATCCAGGATATCCGACAGACCAACACGCGCAAGACTGTGTAAGAGAGAAACATTGGTCCAGCTCAGCAGGAGGATATCTATTTCTGAAACTCTTTCCTCCATTAGACCGTAGTGGCGAAGACCTAGCAGCTTGACCGTGTGCCTATCTTGCGCGTCATTGTGTGATCGTTCTGTCATCGTCCAAGCCTTTCGCTTCTCCTCTTCCTTCCTCAGCGATGTTCTCTCATCTTCCAAACGAGACTTGCAGAGATGAAAGCCATCGCCATCTGATCCTTCTAGAATCTTATTATTGGGGAGAAAGTGATACTGGAGTTGTGCCAGACATTCAGCGGTATAGTCGCGTTGATCCGATACAGCGGCATGGAATGCATCACGAAGAATGCCATTGTCCTCAGTAATGTCTGCGCCATGAAGCACCAATGAAATTAAAATTTCATCTAGACGTGTCGAGTCTGACTCATCATTGACATTATGCGACCTCCATTGGAACCTCTCAAGATCCTCTCCCGCTGATGGCGATGGCACACTTCGGGTTCCGAGCCAGATGCTGGCTGTCTTGATGGCTTGGGTGTTGTCCTTTTTACCAATGCTTTTCCACCGTATTTGTTCGGTTTCAAACTCGGCACATGCTCTGAAAGGCGTATATCCATTCTTGCCCGGCAAATTAGGATCTGCGCCGGCATTCAACAGCAAGTCGACAGTTTCGGGACGGCCAGAGCAGCAGGCGTAGTGGAGCGCCGCATTTCCTTCCGCATTTCTCTGATTGATGAAGGATTTTCGTTTTCCATCATCAAGGTCGGCGATCTTGGAAAGTACGAGACCGATGATTCCAGGCTGTCGGGCTCGAGCTGCAACATGAAGAACCGTCATGCCTTCCTTTGTCACGCCAAAAAGATCAGCCCCGGAATTGAGAAGCTTGAAAACATAAACTTCAGACACAGCAGCGGCAATATGTAAGGGCTGAATCCCGTCGATGTCTTGAGGATTCTTGTTCTTGCACTCTTGAATGGCATAGTCAAATTCTGTCTTGATAGAAGGCTGCCAACTGCAGTTTCTCCGTTTTCGCGAGCACAGCTTGTGCAAGAGCGTCTGTCCACAGTTGTTAGGCTGGTCAATATCAACCCCCAACTCCTTGAGGTGTCTGTAAGTTGAAATACTGTCGGGTGTGTCTTTCTTTGAAGCGACCTCAAGGATAAGCGTATTTCCTTTATAGTCGACGACGGAAGGGTCGAACCCCGTGAGGTCTACCATCTCGTCTAAACGACTAGCATCTCGGACAACTTGGTGTAGGAGGGTTCGGCCCTTATTATCTCGCGTATCAAGTCGGGCACCTAGCTCAATAAGTGTTTTGAAAAGTTCAGGTTTGCCCTTAGTGGCATTTGAATATATGACACTTTTGAAGATAGGCGTTTGACCCTGTACATCCCGGATTTCAAGATTTGCACCCGCCTTGAGCAGCCTGGAGACTGTTTCAACTCCGTTATCACGTCTCAGTAAATGCAGCGGTGCCTCTCCCTTTTGATTTTGGAGATTTGGATCAGCGCCAGCTGATAATAAGGCGTCAAGGACAGCATCTATGGACTTGAAGTCCCAGCGCCCAAACAGCACGTGTAGCAAACCATTCCCATCTGGTGCAGTCATATTCAAATCTGGGTTGTACTTTAAAACCTCCAGAGCGGACTCAAAACAATGGCCTTGAAGCCGACGGAACAAAAGTCCTCCGTTGCTTTCCGCCATTATTTTGTTGACATCAACAAGCCCTGATCCGATCAGTATAGGAAACAACTCTTTGTCCGTCTCTCCATTGGTATGGAGTATTGTGTCTTCATTATCGGTTTTGACATAAGGATCCGCTCCCCTCTCCAACAGCAGTTTGACGACATCTGTATTGCTCATACAGGCAAAGTGTAAGGCTGTTTCTCCATCAGGAGACTTCGAATGAATATCTGCTCCAGCTTCGAGTAGGGCCGAAACACACTCCAGTGAGGACTGACGACGACTATATAGACGTGTAATTCCACACAGAGCATGTAGGGCGGTGTAGCCTCTAGGTTCATCTGGATGTTTAGAGGATTGCGGGGACCGACGCATTGTGTAACCCATACCCCCAAACTCATTTATAGGATAGGAGCAGAAGATATTGGGATCCGCTCCCGCCGCGATAAGAACTTTGATTGTATTCAAATCGCATCTGAGGCAGGCTTTGAACAGCGGTGTTTCTCCTACATGCTTTGAATTCACGTCCACCGTGGTATGTTGAAGAATCAGATCTACACAGGCCGCATGCCCTGAGCCTGCGGACCAGAAAAGGGCCTTAGTGATAGTATGTGGATCTGTGAGATATGGTAGAAATTCGGCAATCGCTTCAATTTGTCCATTATTGCATGCGTACATGAGTGGCGTATGACCAATTGATGTTGGTGCATTGCCGCAGCGCCTGCCTGGGGCTTCTCTTGTCTTCGGTGTTAGTGGATCAACACCAGCGGCTAACAAGACTTTGATGACACCAGCGCGGTTTTTGCTGGCGGCCGCATGAAGAGGTCTGTATCCTTCGTGTGCTTCTCCATCCGGATCCGCCTCGTTGTCAATAAGAAGCTGTGCAACATCCGCATGGCCACTGGAAGCAGCCCAATAGAGAGGTGGATCGCCGCGATTACTCTTGGCATTGGGGTCGGCGTCGCCCTTTTGAATCAAGTGGGCGGCATATTGAGCCAACCCGGTTTTAGCGGCAGCATGGAGAGGAGTCAGACCTTGGATCACATCCTTCGGCCAGTCGATATCCAGCCAAGCAATAAATCTCTGCTTATTCGCAACGAAACTATCAAGTACCAAGTAAAATGATGACAAATTCATGTCAGCTAGTGCTGCACGGCGAGTATGGATATACCAATTGGTCGCTGCGTATTCGAGAAATGGAAATTGAAGGCGGATTTCACTCTGCTGGGCTTTTTTGGGGCGAAAAAATTCATCATTCTTCTTGCGTTTCTTGATCTCAAGTTTTTCTAGGCAGCCAGACGTGAGATAGTCCAAGCAGGCAATGGCAAGACGCTGGTTAGTCGGGCCAGCCTCCAGAATGGGATAAGTTGAATCATCAAGGGCGGCGGAGCGATTGAATCCCTTGAGGAACTCAGTGAATGAGTGATGAACGACCGAGACAGTCTCATCATGAAGAACCTGAAGCAGCGGGCCACAAGCAGCTCTGACTAGATTTTTGATCTCTTTCAAGCTACAGTTTCCAATTGGAGCATGTGTGGCTTTGATCATCTCAGCAACCTCTAGAAGACGAAGGGGGCGAGTTGCATGTGTGATAAACTGCAGGACAAGTAGTTGAAGGTCGTTGGGAACATTTGAGCGTTTTGCATGCTCGCGTAACAGGTCGTTATACATGATGTTCAGGTCGACAGGCAACTTTTTGAGTGTGTCTTGAGGATCAGCGCCGGGCGTCGAGAACGCATCCATTGAAAGCCTGGCATATAAAAACAGACCATTTGCTCGACCAGGAACAGCTTCGGTTATGAGATTCCAGTATTCATTGGGCACGGAAGAATTTCGCAGTCGGTACTGCACGTACGCAGCAATGTCCGTATCGACAAGTTGTTCTTCCAGACGAAGAGAGGGCACGGAAAAGGGCCTTAGGGGAGATTCCACTGCAACAACTGGACGCGATGTGATGAGGACTTTTAGATTCGCAGGACGCCACTGGCCCAGCTCGATCAAAGCCTGAAGAAAGTCATCATTGCCTTGGTCCATCTCATCCAAGGCATCTGTGACACAGTAGGCCTTGGGGAAGGCAGAAAGAGCGAACTTGATGTTTTTCCAGAGATCATTAACAGAGAGGCTATCAATAGAGCGACTGTTATCAAGGTATTCGGTTTTCAACCGAACCTGCAAGGGTGGGCTAAAGGGGAGAATTTGACATAGCCAGTCCCGCAACGCCGCCACTGGTTGATGATTTGCATCAATAATTTGTCGAAAGAAGAAGAAGAGAACCGGGACACCTTCTTTGCGCAGCTGTTGAATGATCGAGGCAATCATGACGGATTTTCCAGACCCTGGTATGCCTTTGATCCAAAGAAGGCCATTCACGTCGCCTGCATGCCACTGTTGATATGTATCTGTGGATATGAGCCATTGACCGGTACCTGCCAGGTACGATTCGAGGTGTCTTGAAAATTCAGATCTCTCTAGATCATAAGGTGTTGGCTGCAGCCAATCTCTAATCATTTTGAGATCCTCTGCCGGAAGAGGAAGAATGTTTTCTTTGTTGAAATCGCTGAAGTCGCCTGGGCCGACCATAACGGTATCAGAACCCTCAGAATCCGATAGTGACATGGTGGACAGAATGTGCAGGATATCAGTGATAATTTCGCTGAGCTCAATGCCTTGGAAGGTTGAGAGCGAAGGTGCAAGTGGTAAGAGTGGGGGCTTTATGTACTGCTCGGATGCTCGGAGCTTAGACCCTCAAAAGGACTAGTTGAGCCGCATGAGACTGACGCCTTGGCCCGGGATCATCCGTCGCTCTGGGTCTTTCGACATCTCATTATGTATCTAGGCAGACCATAAATGGAGAACGAACACGGCTAGAGGCTGAAAAATCGTATTCGTCTTCATTTCCAATGGTTTGTTACATTGTTTTTCCAAACTTGTTATACCTATACACTCTTCCGACTTAATGGCCAAACAGTAATCAAATAACGCTAGTCCTAGACTCGTAATGGCTACGAACCTAGACATCAGCATCACGCTAGACAAGAATTATGGGCAGATGGCAGCCAATCAACTTAGAACAGCCCGGTAAGGCAGATCAAGGCTATTTACCCCATCCCAGATCATATGGCTAGTCATCACGTGACCATTGGGCACATCAACCGATATAAAGGACTAGGTATACAAGGACTCTCGTTACGACGCTGGACTTAGTTGTTCGCTGGGCCCGTGGGACGACAGACCCAACCAAGCAGATGACAGGATGACATCTTTTCAAGTGCGACAGGGGAAGGGAGGGTCAATGAGGTGGAACGCGTCAGGCAAGTGAAGGCAGCGGGAGATTGCGTGGTCGGCATCGCGAAGGGAGCTGACGGGTCACGCGTGGGGCAATGTTAGAGCTGGATCATGATGGCCCGATTCAATGGCAAGAGCACCTCAATTGCAAGCCGTGGACATGGGCAAAATGAACGGGGGAGAGCAGAAAACTGAAAATACACTGTACGGCAGGGGCGGCGGCACAGGCGTCTTTATAAAGGCACGAACGGGGGACGCGTGGTGCTAAACACTACTTCGGTAAGCGTCCTCATTATGTGTTGGGTTTTTGGTGAAAGTTACAATGGGAAGGGGGACTTGATACAACAGATAAATCTAGACATAACAGTCTCCTCGAAAGATCTACTACTACTACCCCAGGAGACCGCCATTGAATCTTCCCGGCCAAATAGGTATCACGTCTGCGGCCGTCGAGTTGATGCTGCGGCCGGATTTTATACCACGCCGAGTATAGCTTGGGCATAGCCTCTCGGAAAAATTCCCCAGGATCGGCTTGCATATCACCTGTAGGCAATTTGGCGGCTGCTCGGGAAGGTCCCCGACACTAGCCAAGGCTTGCGTAGCTGCATCCGGGGACTGCGGCCCGGACAGGGGAGAAGAGTCACCGGTGGATCTCGGAGGGGCTGAGGAGGAATTAGATAAAGCGATCACTAGGAGGGGTCTGAAAGGATTCCCTTCCTCGTGCTGAATGATTTTTTCTTCATTGTATTCGCATTATTCGTCCAGAAAACTCATCATTGATCTGCAAACTCCCTTCACGATGTCGATCAAAAGCGATATCACCCTTGACATATCCAAGTTCCGGCCGGAGAACGTCACGGAGTCAACAAAGAAAGCTGCAGCTCTCCTGGAAAACATCACCACCAACGGGCCCCGATGGTGGGAGGTAGGCATCGAAAAATATCGTGAGATGCGGGAGCTTGGTCAGACTCCGCTGCCCAAGCCTGTCTATCTCCCGGAGGCTCTCGATGGCTCTGTTCCTTCGCGTGACGCTGGCCGTGAGGTCCCCATCCGCATCTATAAGCCCGATAATGGCCGGCCCAGCAAAGGTGTCTTACTGCACTTTCATGGGGGCGGTTTCGTGCTGGCAACGCACAAACAGTAAGATACTCCCTTCGGCTGATTTCTCTACCCCCGCCTGCAGAGATTAATGTCTTGGACAGCTCCGATGGCAGCCTCCGGGAATACGCCAACAAGTGCCAGCTAACAGCCGTTTCAGTCGGATACCGTCTGGCACCGGAACACCCCTACCCAGCTGCCATGCACGATGCCGTCGATGCCGCCGAGTACATGGTGGACCACGCCATGGAGGTGTACGGCGGCCCCCTGCGCTTTCTCGCTGGAGAATCAGCAGGAGCCTGTCTCGCCGTTCTTTCAGCCCTGCAGCTGATGCGGTCACGGCTGTCTTACAAACTGTCGGGTCTCGTTCTTCCATACGGCTTATTTGATCTGGCGCTCGGGCTTCCAACGGTGGCGGCTTCGACAAAGCCTCTCATGATAAATTTGGCAATTTTGGAGCGATATAACAGTGCATACGTGCCGGGCATGAGCACCGCCGAGCGCAAGCATCCCTTTGTGTCACCACTATATGAGGAGCTTCAGACACTAGTTGCCGGCTCCTCCACTGGATCATTGCCTCCTGCTCTCTTCCTCTGTGGCACAGAGGATCCATTGCTTGACGACACGATCCTGATGAGCTCTAAGTGGAGTATTGCTGGTGGTGAGGCTATCGTCAAGTTTTACCCTGGTGCCACTCATGGTTTTACTGTGTTTCCCGGTTTGCCTGTGGCAGAGGAGGCAAATGCGGTCACCCTAGAGTTTATGCAAACGAAATTGAGCGACTCGCCGTGATCAACGAAAATTCCGGTTGTTTACAAAATGACGTTTATATCACTCAGCCGACTATCAGTAGCAGTAAAATAATGAAAGTTTTGATCCTGTTTGCATCATAAGTAGTTATCTACAAGTATAATATCTCTTGTTCTCCCAATATACCGTGTGCTAGGCTGGTAGTGTTGCTCATTCTGGGCAGAGAATATCAGTGGGCCCACTGGATGTTTCCTGAGAGTAATAAGGAAGATATTTCAAAATACGTCTCATCGAAGGATCACGCATAATTCGCAGTCCCGCCAATACCTTCGCGTACCTTCGCGTACCTTCGCGCACAATATCGTTTCTGTTAGCCAACGCAGACCCTGAACGACACCAGATCCTGCATTCATAGTACCGGCCATTCAGGTTGACACCCGGGCGATCTTGAAGGAGCTAGCCATTAGACGCAGACAAGACAACTCTCCTGACCTCAGAAAGTCCAGTATATGGCTGGCTTGAGTGCGGTCGAAGATGTGTTTCTTACGAAAAATAGTCACAATAGGGTCGAAGCCAATGGAAGACTAGTCCGCTGCATCACAGCTAGCGCTGACTGACTGAGAGGACGACCAACTGCTTCCGGATTGGCAGCATTCAAGTGGCATGCTGTTGGCTGAGTCCCAGCAAAACAAAGGAAAATATTAGACTGAGTGATTTGCTGCATGCAGCCAGACCGTTGGGGGATGATTCTATATGGACACATGGTCTGAGAATCATAGGCAGGGAATCTCAAAACACCGAAGAAGTGCCCAATCTGTCAAGCCTCCTTCAAAGGATATGTCGGATGTTACCCTTTCACGGGATAGAGTATGTATACGAAATCGTTGTTGTCGTGGTCGATGCCCCTGAAAATGGCGCATTTCCATCACTCTTTGTGTCCCTCAATATTAAATCACCGACAGAGAGATATTTATATCTCTCTCCTCGGAGAGTAACGTGCCTGCCATGTGACTAAATTTACGAATATTCGACGAGTAATGAAAAATTATTCGCATTGGCAGAAAGTTTGTATTAGGGATGCGAATGTATTCTCTATTCGTGCCGACCCCTAATTGATTGAATTCATCAGTCTTGAGTCTCTCTTGTTTGCCAAGAGCAGAAGTTGAAACATCACTGAGATGTTTTCATGAACATGGGTTCTATTAATGATTCATGAATTCAAATTAAAAGTCCTCACAATATCAATGGCCGGATGGTGTAGTTGGTTATCACGTGTCGTTAACACCGACAAGGTCCTGGGATCGAGCCCCAGTCTGGTCAAGATTTTTTTAGGTTCCCGGTACTGTAATTATTTAATTCATTCTCTATTGAGTACTAGACTAGAACTCTATTTGGGTAAAAGCCGGATTCCATTGGGTCAACGATCATTTAGTGCAGTAGAATTCGAAAACAGATTACCCCTTGGACACTCACGCTTTCTTTTCTAGCGGCCCCACTATGATCGCGCTAAGCTGGATTAGGTCGAGGAAAGACCCCACCATATTTTCTTGATGTATTTCTGGTGGATCACCAAAGTAACCGTAATTACAGGTTCTGGCATTGTGCAGACCATACAGTGGCACAGCAAAAATCTGGAACCCACCTCCCTGACAGCTATTTCTCATCGCCCATACCGCTTTTCTACATTAGACTAGTGGGACACCTTGGAGTGTTTTATTAGGGCAAAATATAGGTGGCAGAAAGTAGGCAGTCAGGGAGGGGGATCTGTCAATCTGACTTGATCGACACCATCCCTTTCTTCCTCTTGTTCGTAGTCTTCGTCTTCATCTACATCTCGTATGACGAAAGCTGTACTACTGCTGTGTTAATGTTGTAGAAGACTTACCTCGGAGATCTTGTGATCTGGCTTGATCGACTCCAGCCGTCCACTTATTCTCCGTAGGCATCCTCCATCTACTTCTTATGTAACCAAGTGTCGTGTTATTGGAGATAGCTAACCCTGGTAAGCTAGCAAGCTTCTCATTTGTATTACCATCTCAGGTATCGTACTGCCCAAGGCACCTACTCACCACGACTAGTTAGCAGCGTGTGACAGCTAGTGCCCCTGGAGGGGTACGGCCGAAGTAGGGAGTAGGGCTAAGCTAGAGGGTAAAACTGTATAAAGCTTATAGTGCTAACTGTTCCATGATACTGTATCATATAGCAGACAGACGACTCATTTCACATTCGAAGGGATTCGAATTTGAAAGTCGAGAGCAGATATGACCTGGATTCTTTGAGATGTTTCTGAACATGATGCTACTTCTGGTATTTAGGTCGCTAGAATTGATGCTTAGGACGGTTACAGATCCATTAAGCACCCATATTGACGTAAGTCATGATTTTATTAACGAAACATTTCTCAGTTACCACCATGCAATCGAGGCCTTCTCCTGCTTTTATATGTGAAAAAGGATTCACAAACTGCAACGAAGCAAAATATCGTCGAAAAGAAAAAAGTGGAATGAAACATGCGTGTACTCTTGCAAGACTAGACGGAATCAAGATCAGCCGGCTATACAGGCGGGACTATCTTTTTATAGCTGAAGGCTCTCAGCGACGGTCACTTTAAACCCCCGAATCCTTGATCATTTGCCAAAGATTCACGACGCTGTCATTTTCCCACCCCTGATAGTGAATATTATCAAGAATACTAATCAAGAGAGCACGGTCGGTGTGCGCAATCGAAAGCTCCCCATCTTGAGCAAGCATACGCCCGGCCACTTTCTGATACGCCAGTCGTTGGGCGCGATGTTTGATGGTATTTCGAATCTCAAAATACAACCATCGCCGACAGCTTGCCAGAAACTTGATCCGTTCAAAGGCAGGCAGTTCATCCAGCTCATCTCTCAAATCGCCAGCAGGACCGCCTCGCGTGAACACCCGCTGTTCTATCTCGCTAGCCGTCAGCTCATACGCCTTATTTTGCACCAGTGTCGCCAGCTCGATGGCCGATATGGGACTGGTCGCCTTCAACATTCGACCCGTGGTTAAGTGCTGAAGCGCACGCTGCGCCAGGAGATAGTCCACAACGTGCTCGGCCAAAGTATCGGTGAGGGATTCGTAGGTATGCTTTTTCTCCCCATTTTGTACTGCTTCTATCTCAGCCGTGAATAGCACGGTGAGAAGCTCGCCGAAGATGACCCCGTCTGAGTATAGAGGGTTGGGCTCTGCGGTGTGCATCTTGGGGCTCCGGATCAAGGCTGTGAGCTTGGATGGGAGTTTAATGAGATCTGTGAAGTACTTAGACCCGTATAACTTGGGGGCCACGGACGCTGCAGAAAGATGGGCAAAGTCATGGAGATCCCAAAGTGCAGAGGGTTGGTCCAGCAGCCGGATGCTTTCTCCGTCATAATCTTTTGCCCGCACCGCGATGTAGTTGATGCCAATTGCTGATATAGCAGTTGGGGGAACAAGCCTTGTCTGGTAGTCGACATTTAAATCCGAACTGTTAACAAGCCGATGAACACCATAATTTATTGCCCTATTGGAGTTACTATCGCACGAGAGAAAGCCGTTGATTCTGTTGAATAGCTGGCGGTTGGACTCCGTCGTCGATAGAAACTCTTCTCGGCACTCCCAGCGAGCAGCGAAGTATAAGACTCCATATTTGTGGACAGATATCGCTGCCACCCACAGCCGTTCATCTTGGTCTATCGAGGTGAGAAGCGGGTGATTATCTTGCCTCTCCAAGAGAATCTTGCACCCTTCTAAGATATAATTAAGAAGGGCACCCTTCACGGCTTTGACATGGAGCCGAATTCTTGCCGCATCGTCGAAATGGGGATATGGAGGGGTTCGGCCATCTAACCACTCTGTCGATGGATCATAGGATGGATGGAGATTTCCAAAGGGTTGTAGTGTCGCCCTGGGCGATATGCAAGAAGGTTGCAGCCCATCGTTGTATGTAGACTCCGCCGGTAGGTCTTTGAGATATCGGTGCAGGAGATTTTGCAAGACTCGTGTGATAGCGTACATGGTGTAGTTACTCCAGAAATCCGGCGAAGCTAGGCCCCTTTTTTGCTCTGCAGGCGATGACTGCCCGACAGTATCCGCTGCACTTGCATTTTATATGCATATTGGGATTAGGGCTGGCAACAATACTCCAGTACTTTATTGCTTAATTTTAGTCGTTTCCCCGGCTTACAATCTCACGCGAGCTTGCGCGGCCTAGCTGGTGATATGATTCAGCACATGATACCTCGATGCATGGGCTCGTCCCATTTTGCAGTGGAAAATCCGCTTCTTGGCCCCCTCCTGCGTGTAGGGCTTGTTATGTAGCATGCATGAAAGTTTCAAGGAACAGGCGGCCGAAGTTAGTCACAGCATGAGTAAATTAGATCAATTTTGTCCCCTTGAGGAATTATGAGTGAGCTTTGTTAATGATTTCAGACACCGCGGTAGTCGGATGCAATTCCTTTGGTTTCAACACACCTATTTCTATCTGGCAGACCAAGACTATTGCTATTGAGGCCCTATAGGAACAAGACATGCCTACAGCTTCATGCGTGATCACTCCGAGAACGGAGATCTCATGTATACCACCTTGCCCTCTGTAGGTAGGCCTACGTGTACTTAAATACGATATTTATATTAATATAATTCAGCTCTATAATAATGAACCGAGCCAAGTGACCCAAAAAGAGATATGGCCCATGAGCAACCGCCCCCGTTCTGCAGGTCTTTGGCTCGCTCCATCCAAGCTGCATTTGTGATTGGCGGGCCAACTAATGTCTGCGCGATGTAACGTCTGGGCTTTAGGCTTTTGAGGCCCACAAAAGAGAGACGGGGTTCTTCTCAATATTTTTGGTATGGATTTTTGATGTTTGTCTGCGGAAGAAGAGGCCCACTTGTGGCTACTCTGGCCGTGTCCCACGGAGTCCGGTTGGCCGGCCGGGCCTGTTTTCGCCGAGAGGTTGACAGGGGCCTACTTGATGCAATTTTCTTGTGGGCTCGCAGCATCCCTTGCGGCATGATTGGCCTTCTGCCTGCACCTGGGAGCC